TGCCCTCTTTGTTGCTAGTTTAGCCCACTATTTTGAGTCTCAGTGTCACCAGAGGCTAACCATATGAGCCGTTACCCACATTTTAAAATTATTTGTTTTGTTGATCTAACACTTGGAGCTAGTTAGTCCAATGCTCATCCGTTACCTACAGTACATCTGGCAATAGGTTAATGTGGTCCTTAAGCTGAATACTAAATTCAAATCTATCTAGCTAAGATTTTTTGCAATTTATCCATCTAACAGGCATTTTTAACTTTTTTTCCTTATATTTTTGGAAATTATTTTGGTGTTTTACCACTTAAAACCAACTTTTGACTTTTTTTCTACTATTTAAGCATAATGCTTAAAAGTTGCATCACTGAAAATCCATGACTTTTTGTTTATTGTTTTAACAGTTTATTTAGCTAGCTAGCTAGTTGACAGATCAACATTAATGGGGTGACCATATTCTGACTTTCCAAAAAGAGGACACATCTACGCGGGGGCGGAGTCAGTTAATCTGAGAGTTTTTCGGGTCAGATCGAGTGTCTTTTACGCGCTTCTAACTCAGTAAGTCCACATGACACAAACTTGAAACTTCTGTACAAAACTGCTGACATTTAAGGGATTTTATTAACTTCCCCGGACAAAGTCAGACAAGGCCGGACAGCCCCCAAAAAGAGGACACGTCTAGGTAAAAGAGGACGTATGGTCACTCTAAACATTAAACCACATCAGCAGTTAAACAACATTTTGCAAGACACTGTAAAAAGTGAGTGGATGAAAGTTTGCTTAAAGGAGTAGAAGAGTGGTCATAAAAACATTACCTCGCTAAATACGTACTGGGATTGTTGCAGTTCTTAAAGCTGACAAGACTGGCAGTCTACTCTGCTAGCTAACAGCTCTGACCCATAAACTATCAATCTTAAGTCTCATCAGCCAAGTTATCTGACATTTATCTGTCTAGTTAACCTTTTAAACTCTTAATTGATAACTGTATGCTAAGTATTTTCAAAAATCAATATGGTGGCAATGTCTAAGTCCTTGCGCGTCCTTCAACAATCCTTACTGATTTTTAGCTCACTATTTTGACTTCTCTCCTAATGCTTGCACTAAGATGTTACATCTATTTTGATACATAGATAAATACTTTTAATCACATTGAATAAATTAACCTGAAGAAGTGTCTGTTTAGTCACCATTGTAGTGTCTCCTCAGGTGATGACATTAACCAAACCTACGTAGGAGTTCCATCATTAAAAACCGCCTCTCGACCTCAGTTGTTGTTTTTTCAGGCAGTAACCTTTAAAAAGCTTACTTTCATCACACTCTCAAAGCGAGACACAGAAAAACAATGACATCACACTGATTGGATGGGAGGAAGTGGCTCCAAAATTGATGCCAGTCCAGGATCAAAAGATCCCACATTTAGGCCTCAAAGGTTACCGCGGTGGCCTGCCGTTTGGGTGACTCACTGTTGCTGATTTCTGAACAACATCCTGATCCAGAGAGTAGGTGTTACTGACATTTCATGGTGGAGAGCTGCCACCAGCCAAGGAAGAACCTGTCGGCATTTTGAAAAACTACTATTTTCTCTCAGCAGGGACACCTTGAATCAGTTAAACACAAGAACGATGAGCTAAATAACACCATGCAGTAATTGACATAAGTGGCAGCATAATACTGTTTGTCGATAAATGCCAATCAACTCTCCCTATGTGAGGAGTCACAGTGTGACTGAATAAATCAAAGAAGTTAAACTGCACTCCAAAAGGAAGACTAAATAAGCCTCTCCTTGTGTGGCTGCCAGACAACAGTGATTTTGTCATTTAATTCCATTGTGATTATCCGTGCCTTGATTGTCAAAAGCTCGATATGGGATTGATTAGCTGTCCTTCATTATGGGAAGTCACTGGCTGCTACTGATGCTAAACTGTTTTGTAAGCTTTGCCTAAGAAAAGAAAAAAAAAGCCTTTGAACAAAGGTGCCTGTCTGTGCTCACACGCTTATTATATTTCGCAGTGTCTTATTATAAAGCAGAGTTATTGGAGCAAACAGCAATTAAATAGAATCAGCAAATCCTACAAAGCCCGCCGCACGCTGCAGTCATGTGTGATCCCCGGTGTATAGCTGACCACTACTGAGTGAGGACCGTTCACAGCAATGAGGTTGATTGTCACACTGTGAAAGGTAATTTTAATTAATTGTCAGAGTTGTTGAAGTATGTGTGTGTGTGTGTGTGTTTTGCCCGTACACAAATTTCCTAAGGGGATCCCAGGCACTACTTTGGTAATTGGATTAAAAGTTTCAGTCTCTTTGTGTCTGTGTTTATGGGTTACATAATGTTGACTTGATGCAAAGAAAGTGAAACAAGCAGACAAAGTCATTGTATACTCGATTGTGTTCTTACCAGAATAGTAACATCGTCACAAAACACAGAAAATTCAGGTCATCTGACTGGCAGTGAGGCAATATCTTTATAGGTGCTTTATTTGACAGCATGTCCCATGATCACTATCTGGGACAAAGACTTAGTCAGGAGAGGTTCATCTATCATGAATGTGTGTGTGTATGTGTGTGTGTGAAAGAGGGAGAGTGAGTGAGAGTGTGAAGAGAGGGTGAGCCGAGCATTCACTTTGATTAATGTAGTTACAGATAGACACCAACAGAGGTCACTTTTCAGCCTCTTCTGCTGCGCCTGCGAGGCTCACAGCGAGTGGAAGTGGAAGTACGTGACCTTCTTAGATGTAGTGACGTCTGAACCTCATTAATATTCATGAATCCAAATTGTCACACACTCTAATTTACAGGAGCAACCTTTTGGTGTCCTAACAGAAAACAGCTGTATGTACACACTCAGTCATCCTGTCATGAAGCTCCAAAGTTGAAGAAACTTTGTTTATTTTTGTAAAAGGAGCTGAAGTTTGTTTTTGCTGCAGCAAAGTTTGCAATATTGTGGTGCTTTTATTACATTTTGAACATCTTTTGCTTGATTTTCTACATTTTGCTGAATGTTTGTGAGACAGTTTGTGTGCAAACATTGCATACACAGCTCACATTTGAATGAGACAAAATCTGAAAACACATAGTCTTTATAACTGTTAGTTTAATACAACATGGTAAAATCCTGTTGACTGATAAACAATTAATAAGAATGACTTCTTGAGTGTTAAACTTGAGTCATGAGGCTTGCATGATAACCAATCGTATATATTAAGGTCAAATTATCAATAGGGCACTTTGTTTACATTTTACACACTGGAAGGGCATTCAGCGCAAATTTAGTTTACTTATAATGCAATGGAGGCAAATGTAGAGGGGACTTTGTTTACATTTTATACAATGAAAGAGCATCTAGAAGGTGCTTGTTTATATTTCATACACTAGAGGTGCATCTAGAGGGTTAAAGTACACATTTTGTGCACTGATGGAGTACATAGAGGGAACCTTAATTGACCTTTATTACACTTGAAGTGCATCCAGAGGGTACTAGGTTCACATTTCATGTACTGAGGGAGCATACAGCAGGAACTCTGTTTACATATTTTTAAGTATCCAGAGGTTTTTTAGTTTAATATATATACGCTGGAGGTGCATCCAGAGGAGACTTTGTTTACAGTATATACAATGAGGACACATCCAGAGGGTACTTCATTGACCTTTTATAAGCTGAAGGTGCATCCAGAGGGTTAAAATACACATTTTTCACACTGAGGGAGTACATACAGGTTACCCTGATTTTCCGTAATTAGACATAAAGTGCATTCAGAGGGAACTATGTTCACATTTCATGCACGGAAGAAGCCTATAGTGAGAACTCTGTTTATACATTTTTAACTATATGCCAAAGGCGCATCCAGAGGGTACTATGTTTACATTTTATACACTGAAAGAGCATCTAAAAGGCACTTTGTTTGCTATTTTTTGTATGTTTGGGGAGGTTGTTCAAACACCGTACAGGTGTTTTTTTTGTTTTTTTTTCCCATGAAGGACATCTAGAAGGTGCTTTTCTATGCACTAGAAGAGCATTAGACTACATGACTGGGTGTTGGTTTGGCCTCGTGGTTAAGTCTTGTGTCCCGTGTACAAAAGGTCATGTACAGAAAAGCCCCATAAAAAATAACGAGATGTTTTACAATCCATTTTGTTTTACTTTAATTTACCCAGAAATCTGTGTTTCTTTGCAACATTTTTAAAATAATTTCAAATTAGGTATGAAATTAAATCACTAGAAAAAGGTCTATTTAATTTGTAATTTATTATTCAAAGTTTTGAGGCGGTGCACTACAATGTGTGGCAGGTGCATGAGCCTAAAAGCCATCTGAGTGGTTTGTTCAAACTGTTTTAAATAAATGTTAATTTGTTCCACAGTAGACCCCATTTGCTCTGTCTTTCTCTATTTTTAAAGGTGCAATTTCCAATGACATCATGCATTTCAAGTATGTTTTTCCACCCCTCCAAATAGCTTATGTCATAATACCACATGACAACCTCAGGGAAACAGCAGACCAGCAGCTCTGCTCTGATCTGACAGAGCAACATTTAATCAGAGTCTAAGTCCCTGTTGTTTTTTTGTGTTATTTATTTATTTTCACATCTTAAGCTCCTCTGGACTGTTTTTTTTTTTAATGACTTTACACACCTGATCCCAAACGACCTGTATGCACCGAAGAGGGGAGGTTAAAGTCAGACCGATCAACAAGATCTGCCGGCCTCCAAATGTAGACCTGTGAATTTTTTGTCTTCTCCAGCTGTGGATTAACAAATGTTTAGACATGACATTGTGTGTACTTGTTTATTTTTAACCTAACCTTTGCAGTACATAAAAAAAAAAAAACAGGGCTTATTATAGTCACATTGCATAATGGTCGTTCGTCTGGAGTGGCGGGATCTAAATGTGATCCAGCAGTGTGTTGTAACAGTGAGGACTCCTAGCATGACTACCACATGCCAGAGGTCAGATCTGTGCCAACGTCCTGTAATGACACACGCTTTGGATGCAAACACACAGTAGCGGTCCCTCACGTGGGTTTGAGGTAGTTATAGAGGGCGCTGAGTCCTCCTTGCAGCACCTCCTGGATAGGCTTCAGGAGGGGGTTGTGGATTATGTGAAGTCCTTTATCCAGCGGGTGGCATGCCAACTTCCCGAGCTTGCTCAGTAGGTACATTTCCACCGGCACATTTTGCAGGTCATTGAAATCAACATTGAGGAGTTCCAAAGACTCAAGGAAGCATAGCGTTTTAGGCAATGTGTGGATGCTGTTCCCCTCCACAATGAGGATTTTCAGGTTAACCAAGTCCTGGATTTGGTCTGCAATGGTTTCCAGACGATTGCACGCCAAGTGAAGGAAGACGAGGCCCTTCATGGTGTAAACGCATGTTGGGATGTGGACAATACGATTGTGGCTGAGGTTGAGTTTGGTCAAGTTGTGCATGGATCCCAAGCTTCCAGGAAGGCTGGTGATCTGGTTGTTTGCCAGGCTGAGTACTTCCAGGCAGGTACAGGAGCCAAGTTCCTCTGGGACTTCGCTCAAGCGGTTCCGACATGCAAAAAGAACACGCAGCTTCTTCAGGAGGCCGATCTCGGGCGGCAAACTCGTCAGGTTGTTGCCCCACAAATTGAGGACCACCAGGTTGTCCAGAGTTCCCAGGGCAGGGGGCAAAGAGCACAAAGAGTTCATGGACAAGTTTAGCTTCTGGAGTTCCCTGAGCTCCCAAAGCTCACAGGGTGTCCTGTGTAGCCCTCGCATGGCCATGCTGAGGGTGCTGTAGCCAAAGTGGACTGTGGTGTGTTTACGGATCCTCTCAGCTGCCGAGGACAGGCTCGGCAAGTCGTCTTTGGTGGCGCTCTTCTTCCTTTGACTTAGATTTAACTCGTTTAAGTCCTTGTTAGGGAAACTGCGAGATTGCTTCCCACCCATCGCCTTTGCAAAACTTAAGTCTAGTCACTTACGCACAGGTGTCAGCATGCGATATGCTGAACCACCAGACTGCTACACAGGATGACGGCTGGTCGATCTGAGGGGTTTTTGACCAAACATGATCAGCGCTGCAGGTTTGTCATAGACCTCCTGATGTTTGGCAGCAGTTCCTCTGAGTCCAGGCTGAGCTTTCCCTCTCAGAGTTTGGGTTGCAGGCTGCCGTAACCGAGCACTATGAGGGCTCGTGGTCTGCGTCTCTCAGACCAACTGCCTGTCTTACAGGATTTCATGCCCCAGCTGGTCCTGTCACTTTGCAAGTCCACAGATAGCACTCTGCTCTCCACCCACTCCAGGAGGGTAGGATTGGGGGTAGGATGCTGTGTTAGCTCAATCAGCTGATGTCACTTCCATGATCTCACAGTGGAACACACAGAAATACGTCAGTGCGCACAAACATGGTCACACTTTGCGCATGTTATTTTTTCTTTTCCACACCTGCTAGCCTCCTTACATTTAGCATTTAAAATGATTGGAATTTTTCACATACCAGCTCTTGCTCCTCACTTTTTTTTGCATTCGTCGGCCCCTTTGCTTAAATATGGAACCAAGCTGGCAGCCGTGAATCATCTCTCAAAAAAGTAACAGATCTTAGTGGTATTAGTGGAACCGTATGCACAGACATGTGCTGCTTTAATCTCAAGAGCAAAAGGACATGGGACGTTTCAGTATGTTCCTGGAAAACTCCGCTGTTATTCAGATGCTCATTCATGTGGCCCCAAGGGGATTATCTCCCTTTATGTAAAAGCTCATACCAGGCTACATTTACATTTCTGAATTTGTCTTTCCCCCCAGCAATTTACACACCGGGGTGAAAAGTTCTCTCGTGCTTCTTCTCTTAAGTGTCTTTATAGATTTCACAGAGAAACTTTTTGTTTCACTTCCACTCTTTAAGACGCTAAAATGAAATAAGATTCAAGGATGATAAATTTCCAGTCTTTGTCTTGAGGAAGTGCGAGCTGTTTCTCCTTCATGTCTGATATCAAGTTCAAAGAAAGAACAGAGACAATATCCCATCATGCATCTGTGAGATGCAGGGTACTTAACTTTTACTTTATATTTCAATGTCATGCATCTTATTATTTCAAGTCCAATTATGTTTGGTGCAGTTTTACTTCAATACAACACAGTGAATAGATACTTAATAGATTAAGACTGCTTTGGACAAAACAGTTAACGATTTAAAAAAATGTATTATATTATCAGCGCTCAGAGGTAAACCATGCAAATACACTTGATCCCAATTTAAAGTCCACTTGACCAATAAAACACTCCAATCTTAAGTAACCTTGAAGCTCAGATCAGGATAAGGGAGAAAAAATGTTAAAATCTCTTTTACCAGAGACAGAGTAACTCAAAGGAAGGCCTTACAGAATTTGACCATGAGGTCAAAAGTTACAGCCACTGACATTTTTCAACATGTTGAGTAAGTAAATAAACAAGAAGGAGGTTCAAGTAGAAAGGCCTTAAAAAGAAATATACACCGATGTTTCTTTCTTCTGCTGTGCAAAGAAAACAGACTTTCTCAGGTATGGCACAGCGGCGTGTATGAAACCCTTGACCACAGACAAATTGTTATTCTCCAAAACCCCTGATATTTATATGTTGGAACACAGTCAATAAGTTGATTTGGAAAAAGGTGATCATTATAATTAAAATCTTACTTGTCATCTCAGACCTTGAGAAGTACATCATTTATGTTGTAATGACCTCACAGCTCGCCTTCATTTACAAAGATTGATCTGAAGGCAGGTTGCAGGTCGACAAAGAAGTTGACAAAGTATTTATGATTGTACCTTTGGTAAAATTAGCATTAGGTACTTTGTTACACAAATGATTAAGATAAATGATAAATAAAACAGGTCCTAGAAAGGAACCTTGTGGGACACCATTTAGTATAATCAAAATACCCTCAATTTTGACACATAACTTAAGATATTGCAGAATAACTTCAACAGTCTTTGTTTCTGTATCAAATACTTTTACTTTTGATACTCGCTGAAGTAACAGTTTTTTTAAGTTTCATTGTCATGGAATATTTTTATAGCAAACTGCCCCAGCTTTCACTTTAAAAGGCCATAAATACTTCTTTCACCACGAGCCCTGCTTGTCTTTGAACTGCAGTCAAGGGAGATCATGCAAACTACAACTAAAAAGGCCCTAAAGCTCTCTGCTATGCACTCCTGCTGTGAGGGAGATATACCAAACACACAGTACTTTGTACTCCAAGTCATGTGTTCCTCCCTCTGTGCTGTACAGTCTATTCAGCATTTGAAAACTTCTCTGTTGCTGCCATCAATTCAGATTAGCTTTATCTTACAAAAAAACTTTTAAAAAGTAAGAAAACCATGAAAAACTTTAGAAAGACAGACGGTGTTGAGCTCTATGTTACAGGATTGACAGACGTGCATTCAGCGGCATATGTACTGAATGTACAGTACAGTATGTTCACTGAGCTGCTGTGCCAATATCTGCTCTGGTAATCCTTAACTTTCTATTTCAGATGGGGTAAACAACCGATCAAGAAGAAATGCAGGGTAGCAAAACAAGGGAAATGATGTAGTAATATTATCACATTATTTGGCAACAATTTAGTAACCGTGTGAACACATGTTAAGGTAAATGAAATATTTGCTTTCAAACACGACTAAGGCGTTGTACACAATGTTACAGTGTCCTTATTATCTGGAGCTGTTTTTAGTCGATGTATTTACACCATAGAATATATATAGAACAACCGCTGTCTGCCTCCTCACTGGGTGAAGCCACCCCAAGAGCAGCACCCTCTGGTGACGGGCTGCAGTATAGGTCATAAATCCCCCCTCCTCCAGCAATCCCTATGGAGCTGTGGACAATCTTTAGGAATTAATTACACAGAACATAAATTTTTCTCCCACTTGGTTGGGATGTTGACATGTAGTTATTGTAAGACTGGTTTGTGCTCAAGTCCTCTTTTTTTCTGTACAGCTACATTTTTAAAAGTTATTAGGGGGTTCATGTTTTCTATGATTGACACCTGATACAGCCTATGGGTGTACGAAGATTGCGTAGCTCACCCAGGGGATACGCTGTTTGAGCTGAATTTCAACACTGCGCAATTTTGGTTTCAAGAAATGGAGAAAAAACCTGGAAATACCGAGAGCTTTTTGACTTCAAATCCGTATACTGGAACCAAGTTGTCCACAGTATATACAGTCTATGATTTACACACATTCATACTTTGGCAAACTGCTTGTAAAATTTTGTGAATCACTAATGTTCGGTAAGTCACTCTGTAGTGATTAGCAGCTTAGCAATGCACTCACCAGCTCTGCTGCTGTTGCCTGGATTGCAGGACAGGATCTTACTCCACTTTTCCCTCGATCAGGGAGGGTTTGAGTCTGGTATCTCCTCTCTGTGGTCATTTCCTGATGCAGTCTAGTGGTCGCCAACACAGCTTTGGTTGTTGAGAATTACTCACTGTTGTTGTGTGTTTTGACCAATCACAATCAAGCATCTATCAGAGCCTGGTCATAAATAATATACCTTGACCTATGGAGGCATTCATATTGACTCAAATAAAAGGGGTTTTTCCTCAAAATAGTGATATCATCCTATATCCAGGGTTTAGTTATAAATAAACTTGACCCTGCAGAATACAGAATGTTGTTTCTCCAATTTCAAGCACTAAAATAGAGCTTACTTTAGAAGTAACAGCAGCTTTCCAAGGATATCCTATCCTACAGACAAGATCAGAGAATTTTAAAAAAAGATGGCAATCCATGATGATTTATGCATTAATTTTAACAGAAAAGCGATGTCTCTGTTGTTAGCTGTCTGTGCTAGACAGAGGCTGCCATCTTTGTTTTGATCTTTTGACCAATCAAGACGCTCTGTCTGTGATTGAGTGGCCTTTAAGAGTGAAGAGTGAAGGTAGACTGAGGAAGACATGCTGCTTGCTCTCAGCACAGATATTCAAATGATAGAACTGTTCTGAATGAATTTATTCTATTCAGCTTATTCTAGTGTACGAAGATCTATGCTTGGGTGCTTCATTTACACATGTGATCATATTTAGTTCCATTTAACAGTGAACATTTCATTTTAATCATCTTATTGCTGTCAGAAGAAAATGTGTTTTTATATATTTAAATTCCTCACAACAAAGTCACCACTCATGTTTGTTTTGTGTTGATAAAGTAAAATGATCACTTCCTGAGATGTGTCCTTCAAAAGATAAAGATGCTTGTAACAGGAGAGGTCTGCATTTATGAACTGTGAACACGTTATATAAACGTTAAGGGTGTAAATGGGACCTTGGACCTGATCCACTTTCCGTGGCAGGCTTACAGAGTCTGAGCAGGACTTAGAGTGGCCTTAGTCATCATTCTTTCCCCCAGTCCAGTAATCAAAGTACTTGGATGACAGTTAGTAGTGATATCCAACTCTGGGGACTCTGCTGCTCGGCTCTAAGCGCGGCTACATCAGCACTTATGACTGACAGCTTGAATCATGTGTTTGCTGAATTGGACTCTGGAGATGTGAGGCTTGTTGGGGGTGCATTGTCCACTCGGGCAGCTGCTGGTGCAGCATGTCTCATCTGGACATTGTTTAGTAAATGTTTGCGGCTTCATATCAACTTTGTGGCTGACTGCTACGTGACGAAGGGATGATCTGTGCTGTTGATTTTGTGTATATTCCTGCACCGTGGCGGATTTCCTGAACAGCAGGATTGCTATGTTCATCTATTTATATAAAAAATGACACCTCAGCTGTAACCATCAGAGCATCCCCCTCATGTGCAAACACATCCCGGAGTGACTCCAAACACATGCTGTCAAATATGAGAAACTTCCCCACGTGGCTTCATATGCATACGCCTCATTATGGGTTAACCGCAGCATTGAAACACCTGCAGAAAGCTGAGATGGATGGACGGACGGAGGCAGGAGGTGGGAGAGAAGCAAGGTAGGAAGGCGTGAAGATGGACATAGCGGAAAATTCAGTGACAGAGAGATGTCATCATGACATATTCCTCCATAACACGCCATCACCTAACACATCCGCATAAACCTGCAGGGCATGCATCTTCATTAAATGCTCCTTTTTTATCCTGCGCAAATGAATCTTCCTTTCCACCAAAGGAACAGATGTGTGGAAACAGCTTGAGATTTGAAATTACAAGAAAATGGGATTTACCACTCCTCTTGCATTCACACAACACCTTAATACGGAGTCCCATTAGCACCAAATGAGGATGAGTTATTCACTCTGAGAACAGTTACACCCTCCAGTCCTCAGGGTGACAAAAATGATCTCATTTGAGGAAGCTCATCTGGTTATGTGGCACAATAATGGCTCCGGATGAGCTACCTTTAGAGACTCAAGTTCAAGATATATACCATTATCACTTGTTCATTACTGTGGAGGCTCCTGGCAATGACAGATGATATATGGCCTTGCTGCCACAGAGTCTGCCGTAGGTGTCTCTCTTCTGTTGAAATGTAAGGAGTACCTGCCAGGACCCGGGGCTCTCCAAGGTCTATATTGCAGACACATTCCTCTCCGGAGAAGCACTCTTATTGAAGAATATGTTCCCTCTTCAGACGGAAAACAAGACAAGATCAGATCTAGGAGACAAGAAATATGCATTTTGCAAGCCCATTGGGTATTCCAGACAAAATTAGCGTCATGAAATGGAAGAGAGGATGTGAATGGGGGTAGATGGCGAGCCACCTGAGCTGATAATCGTGTATTATTTAGCAGGTGCAGATGTGAATATTCACACCGTTGGACACTTTCCACTTTCAGCATGTGCATGCGTACGCGCACAAGCTAATGGAGTCTGTGGAAAGTGGTCATGCATTTTTGTCAAAAAAATCAAGGCAAAGTCACACATTTGAATCGCCATCTGGAAATTGGCTGCAACATTGCTCAGCCCCAAACCTCCAGGTAACACAAAGGATCTACTCAGCAATGCAAATTAGCAGCGAGGAAATTTGAGGGAGTGTCCGCAGAGGCTGAATACAAGGCCAAAACATTTTATTCCAATGTTTCGAATGCTCATTCATTTGCCAGATTGGACACGCAGAGGCTGCCCCCGGCCCTGGAAATAATGGTCTTAACGTATTCAGGCAGACTTTGAAGACAAATTGGTGCTGAAGGAGCACAAACGCAAATCCATAACCATTCTACATCTTCTTAGAATATTTTTCACCTCCTTATCAACTCTTACCGAAGCACCTCCGCTGAGTACGGTGTAATCTTCTAATCTCTCTCCCTTAGGCCACACATATCCAGGTATGTGTAGTTAGATCTGTAGTGAAGCAGCCAGATTCATCCTGAGATAAACTGGGACAACATGATGAATAGATAATAAAGGCACCCAGGGGAGAGCGCTATCCGGGTTAACTCCACTGCATAAAGATACCATTTGTAATGATGGCTTGGAATCAACAGGGAAGTGCAGTGAGCACAGCTAACTGGGCTCCAAAGTGACCAAATCAGTCCTGACTTTGCTGATGCAGCAGATGGGAGAGTACAAACCAATTGTGGCTGTGACAACAACAAGCAGGGTGATGAAGTACCAGCGAGCAGCCTATCTGGGTCTCACCTGCTCGCAACAGCTACAGGCTACTGAGTGCTAAACACAAACAGCTGAACAGTGAGTTGAAGCGTGTTGAAATGTCAATCTTTGCAGTGTCAATGAGGTCGGGTGATTTATTGGGAGTTCAGGCTCTGACCTCTTCACTCTCTGAAAGCTCAGTGGAGACCGCAGGCAGTAATGAACTTCTATTCCAAAGATACAGAGTCTGATGGCAGCTAATATGTGAGGCATCTCTTGTGTGGCTTCACCTCTGCTAGACACCTTAGACAACCCCGACATCAGCCAACTCACAGATGAAGGACATATGACAATGGAGATCAACCTTTAACCAGTTCAGAACTATCAAATTTAGTCTGGAACAATAAAAACAAAGCAAATGAAATCAGAAGGAGCAAAATAATTCAGTTTGACGGTTTGTTCTCAAGCTTAAAGGGATATTCTGGCGTGAAATTAATTTAGGGTCAAACATACCGTAACACCGAGTTAGACACCCCCTCAAGAGATGAATGTTGCCAACCGCTTGCTTCTCTAGTTATACCAACTTGAGTAACAACCGCAGGATAGCAATACACAGCAGTCTGAGGAGCCATAAACAAACCTCCACCGAAATGCCACTCTATAGCCACAAATAATGCTCAGAACAGCACCTAACTTCATCACCAGTACAAATAGAGTCCCAGCCATAGTACTACTACATAGCCACCGAACATCTTTTTAGCTTTGACTGATTTATTTAGAAAAGAGACTAAACACAACTCACCCACTCTCCTCCAGCAGCCGTTTGTTTGTAGCAAGGGCCAGTCCATTACCGACTGCTGCGAGTTGCTTTATCTGAGGATCCTTTCAAGTAGTTGTGGGCATTTTTCACATCACCTACAAGAGGAAATAAGGGGAGCAGAGAGGGGAAGGCAGATATGTTACAAATGGTTGTAGCTGGGAGTTAAACCAGCAACTGCAATGCATACAGTGGCCTATTTTATGCTATATTTATCAATTTGGGATTTAAAAAAAAAAGTTTACTCCAGTCTGCACCATCATTTCCTAACTGAAACTAGGTACAAATCACAAACTAATAATTTTAGATTAGTAACTAGGCTATACAAGTAAGACTATATGCTATATGAACAGTTTAAAAATAAAAAAGTGTGTTTCTTTTGCCCAAGAATCAGCAATTTAATTTCTAATTCAGTGAAGCTAGTAGCCGAACATCCATGGAGACCACTACATCGCTAACAGCTATGTGGCTACAAACACAAGAAAGACAAACCTTAATAGAGTAGACTATTAATCTATTCATTTATTTACTTTCTTACCTTAGTCAGTAAAATACTTGAGCAGTCTTCTGCGAGTTTTGAGGCCGTTTAGTGCCGTACGCCTGTAGGGCTGAATATAGCAGTCCGCTGCAATGTTTAACCTCGCCGCTAGATGTCACCGATTCTCCCAAACCACCACTTTTCTATGAAACCAGAGGAAGAAACAACTCTAAAAGGGAGATAAAACATGGGGTTTATTCGTTTAAATGATCACATTTAATCACAGAAAGATGATGGTGAGTAAAAGACACACTTAAACAACAAAACACATCAAAACGAGGTCTGAGACAGTTGTAGCATAGTTAGCCTAGGAGCTAACCGAGGTCACCATGACACGCCAGAGACACTCCAGCACGTCTGCTAAGAAGACAAGCTGTTTATTTAAGAAGTTTATTTATGCAGTGAAGCATCCTTAATCCCAAATTTAAGCTTTGTAAGAAGAATGGAGTCATTAAGAGGTGTGGAATTAATTTTGAGACAAATGCCCAAAGTCCAGAGATAAGTTCTGGTCTGTGCAGCTGATGCATGACTAGCAAGTTGGGTCCGAGACCTCCTGGAGTCTGGATATTAAAGCTTTTATTCATGTTGGTTGTATCAGTAAAAGTTTGAATCACAGGTTTACCAAGTTTGCAAATGAATTCAGTTTGAAAATACCTCCTTACAGCCATGGGTGGGTGGTAGAAGTGAGTGGAGAGTGACATGTGGGATGCCTTCCCCTGCTTTGTCAGTGTGTCAGGTGTGTTGAAGAAATTCATATCAAGAAGTTTGTCTTGTCCGCAGGTGGCAGCACAGTTTCACGCCTGATGCCTTTTCTTTCCATCCATATCACCAGGACCTGCAACAATAGGATCTGACAAGCCGTGTTCTAGAAATTAGGATGCATGCCAGGCCGTCAACGCCAGCAAGCCATAAATGTTTCATGTGGTGCTGATATGGTAATCATTGGATCCCTACAATGACACCTTGTGAGAGTTGGATAACGATGGCTGTCTTTCAGGCTTGTGTGACTCTGGATACGGTCCAACAGCTGAGGCACAGCCTGAGGAGTGAATCAGCCGGTTAAAAGTGCCTGCAATAGGTGGATAAAACTCTTAAAGGTGAGTGAATAAAAGGTGCAGCAGGCATCCTTTTGGCATCGTACAGGGGCGGCTAGAGGAAGACGCCACACAAATGCATTCCTCCGAGTTAAATATGCATCCCGTTTCATGAGGTTTGCAAGTGGGTCCAGGTGCCCATTGGTGGCACAGACCCAGCTGGAGGATGTGGCAGTCTCGCTCTGCTGGCGCTCAGGCTGGCATACTAACAGAGCCAGGGGTGCTTTCACAGTGAGTTGAAAGACACCCAGGGTTCAGAAAACACAACTCCAGCTGCATGTCCACTTGCTCGCTAAAGCTGAAGAGTCTTGAAATCTAAAAAAGTGAATTTTCATTCCTGACAGGAATATTGATCTCATGGTATTAACAACCAGCATCTCCCTGTCATGTTGCACATGAGATCCAGTGAGATTAACGGTCACAGGGGGAAATAAAGACATTTTCCAATCACGAGGGATGAAGCAATAAAAGGCCAGCATGTCTAAAAGAGCTTAATGTATTATTTCTGTGAAGCTTGTGTAAGCCTTTTATTAACGTGAAACAATCTTGTCAGACACCTGTTGTTTCTGCATGGGGGTATTTATTGTCGGACTGTGTCAGCACACTGTAATCCCTGGCTGGAACATGGCTGTATTACCAGAGTGACCTATTCTTGGTCATCATAATTTCCTCAGCGTTTGTGTGTGAGTGGAGAAAGAGAGATGGCGTTGAGCATGTATTTGTGTGTGTGTGTGGAGTCATTGCAGGCACCCTTCAGCCGTTTCAATGAAGGTTTTTTTTTTTTCTTTTTCCCTGACACCCAATGTCATGCAGAACAAATCGCCTATTGCTGACACCAGTGATTTCTTGTCTCCAGTGCTGAGAAGTGTGTGTGGAGGCAAAACAGTTGGGTCTTACTGACGTGGGGACTTGGACAGTTCTGTGATTAAGTGGTAATGGCCCAGGACGTGACAGAGAAACAGGGGATTTCATCGGTCACGGGGCAAGAAAAACTGCACACCCATGTGTCTGTGGGCTATTTTTGAGGGAGTAGATAATCATTTCTCAGATTTCTTTCTCTGTAACTCCTCATCTCTGTATAAGAATCACCTTAAATTTCAGTTTTTAGTGACTGATCATCATGAGGGATATTAGAGCTTTAAAACAAGCATGACTCTATGCCGCGCCTGCCTTAAATTCCAATGTCTGCCTGCGGGCTTAACCCACTAATTGTGGCCTGAGTCCCTTGGGTACCAATATTGTTGCATGCTTGTGGCAGGGTTTAAGGGCACAGTTATATTAAGACCTGCGTATTTTAACATCTATTATGGAATGCACTATCAGCTCAGATAATCAGGGTTGTGCGCAGACTGATTTATGTGTTGTTGAGGTGTAGTGTTTCACTCTTGGGAGGGAGTCGGTGTCATCGTGTTGCACAGTGTGAGACGGTGTTTATGGAGCTAAAAAAGGATGGGAATAAACAGTCATTAAAATGTGATGTTTCTTCTGCAGTGTGTAACACTTAAGTGAATGTTTTCAGATTGGCACTGTGGCATTTAAGGTGGTTGCTTTGTGAGGTAAAAATGATGTTATGGGGACATCTGCTGGACAACTGCAGGCATGAGAAGGAGTGTTTTGTTTTTTATTTCCATCTTCTGGTATACCCCTAAGATCAATTCTTTGGTGGCTTGTTGGGATTGAATGACTTTGCTTGGATAATTATGTTTTTTTCTGTAAAGACTGTGATCAAAACTAATGGTTTGTTTACATGGGACTGCATGATATTGAGGGGAAAATGAGAGTGTGATGAGAAATTACAGCCATTTGCAATTCTTGTGATGTACAGGTGATCAGAGGAGAGCTCAAGAACCATTATCCTGACCCTGAACAACACCAAGAATTTGTCCAGGGGAAACCTGTGAGCAGCCTCTACCTCAGTCATCCAAGGTAAGAAATGCAGTCACCTGATTATTGACTTGATAGATATTCAGTATCAGCATATCAGATATCCTTTTATTTTGGACTAAACAGACACTGATGAATCTGAAGGTAGCTGTGCGTGCAGGGTGAAAAGCACTGACTGTTTACTTGTATGTATTTCAGTGCATTAGTTGTGATTGTTCATATGACAAAGATAATGGTACTGAAAATCATTTTGCTGCCCCAGCATGAGGCATTTTACTATTTTTGCTCCAACTGTACAGGATGTAAACCTGTCTGAGAAATTTGAACTTGCCTTCAAAGTCAGTGGGAAAAGTCTATATTTAACTTTTTTGAAACAACATGATGTAAAGATGCCTTTCAGTAACTATGAATATGTTAGACTGGTCAATTTACCGCGCTGGCCCTTTAATAACAGGCTTTTAGGAGGCATCTGGCACAAATATAGTTGAAATAACTTAGCTTTTGCAATAACTAACGCAGTGTTGTTTCATAAAATCATGCTGGAGACGCCTGTAGAGAACCCCAATGGAAGCTAGCTTATCAATCATTGCTGATGGAGTCAACATTACCACATCATTTAGCTCATCTTAGGAAATTTAAACTGAAAAAGTGAACTCTTGTGTAAGCATATGCTTTATTTTGAAAATTTAAGCGTTTCACTTTTCCCATTTGTTTTTGGACTATTTTTAGACATGACACCAAGTGTTCCTTGGCCTGCAGTGCTGTGCTAACAGGAGGGCAGAGAGTTCCCTAGTGACCTGGTGGTGCAGTTGTGTAAACTCAAACTGTGATCCCATACCCACAAACTTGAAGGAGCTGCTGTTGTCACAAATCGTTTTACCAACTTTCTTCAATTTTTAGAAGTCAGAGACACGTGACGGCACTTTTTAAAGTTGGATTTCGTCCCTCTCTCTCTTTCTTTTAATTGCATTTTGACACGACCCACGGTCAGCAGATTATGTTCAGACTATCAAAATACACTGTGTGAGTCAGATAGGGAGGGGAAACCTGAGCTGAAAGAGGAAACTTTAAACCATTACTTTATAACCCCGATACTGTTCAGCATGCGGTTTAAACTGATCTCAAACTGAGATGCAAAAATCAATCACCAATCAGTCTTTAAGTGCTTTACATAGCAGAGGAATAAAAGAAACAAAGAAAACCCTAATCTACCCAAACCCAACCCCTCATTCCCACCCCGCAATCTAAGCACAATAGAAACGTGTATTAAAATGCATGAACTTAAAAAGGGCTCGATTTCATATAAACAGGATAACAGGATAGCTCAATAAAAGATAATCCTGTCTTTATCATATATCAAAGTATACCAGTGTAGTGGATAAAATTCAAGCTGACTCATACATTATAGACCCAGTTAGTAGGTGTGTCCCAAATCGCATACCTCCATACTAAACACTTAAAATTTTGAGTATACTCAACTCAAAATGGAAAAAAGTATGGATAGTATGCCAAAATTAAGTATGCAAAAGTACCCAGATGATGCACTCAAATCAGTCAAGATTCTGAGTATGCGACTGTGGACACTTGCCCGCACTCATTTCATCGGTAAGAATGGCTGCAGACGGCTGTGGTGCCATTGGGTCGGCGACAGTCGACCTGGGAGCTTTGTACAGATGTAAGTAATAAGTTACCTTTATATATTTTATATGAATATTTTAGATTTTAGATTTAATATATAAAATACATTTAAAAAGTAGTTTTTTGTAAATAGTTTTTTTTTCCAGTTTTAAATACTGAATTTGTAAATAGTTTATCTTTAATTACTGAGTTCCAAATGTCTAATATGTAAATAGGGTATCCTTAGTATTCATGTTCTAAATTTTTTTATATGTAAATAGTTTGTTATTTTTCTGTTATGCGCAATAAATGTTCAGACATGAAGCAAATCACATCGTCAGTATGTGATTTGGGACAGCACTTACCCTTGAAACTTGCGCACTACGCAATTGAGTACATAGTATGCTTATTTTACTCAATTTGAAAAATCTAAGTGTTTAGTATGGAAGTATGCGATTCAATGCTTTGCAGGTGGAGGGACACATATGTGTCACTCCTGTTGGAGGTTACAGTAGAGCCTGAGGACCACATGTAATAACCAGGACTATATATATGCTCAGATTTGGCCCATATACAGACGCTGATACCTGGGCTTTGAGTACCAGTCATTACAAGTTGATACCCATGATTTACACTAGTCTAAAATGATATTTATGGAAAATGACTGTGTGTGTTTGGTAGGCTTCAAAATGAGTATTATTATGTAATCTGGGACTTGACTTCTGTGCACTGCATAACCACTTGGAAAATACAAGCACTGCATGATGGGTAATGTTTTTGGGCGGATTCCGTGTTCCTCGAGGTCCTTACATAACCTCTATAGTGTGTTTATTTGACTAAATAAATAAATAAATGTCATTTTTTGATGGAGCAGCGAGGCCAGCTGCTCCCTGACCCCCGCACATATGAATGACATTCCACTCATCCACCCAGCACGCCATAACGGGTGTCACGACCAATCACATTTCGGGAAAAAGAGCGCTGCTTCCCAACGGATAGCCGCGTCATCCAATCAGAATTTTACAACGGGCAGGAGCGCCCGCCCTCATTCCTCGCATAGCCAATTAGAGCGGAGCAGTAATTACTAATTCATTACATTGCAAAGGGGAGTGACGCAGTTATTGTAGATCTATAGCTACTCCATGCTTTTTTAGATGACCTGAAGTAACTCTTTTTATTCAACATTTTGGGCGTAAAACTGAACTTAAACCGAAAGGGAGGAGAGGGGAATCTCGCTGCGTTTTTAGAGGCTGTATGTCGAACATCTGCGCCTCTTGAATTTGGATGCCATTCCGGTTGGAGGTTGCGGTAGACCCCGAGGACTAGATGCGATAACCAGGACGAGATATGCCGCAGCCGAAATCACGAAAAATCGCCATCCTCGGGTACAGATCCGTAGGTGAGTTCTCAACGAGGAGGCTGTGGAGTCTGAATCCTATCTTAATGGTGTGTGATGCGACGCGGTGGCTCCGTTTGAGCGGCCTTTCTGTCCAGTGCAAATCCATCATAGGAGCGGTTTACGCCTCCTATAATAGACTTAAATTATAGGGAGTAGGATCTGTCACGCAGCATCTCATCGCGTGAGAATGAGCGCCACCAGGTGAGCACCAGGCCTTTCCCCAAAACAATATGTTCAAGATGGATATCTTTAACACTAAAGAGGGAAAAACTGATCACCCTCCCCATCATTGACCCTCACCCTGGCGGCGTTAGTTTGTGCCATGCTGTGTGCGCGCAGGCCCGGAGCAGGACCACCGGATTTGACGCATTACTGTGCAGATTTTTTGATCGTATTTGTAACCGGAGCAGAGCAGTCTGAACAGGGGATGCTGTGGATGGCAAGATGGCACACACAGATAACACGGCTGGAGGCCTGGATCACATACCAGCACCAGCAAAAAGGCTCGGATATATTCACATCATAACCAAAACATGAATGCATCCCCGTTTTATTTTGCAGATTTTCCATCAATAAATAAATGCATGGTGAAGTCTAATGTGTTATTTTGCGTCATGTAAATGTAAGAAGCAGCTTTCAGATCTCTTCATTTATCCTCAAGCTACAATTTATGATCCATGCATATAAATATATGTTAATATATTTAAATATAAATTAAATATATAAAGAAAGGTTTGAATTCTTTTCTTTTTTTTGTTTTATTTTGATTTTAGTAGTGTGAACTTCCTTTTAAGTGGGATGCTTTCTTCTTATTAGTGCTACCTAATTCATGAAATTAAAGCTCTTTTGAGGAAATTTTGAAACATATGCAATTGACCGAAATTAGTACGAACATCGTATAATGAAATCGAAAAGCATAACAGTGGCATGGCTGATACCAGAGCAAGACGGTAGGTGAAGAAAAAGTCTACTTTTTCCAATTTCCACATAAAATGTTCATTGATTTTTGAGCCATTCCGACTCCGGTAACTTTTTAAGAACTTTACTATAAATTTTTCATAGGGCTATTTTCAACCAGTATATAAATATCAATTTTTGTTGTCTATAAAAAAGTACAAGGGCTAACATTGGATATTTAAGTTGACCCACCGTACACAGTACAATTAGTTTGCTGCTTCAATGTTAGCAGAAGACAGAAGTAAGTTATTGTTTCACTTATCTGATTCTGGCTGGTTAGCGGAAGACTGGCGCAGTGCATCAAAGACGGGGCACTCAGGTATTTCTCCTCCATGAATCCTGAGGTGTTTAATCATGTTGGTGGTTCACCCTCCTTTGCGTGATAAAACTGTGTTGCTGATGTTGCACTGAGATAAGAGTTCATTCTTCCTGCTAAAGTTAGCCAAACTCTTGACCGCAGCCGCTGTGGGTTGCAATGCTCTCTCTCTCTCTCTCTCTCTCTCTCGCTCTCTCTGTCTCTCTTCCGTCTCTCTTCTGTCTCTGTGTGGCTTCGTCCTCGTTGGTGTTCGGCGGACTCCAGCATCCAAACTTTGGAATTGAAATTTTAGAATTTGAACGATTCCAGGAGAATCGAAATGTTAGTCCCGGTCCCCATCGATGCCCAACCCTAATAATAAATTATGCATGATTATCAGAGGGTGCTGTTTGAGCATGTGCAAAGACTGCTTTGTCCACAGGGGGCGCCAAAATTAACGCAAACCAAAAGTTCACAGGAGCTTTAACAAAGTTTTAATGAAACATTTTCAGGATGTACCTGACCAAACACAGAAACCAACACCATGAGCTCAGTTGTGAACAAATAATAGTATCACTATCTACAACAAACACAATGAACTGGTGAGTGAGTGTTTTTCCAACATGTGACGACTTTGTGTTTACAGTATCCATCTGTGTTTTTCAGGAAAGTCCTCCTTGACGATCCAGTTTGTGGAGGGACAGTTTGTTGACTCCTATGACCCAACAATAGAAAACAGTAAGTTTGGAGGTCTTTTGTTTTGTTTGTGGTACACAGGCTCTCATCCAGAAAAATATTGAAAGACTCTAATCCTGCAGGGTCCCTGTGCAAACGTAGGTCAAACAAAAGTCAATAATATCAATTATGGTATTAACAGAGGTGGGTTACAGGCAGGGTGGATAACCGTTGTTATGGAGAACCCTGACAGGTTCCTCAACATCATTATGCATGACTAGTTTTAGACTATATAGAGGCACACTTAATATACTTATAAAAAACACTAACAGTGTATATATGATGACCTATAGTCCGCTCTGTCTGAGGTCAAGTTATAATGTATTTAAAAAGCTCTCAAACACAATCTATGTTCTGTCCCTACTGAATAGGGTTTTCTGTTGCCATGGAGATGTTTGGTTAGCAGTTATCATATGACTCAAGTATGGATTCATAATAATGATAATAATCTTATTGTACATAGTACTTTCAAAGAAAGAAACATGGATGAACCAGCAATGACCCTCAACCATTCAAGTCCACATTAGTTATGAAGAACTTATGATAGCTGGACAGTCTGTAGTTTGTTGTGCAGATAACCCTCTCTAAAAGTGTCATTATATCTCATGTAGTTCAGTTTTTCTTTGTTTCTTTTTAAAATCTTATCAAACTCCCTTTTTTTGACTTTTCATTATTCATAAAACCTGAATTCAGGGATGCTGAACACAACTTTTAGCCCCAGTACAGACACTTATACCTGCACTTTGGGTTTCAGTCGACTTCATGGACTGATCTGGTACCTGTGATTCAGTAATAAGCTTTAAACACTCCTAAAACCTTATTCCTTACCTTATAAAGTCCTAAACTATGATTGGTTAGTGGCTGGACTTGTGTTGCCAGTTAAAAACTTAAACAAACCTCTAAACTGCTAAAGCAAGAGTTCTCCAATCCAACTTGATTTGTTGAACACTTTAAAACATCCACAGAGGACCAAAGTGCTGTACAGGGTAATAAAAGTATCAGAAATAAAGACGTAACATCTTACATAAAACATAAAATTACATCTAAAAATAGATAAAATAATGGAAAAAGCATTTAACATGGGTAAAATAATAGCCGTGCAAGCCAACGGAACAAAGGCCAAGGAGAAGAGGTTGGTTTGTTATACCAACATCAGTGTAGCATCGCTCATCCCTGCAGGACTACTGCATGAAGATTGGTCTCTCCCCAATGTCATTTTATTAATAGAAGATTAATAATAAACCGAGCGGATTCCCAGCGGGCTGTACTGTTCCCTCTCTGGAAAAAAAAAAAAAAAGTTTCCAGTCACCAAACCAGCTGATTCGATCAGTTTTCACACTAAAAAAACTACCAATAAAAAAACTCCTAATGTCTTGAATTATCCGTAGCAGACTGAGCTGGTGATATAAGTTTGCACATCACAAGTTCAGGGAGGAAATCTCTGACAGTTCTGCTCTGAGAGAGAACATACAGTAATTCAGCAGCCTCCTAAACACACACAATCCCAGACACTCGGGAGATTTGACTCTAAACCTCCCCTGTAGGCTGTTTTTCCCGACATGTTCACTCACATACCACCCTGCGTCTCTCCACTGTGTGGTCTGTATCTATAAATACTGTCTGGATGGTTAACATATAGTGAAGTGTCAGCGTTATCAGCGTGGAGCTGCAGGCAGAGCGATGCCTCGGTTCTGCTGTAGATAATATGACCCATCTCCCGGCTGATATTGACATTTCTGTGCTGAATGAACTCAGTGGCACTGAAAGGGATCTATAACGGGCTGTGTCTTATGTGTCTTGAGATTTGCAGACTGAAGATGTAGTATAGTAATGAGGATGCAGTTGGCTGTATAGTACAGTATATGGAGATGTACTAGAGTGCTGGTGTATCTCACTTTTCGTGCGTTTTAAAGTGAAATGGTAAATCTCTTGAAATCTTCTCCTTCTTCTCCTGCAGCATTCACTAAAATGATCACAATAAACGGACAGGAGTACCATCTTCAGCTGGTAGACACAGCAGGACAGGTATGACTCACTCTGTTCCTGTCGTCTGCCAGTCTGCCTCTGATTTTTATGTTAATTCCTCTTCATACGATTGTGTTTTTTCCCACTAGTTTGCTGTTAATTCTGCTTCATTAATTAGTCAGAATGACATTTAATTCCTTCTGTTCCAGCTTTGCATATTAATCAACTCCAAATTTCTGCCTCTGCAGGATGAGTACTCCATCTTCCCACAGACCTACTCCATAGATATCAACGGTTACATCCTGGTCTATTCAGTCACGTCTAATAAAAGGTGATTTCCCCTTCTTATGGAGCTGACTGTGTTTTAATTAAGCACCGTAAAAAAGTCGAGCCGCAGTGAGTTCATGAGTGACGAAGAACAAACTTTCCCCTTGTGTCTTCCAGCTTTGAAGTTGTACAAGTTATCCATGAAAAATTATTGGACATGGTGGGAAAAGTTCAGTGAGTGCATCTTTCTCCTCGTCTTTCATTTTCTCCTTCCTGTCTTGAACCACGGCTCTCTAAAATGGATGTAATACATCATGACAATCTGACAGTGTGCTGTACTCTTTCCCCTCCACGCAGAGTACCAATTATGCTAGTCGGGAACAAGAACGACCTACATATGGAGCGGTATGTCCAAACACACGCGTCCACTAAAGACAGTTAGGTACACACATGAGGCGCAGCAACCCAAGTCAGAATGTCAGTATGTTTTATTGGAAGAAATCCATAACCAAACATGCAGCCTGACCCGTGACAAACACAAACTAACACTGGTGAGATTTTAATATCTTCCTCACAGATCACCAAACAAAAAGAAAAAGGCTTTTTTTCTATGTACTCGAAAGTGTTTATCCGAGCAGTTTCTTTGGAAGCTGACACCGCAGCCTTTTCTGTAAAATATTCATGTGTTTGATTCTGACTGACTGACCGGCCTTCTGTCTGCATGTGTGTTTGTGTTTGTTTGTTTGTTTGTTTGCATGTGATTTCTTCTTTTTGTTTCGTAGAGTAATTAGTTGCGAAGAAGGAAAAGCATTAGCTGAATCCTGGAACGCTGCCTTCATGGAGTCCTCAGCTAAAGAGAACCAGGTAAGAGCCCCGTTGGTAGGAGTAAAAGCCCAGAGAGCGTCATGTTTGATGCTGTTCTGCTGGCCTGATTTTGAAAGTCTAAACGTTGGTCAGATGTTGGTCTCACAAAGTCATTTAAAGTCCAAATCTGCCAAGGTGGACTCCCTTTAATTTGTAAAAGATATCAAAATTGGAGACCACAAACAGACAATTTTTAATCCCGAATGCGCCCTCCTCCATCTGTTTGAAAGCGTGGAAGCCTGCAGCACACTGATGTTTGTATGACGAGTCTGAACTTCACGAGCATCTGCTGAGGACACTACTAACAGCTGACTGAACAGATTACAGCGCTTTCAAAGAGACAGGAGGAGTGGGCCGCTGCACATGCTCTGAAATACTTCTATGAAACGAATCAGATCAGCTGAATGGAAACTGAAGCGGCAGCTGTGAACATCATATTACACTAGACCAACACCCCATAGAGTAAAATAAGGTATTATTAACAGTCTAGGGGCGGGGCAAAAACCAATACGGCAATATATCGACGTCCTGTGTGTGATCATATTCCTACATGCCAGTTATTGCAGAATCATGTAGCGCTGTGTTTTCATTGTGTTGTAACATATTTAGCTTCTTTACCTTAATATATTGAGTTGTTGGGTTTTGCACTAATCTAATATCAGATTATATTACGTTGAATTGTTTCATAGAGGATGGCGTTGTAGTGTTTGTAAGGTGCTGTCATATTGGATTGTATCAAGTCATGATGAGGCTTATCCTGCTGTAGCGTAACATAAACAGCTTTGTTTTGTATTGAGAGACACACTGTTGTGTAGTCAGGTGTGTTGATGAACTTCGTGGACTAAAGGCTGTTTTTTTTTTAAACCTCTGTTCCTCAAAGTTGGCTACTTTTTGAAAATGCTGAGATGTTTAAATGTGTATCCTCCCCTTTTTTGACTTTATTCAGGCTCAGTTTTTTGTCATTTGAAGACACCCTCAGTATATGTATCAATTTTTTACAAGCTTCTAGGGCTGTGCGATAAATCGGTTAATCAGCATTAATGGTTTTGTATGATTTACAAAAATGAAAATCAAGATTTTTTGAATAACTTCCTCTGCCTCTCCCCCCTCGTTCATTTCCTGCAGAGAGGAACACTCATAATAATGTCATGGCCGCCACAGAGTGAAGAGTTTATTTCCCAAACAGACTCGAACAAACCACAGTGTTCAGAGTCATGTCTTTGTCAGTCGTAGTTTTTATTTTAGGAGGAAAAGAAAAATCGATAAAAATCTTCAATCACGTTTATATCATTAAAAATCTGATTTGATTTTTAGTAATATCGCCCAGCCCTAACTACTCTTTTTACATTATAATCTGGTTCACATAGAGGATTTACACAATATTCACCTCAGGAGTTTATAAAGAGAAAAACATCTGATATGTCGGTTTTTACCTCGTTCTAAGTTTGAAAAGAATTCACGCAGCTCACTTCAGGGAAGAGTTTAAGCTTGATTAACCGGATGTACAAGAAAACAGAAACAGGAGGAACAGGAATGAAGTCTCCGAGCCCTCTTTTTGTCTTCTAGTGGAGGTTTCGTTTTCAGATCGTCTGCTGAAAATCAGGTTTGCAAACATGGCTGTTTCGACTGCCTTTAAGAAACAGACACTTCTGTCGTGCCTAAAGTCAGGGAGGCTCCACGCTGGATGTAGAGCGTGCTGCTAGGAAATTCACAGCAGTGTGACTCAAACATGTGACAGTGTTTCTGTGTGTTTCTGTGTGTGTGTGTTTCTCTTAGACGGCTGTGGAGGTATTCCGGAGGATGATCCTGGAGGCAGAGAAGATGGACGGCGGCGTGCAGCCAGGAAAAACCTCCTGCTCCATGATGTAGAGCCGCCCAATCAACACACAGGACACTGCACTGGGAAATCCCGTTACTTGAAGGCTAGCTGCCAGTTCTCCTCCACCTCAGCTGACTCCACCCCTCCAGGGTCCTAAATATCCAATACTGTCTATTTATGGCTCTGACTCCACTGTTATTTATCAGTATTCCCTTTTGTCATCCTCGTTTTTCTTTTTTGTGTTTGATAAAAAAAAAAGAAGAAGAAGAAGAAGGATGAGTGGTGGTTCCTGTGTCTTACATTTCCCCCACAATCCACCTCTCCTCCTCCATCTCTGTGCTCGGCACTGATGCAAAACACAGAACATCATTCGGGTGTATCAGAAAAAATGTTTTTCCTGTGCTCGGTAATGACTACGGCGGTAACCAAGGCCGGAGCTAGTAGCGGCTTGATGCATCTTAGCTTCTCATTATGCAGCTCCCATATATAGGCTACAAGCCCCTTTGCTGTTCCAATAACAAGAGATAAGAGAAATGTCATGTCTGCCATGCACACGCTCTGAGAACGGATAGATAAATACGGACGTTTCTTCTGATACATCATCAGCCGTTAGGTCTCGCCAATATATACAGCTCTTTTTCTACTTCATTTCCACGCAGTGCCCACTTCTCCTCTCTGTCCCCTCGGTTTGTTTTCTTAGCGGTTACTGTCAGCCAAAAAAACAAACAAAAAAAAATCTGCATCCATTTTCTAATGTTGAAAATGTTGTACAAATGTTTTTGATTGTAATCATTAAAGCAAAAAGTGGTTATGTAACAGCGGGGCTGGGTGTGGATCATTACTGCGGGAGACAAAAAGTGTGCAGGGCAAAACATCACTTTTTGGTGTTTTCTTGTGTGCTGCTGCAAATCTAGTCAATTACGCCGTCTCATAAACTCCCAGAAGCCTTTTTTCTTTTTTTTGAGCTTTCAGCAGTCATAAGTGATGATTGTGGATATATATAAACAGTCTAACTTGGTTTAAAGCTCTGCACCAATCAGGGTTTCTGCACTGTCAACATACTGGATCAGTTAAGTCGCTCATTGACACTCAAATTTGATCAACAAACCCAGATCGTGACAAGTTCCTATTGTATCTTCAAGCAACATACACATGCTTAATCTCAAACTGTTTTATTTCTATTATTTCCAGACAGTAGCTGCTTAAATTTCATTCCTGTTCTCGTCACATCAAACCTGGCAAATTAAAACTCCAGTTTGCTCTTCTTCACTGATTTTAAAAGGTGTTGCACAAGTCTTCAGTGCAGCAGTTTATGCTGATGAAGGAGTTCATCTTCAGCATGTCACAGTCCTCCATCCTCATACATTTCTGGTATTGGCCATCTGAGAAAGTTAAAAGACAAAAGCTTGAGTTGCAATGTGGAGAATTTAAGTGGTTATAAAACAGACTAAATTTAAAATCACTGTCTCTTTATCGCCGAGGATAGTGTTTGGGCTAAAACCACAGCTTGAAGAGTATCTTTTAATGAGAGTACTGAGGGTGTGTTGGGAAACTCACATGGTTCACTGAGGAACTTGGTAGCAGCACAGGCGTCCTTTTCAGGGGGACAGGTCTCAACAGTCAACTCACAGGATTGTCCAGCACGTCTGGGGACACAGCGGTGACAGTCCAGGGCTTCACCTGCACATCCAAACCGGCATCAAAACTTCAACTAAACTCCTAATTTAGCTCATTAAAAGCTCAATTTTGGTGAGAACGTGTCCTTACTCACGTTTGCTAGAGTCTATTGATACTCTGTTTTCAAGGGTCCAATTATTAGCGATAATATACCGTATTTTCCAGGCTTTTAAGTCGCAAACCCAGCCAAACTATAAAAAAGTGCGATTTATAGTCCGTAAAATACGGTACCCCTTTTTTTCTGTGCATTGACATCTAAACTTGCACAACAGCCAGTTTCCCCTGGCGCGAGGCCTGAAATGCTAAACACTAAATTTGAACTTGGTGACCCCTAAATGTTCACCAATTTCGGACTGCAGATATCTATAATCCAAAACAATGATTTCACATAGTCCTGTCAGTCTGCATGGGTTGAGAAAAACATCCTGGATATCTGCAGTTTAATTCTCAGGAAAACCCTCAATAACAAAAACTAATTATCCAATCTGTAGTCTAATTTATCTGTATCTGTAATTTAAACTCTTGGGTATCCAAAATTGTGTCATGTTTGCTATTATGGCTGGTAAAATATGATTTTAGGGACCTTGAATAATTTATAATAGACAAATAATCTGAATTAAGACACCTCGAAATCGCTTTAGATATGTTAAATTAAGATTACAGCTGTAGACATTTAGCCCTTTTTAACCCTTTTAATTTTACACCCTTTCATGCTCTTATGGCTGTTTTTGTCCACTACCTTTAGCTGCTGTAAAAACATATCAGAGATATATTTTTTTATTTTTTTCCTCAGATCTCCTCATCAAGCTCAGTCGTTATCAAAAATATATATTAAAAAATTATTATTATGGATTTTAACCCTTTAAATGCCAATTTCAGAGGTTATATCACTGATTTGAGAAAAAAATACCCAAAATGACTGATTTTCATTTAACACCACTAAATCGCTTCAGATATGTGAAATTAAGAATACAGCTGTAGACATCTACAGACTTCTGGTGCAGACATGAAGAGTTTTGATAAGGATACTGCAGATATCTGAAAGTGAAGCGAGATGCACATGAGTAACAACAGAACATAGTACCATCTCATTGCCTCCCACATAACCTCTTGAATAAGTTTGCCTCTTGAGTTCCTAACAGTGTTTAGATACAGTGTCACAGACAGCAGACGTCCTGCTGCACGGTGGTTGTGTTTATCCAGTGGAGAATCAGTAACAGACTCACCGGCTGTAAACAGCAGAGCCGCACTCAGAGCCAAGACCAGCAACTTCATTGTTCTGTCCAACGGTGCAGCCTAAGAGATGAAGAGACAGCACAGACCTGATAGAGCTTGTTCAAAGTTTCCAGACTGATACAGTAAAGACACTTAACTTTTAATTTTTTAAGATTATATAATTTCTAGTAGCTGGTTAGTATCTACTTTTAAAGATTCAGACCTCTTGCAGACATATTAGCATGCAAGCACACCCCCTGCACAGTCATATTTAAAGGATGTGTGGCTAAAAATAACAAGAACATTTGGGTTGTATTTTCCAAAAAGGCAAAAAGAAAGTTAAGAGGATAGTTCTGCACGTGCACATACCTTGCTGTTTCGTCCGTTTCTGTTTCTTCCGCTGACTGGGACGTCTTCATCCACCGCCCCGCTTTTTTATACCTGTTCATACTTTGTCCTGTCATGGTAACGTCCCATTAAAGAGCTGTATCTCTGCTGTGTCAATATGCTCAGCGGCTCCCTCACCCTGGGTACACCATGTTCAGGGGTTGCACTTTCCCAATACTTGGATTCCTGCATTATGCAAGAGCTGTCCTCCTTTTGTCCACAGCTGAGCATGATTTATGAGACATTTTTTCCTACGCTTATATGAGCATTCGGCAACAAGACAAATAAAGATTTATATTAGGTGGATTTCCACCTTGAGAGCACGGTACATGGAGAGTACGAATGCTATGGTTGGATGATGAATACCAAGTGTGTTACCTTTGGCTCAGTCCTTTTTATGTTGAACTAGCACTCAAAAATAATGATAAAAAGACGCTTCAAAGACCAAAATTGTAACCTTTAGTATATATTTTTCAAGGTCCAATTCAGAACGCATTAGAGCTCGCTGAAGACTTCTCAAATACAGGCTAGCTAGCTGAAAAATACAGCTATCAATGCTCTTCACAAAAAAAAAATCAGCCCATTTTGGAGTCTCTCAGAAAAACCAGCTGATGAATAAATGGACTGACATCTATTTGCAGAGGGCGCAGAGTCCATGTGATTTTTAAATAGTGACTCTGAACTGCTGCTTTAGTGTGAATGCCAAACCTCAATGTCCTTTCTCATCTCTTGAATTCCCCTCAAGTGCGATGAATCCTCTCAAAATGTGCCTTTTTTTTTCTCCGCCACAGTAGATGGTGATTAAAAAGTAAAGGGATTCAAACTGTTGGTGAAAAAAGAGATTTTATAAGCCGGGTCATGTCCCTCTTCAGCGCTCTGACCTTGAAATTGGCGATCCTTTCATGTCGAGACCGGGGCCCTGTTGACACCTGGCGTACTCTGAGACCTGAGTACAGCACCTTACATTCACACTTGTCTCTTGATGATCTGATTGCCACTTTATCAGTAAACTGAATTAGCTTCATCAGCTAGATGACAGGAGGCAGGTGAATAAAGTACGTTTGTTATATTACTGATCTATTTGGACTTCATTCAGTCATTTCTCCCACCTGCATCCAAGTGTCACTCATCATCCAGGATGCAATTTCTCCTCGATTTATGTTTAATCTTGTACTTTATATTATGATTGCAAAAACTTCCAAAATTACAAATTTAAAGACCTTAAAACATCAAATCGGTACAAATCGTCATCTCTGTATCGACCTTAAATTGCAGAGTCTAGTTTCTGTTTGTAGTTTGAGCAGCATCATCCACTTTAATGTCAACTAGAATTGGTAGTTATAAGGTAAACAGTCCCAGTTCAGAGAAAAAGGAGGCAAAACATATCTCAGTAATTTCATTTTTAACGTCATTTAATGTCATTATTGTCTTCAAACTGGTATCTTCATACAAGTGCAGCTAATGAGCCCCATTTAGTTTGATTTTAAACACTGAAAACAAGTGGAAAAAGAAGTCATATACTTATGTACTCTAATTCTACTGCTGACACTGAAACCCCTGAACATTGCAGATGTTTGTTATTGCATATAGACACACATTTGAAACCAAACTACAAGAATCTAAACATAGCTGACTCGAGCTAACTTCAGGCTCCAGGCTCACCTAGAAGCCCAGTAGAGTTGAGGCCTTCTGACTTTTTTGATGTTTTTTTTGTGTGTGTGTGTGTGTGTGTCTGTTTTTTACTTGTTTTATCTTCTTGTATCATTTGTTATTTTACTTACCTCTCATTTCTGTCAGTATTCCATCTCTTCTATGTCTAAATCTGTTTTTGTTAAATCACCACTGTTTTGTTTTAAAGGTCCTGTGTGGATTTTTCTGTTTATATTGACTTTGGCGCCCCCTGTGGACAAAGTGGTAACCTTTATATTGATGCTAATTTCATTACGTCCATGTAAAAGTGATATCAACTGACATAATATGTATTTATCACTCAGAGTGGATATTTGAGGTGGAGAAGACGATAAAAGCTGTTTCTTCAGTGTACCTACCCCCTGTTGGAGCGGTAACAGACATTAAAACTACATCATAAGAACTTGAAATCTCATCATCAATTATTTTATTTACTTTTTACAGCTTTGAGACACGTCACTGTTCATTTCAGTTTGTTTCATTATATACCAAAAACTTGAATTTTACGTTCAATATTTGATTTCCTCATATTTCTCTAAGCAAAGCTGGGTCTGAAGTGAACACCCTTATGTCCATGAGTCTGGATCAGCTATCAGATGATAACTGTTTGATTTGCGTGTTCAACAGTGTGCTCAGACCACACCTGAATGTGTCTACATTTCCTCAGTCACTCATTCAGCTCCTCAGACGACAGATTTCTTGTTTGCGTTGTGTCATTGCTTCAAATTTCCCCTTTCTTGTTTGTCTCCCTCTGGTCTGGCAAGGACCCAACTACGACTCTACAACCCCAAACCTATGCAACATCCCTCCCAAAGCCCAATCAAAGCAAAATATCTCCTGTATTGTTTCGCCCTCCAGAGCCAAACTCCAATATCAGCACTGGTCAATGTAAGGGAAACTGTCCATGTGGCAAAATGTTTAAACCCCCTATTGTTGCGCTTTTGTGGCCTCGACCTCGCGATAACACCGCTCTCTCTGCTGCTCATATATATCAGGCTGTCCAAATTTTTCCACTCCTATACTGTGTGGCTAGTTTGGAAGAGAAAACTGTGGAAAATGTCTCAGAGTTCAGGAAAGGTGAGTGCCAAAAACAAGGGAGCGTGACAAAGCCACGCAAACAAAATGTCAGTCACAAAGACAACAATGAAGAAACAACCACTGATACGGCTAAATGACACTTGATGCTCAAAATACGCAGATTTTTTTGTGTTAAAACTGATGCTGATTTTCTGTTGTGATGAATTCAGATCGTGCTTTATGAGGGGAAATGTTTCACTGGGAGGAAACTGGAGATCTGCGGCGACTGCGACAACCTCCAGGACCGTGGCTTCATGAACAGGGTCAACTCTGTTCGTGTGGAGAGCGGGGCCTTCATCTGCTTCGACCATCCGGACTTCAAGGGCCAGCAGTACATTCTGGAGCACGGAGAGTACCCCGAATTCCAGCGCTGGAATGCCCATAACGATCACATGGGCTCCTGCAGGCCAATCAGGATGGTAGGAGTGTGTGTGTGTTTGCATGAGTGTGTGTGAAAAACCCCAGGGACAGGCAAATATTTGGCCGTTAAAGAGAAAAGCCTCCCCATTTTGGTGCATGTGTTTGTCCAACCAATCAAAGACATGTTAAGTGTACTTTTATTATAGTAATCCCTGCAGTGCAGAGAAACATGCATCATACTGTTTCTCCTATCACATACCGACAACATCATCTGAAATAAAAATACACTTTGCAAGCTCTTGAGACGCAGACTGTGGGCTATCCAGATCGTCCTCCACATGGCGTTTAACCTTTAGATTTCTTTAGGTGTGTTTGTATAAGTGTTTGCGCGCATATAACAGTACCTGCCATACAGAGCTGAAGGCCTTGCTCCTTTTGTTGCTATGACTCAGCGAGAGCCTTCTCTTCATTATCCTCCCCAGCATGGAGAGCAATACAGGATGGAGCTCTTCGAGGGAGACAACTTCACAGGCCAGTGCGTGGAGCTGTGCGAGGACTGTCCTTTCCTGCAGGCTAAAGGCCTCACTAAAAACTGCGTCAAGTCCATCAAGGTCTACGGAGACGGAGCGTATGTATCCCTGCAGCAAAGAACGGTTCAATCACATCAAATTTCTAACTCAGACTGTTAGAGAGTCACATATCTGTAGTATACGACCCTATCACAATTATGAGTGCCACCATATAACACTATATTTCACAATATCAATATAGCAGCATCTCTTTACAAAAATAGTATTACAGTCGCTTACCATGGGTGACTAGAACACTGACAAAAACCCTGATAGGGACTCATTTCCAGGTGGGGAGAGGGTTCAGAGGATATCATTCCACAAAATATCCTTTATTATTGTGGAGTCACTTTAAAGCTCCAGTATGGAGTTTTTGAGCTGGTCATGAAATGGTCTAAAATGAACATTAATGCCTCCATATGATCTATATAAGCAAGAAAGACAGTCAGCATAAGGACTGGTAAATATTTGATGTTTGTTCCATGATTATTGTCACCACTGTAATGGGGTTTGTGTTAGCAAAGCATGCTAAAGACAAAGGCTTTTTTTTAAATTCCATGGTAAATATACAAAATTAGGATAAATTTGAATGTTAAAAAATCCTAAATTAATCTATATTTATATATTTGTGTAGATATAGCTAGATGAATAAAATATTCACAAAATGAACACCAACCTTAAGTTCTTTACAGGAGCTTTAATTCAAACTTTTTTGTTGTTGTTTGTTTTTTGCACAGAACAAATTGTCAAACATTAAAACTTAAAATATATTGAAAAAATTTTAATTTTTTTTTTCACATTGACTTTTAATGCTTTTCACTGCTGAGGTAGCGCGTCAGGAAGGCGGGGTCAAGACAGAAGCTATTCAAAAAGGTTTCCAGGATAAATACACAAAATGAGGATTATAGTGTTTGAGTGTTAAAACAAGAGACTATATTTACATGTGTATTTGTAGATTTAATTATTTAATTATTTTGGATAACATGACTAATACATGTTTGGAACTAATTCAAAATTTAACAAGGTGTGCCCCTTTGTCCTCAGGGGGCGCCAAAACCAACATGTAAAATCCCTTACAGGAGCTTTAAATGAGAATTTTAGGGTTTATTTTGGCACAAATCAAATTGACAAACATTACAACTTAAAAGATTACTAGATAGAAACATACAAAAGAACTTTTTTCCATTTTGCCTCTAATGAGGATGGTCAACTTTACCCTCAATCACCTGACCTCACCAGATCTGGCTTTGTACCGTACTTACTTTCTCAAACAGCTGGGTGTTGCACGAGGAGCCAAACTACCGTGGGCGCATGTACATCGTGGAGAGAGGAAACTACTCCACCCACACAGAGTGGCAGGCAGAGAATCCCAACATCCAGTCTGTCCGCAGGGTGGCAAACTACTTCTAAAGCAGCTCTCAGTCTGTGGCAACGTTACTGCAGGGATGAGATCATCCACCGAGGGAAAACACAACATACTATCAAATAATCTCATGCTCACTCTGTGGGTCTGTAAAATAATAAAAGATGAAGAAAATGTTTGACATTGCTTGTTGTTTTATTTTTGTACACTGAATTATTCAAAGGCTGAAATAAAGTAGTGAATCTAAAGTATCTTTAATCTTATTGCCATTTTGTTCTGCTTTCATGCTTGCAAAGTGTGAAACTCTTAGCTTAACCACCCCTTTTCACAGTGAGAATCGCTGCAAGCTATGATTCATGTAATTGCTTTCTATTATATGCCATAAATACTAAACCTTTTAGGTATTATGCCTTCCTTCATACTAATGGAGCCGGTGCATGAGTTCCTCTGAATACTCCTAAACACATATTAACTGCAAAGAGGTTGCTGTTTTATTTATCCAGGAGGGAAAATAAATTACTTTGATAGGAAAAACCTAAATCAAATTCTTCAATTTGTAACAAAGGCATTAGAAAGCAGCAGCTTTTAAGCAGACACATTACCACATATAAGTGCATGTTTGGCAGCCAGCAGTGAACAACAGCCTGTGAGTGTCCTCACCCCATGTACAGTGAATAAATCAAGAGTGAAAGAGAGATATTGCACAGGTTGAAACTGTGGCTCCACCTGCCCCGGGGACCTCTGCTACCACCTAGTGTCATTTATCTATTTGACTGTGATGTCGTGATGACCCACAACGATGACACAAACACATAAAATAGATCAGGAAATCCTCTTTTTTTGGAGTCCTTATGAATAAAACTGTTGCATGTGGATCCTGTGGACCTGCTTGACTTGAAACATTATCAGTCAAACATGTTTAGTTATCAATGCATGTGTTAAACCTACTTGACTCTACCTGCTACAGATTGTATTTCATTCATACTTGTAGTATATTACCATGATAAAAGATATTACAGCTAATAATAGTCTTAAATCCTTCATTATTATTGTAAATACAACCATAGGTTTGCATTTTTACAAGTGTTGTTTCTGCGTTTATGTCTATCTTTATGTTTGCCTCTATTCGTCCTTCTCCTTTTTTTCTTATTCTTCTTTACAACAAGGACTGTTTTTTTTTTTTCATGTAAATGTAGACCTTGCTCCTCCTTTGGATCAATATAAGCTCTTATAAATAATACGCATGATCAAGTGGAGGTTTTTTTCCCCCGACAGTTTATCGGTTGCTGTTACAGCTACAGTAAGAGGCTTGGCTGCTGTTTATGTTGTGGATGTGACTTCCACAGATATAAAAAAGTATTTATTACAAGTTAAAGCTACTATAAGGTGTTTTTAATGTTTATTAAATTGACTGGTATTCATATTGATGTCTTTTTATTGTATATAAAAGTAAACAAGAGCATTAGAAATGAGATTGACTATAATCTTTAAAGTGTGAAACCAGTGCAAGAGGGTCAGTATCTTTAAAAAATGGCCCTCTTTTTACAATTTGCACCTAAGATACTTTGATAAATAAAATGTCAAAAAACAGCAGGAGGAGATTTTTTGACTTTGATAAGCTTTGTCCACAGGGGGGCGCCAAAGTTTACACAAAGCAAAAGTTTCTCACTGGAGCTTTAAAATCTCATAATGTTGGATTCCAGCAAGTGTGGTTGAGGGAGGCAGCTGTCCACCACTAATGCTGGTTGTGCTTGAGGTTTCTGTTATTATTATGCACTTTTTCTTCTCACTGTCTTCCTCATTAGTGGATCGACACTCGGTAGCTCTGGATAACACTACCAAGAGTGTTGTCTGGGATGATCTCTCGTTGGGATTTGGTGCCAAATGATTGAACAAATGGACACAGTCACAAATCTGAATTCTGTTTTTCAGGTTTAATCTTGCTCTAGGTACAAAGCAGTCTAAGTAGCTCCAGTGTTGCACCATTAGCTTATCATTTCTCTATTTTATACACCATTGCATCATTCCCCTTCACTCTCCGGCTTTCATAGGGTCACACCATGGCTGTGTATTTCTCGGACCTCTAATGAGCGTTCATGTGCTTTCTCTTCCAACTGTCATGACAACAGATCATCTATCTTTACCAGGTTTCTCTCCTCGCCTCCTATCAAGTTACAAGGGTCAGTACAGAACAGCTTAATGAGGAAATGCTTTGTCTTGGGTTACGCTCAACGCCACTGGTTTAAGGGCGATTACCTGTAGCTAACCTTGTTCCCGACCTATTTGCCGCTTGAATTGGCCGGGTGTCACCAACATGCGATTTGTCTGGATGTCAAAGACGAGGAGGAAAAAAGAGAGACCTGTGAGCAATAACGCTTAATGGCACTCTAACAATGTCACTGCTGATTTTCCATGAGGGCGAGAGATTTATTTTTCCTCACAAAAGACATCAGCTTTGAAAAAGAAGTGTATCTTTAAGGCCACAAAGTGCGTTTCAGACAAGTAGCTTTATTGTTATAGACATCTAGATGTTTCATAGACGTTTAATTTGATAAACAAACCTTGATCTAATGGAGGGAAGTGTTTCTGCTTAAGTGAGGGGAAGACAAAAGGGGCGCACGCCAAATTAGTCAGAGAAAAATCACTTGAACTTTAACTTTGTTATGGAAAAAACTTCTAAACGTGAGTGTTGGGTGGATGCCTCAGCAGACAAAAGCACATATTTAGAGGGATATGGTTTCACTTCCTTATTTGTGATAATAATGAAACAACCTATGATTCATTATAAGCTGTGGTTTTCTCTCTGAATTGGTTTTGCTGTGACTGGTACAGTTTTTATTCATAACAGTCTGGAGATGAAATGAGTAATTAGACATTTTAAATAGTCTAGTATTTAGATAACTATTTTGAGCATTCACATTAAAGCATAAAAGATGAATAAACTAGGATTTTATCAGACTATTTGAAGGGTTGTGAAAGATTTTTATCGCCTCAAAGTCTGCATAGTGAAAAAAAATGTTGTGTATTTGCAACCTGAATTTGATAAAAGTGTTATAAACTCTTAAAAATTGAGTTTTAAGCAACACCACCACCCCCTATGGTTTCCATTGTGTTATCTGTGAGCTGTTCACTCGCAGCTAAAATATTGCACATAAATTATTTGAGTAATTAGACATTTTAAATAGTCTAGCATTTAGATACCTATTTTAAGCATTCACATTAAAGCGTAAAAGATGAATAAACTAGGATTTCTCTGACTATTTGAAGGGTTATGAAAATATTAGTGCATTTGCAACCTGAATTTGATAAAAGTGTGATATACTCTTAAAAATTGGGTATAAAGGCACCATCACCCCCTATAGTTTCAATTAAACTCTGATTTTTTCTGACTATTTAAAGGGTTGTGAAAGATTTTTATCACCTTAAAGGCTGCATTGTGATAAAAATGTTGTGTATTTGCAACCTTAATGTGATAAAAGTGTGATATACTCTTAAAAATTGAGTATGCAGGCACCACCACCCCCTATGGTTTCCATTGTGTTATCTGTGAGCTCTTCACTCGCAGCTAAAATATTGCACATAAAATATCATTTACTCGCATTATTTGTCGAAATAGCTGAATATAGTGTGTTATTTTTTTAAACATAAGCAGCAAAATAAGAAAACAGTGTTGGTAAATTTAGGTTTTAACCCAGGGGGAAACGACCAAAACCGAAAAGTAGACAATAAAATACCAACTCCGACCGGAGAAAGTGGAAGTGTAGTATCTATTGGCACGGGGACAAAAAAGCAGCGTGGTAACCGTGTCTTTCCTTAAAGCCGTATTTTCCTCCCGTGGACGATTAAAAGCAGACATAAGGTGATATTTTTCGGTTCGAGGCAGCAAATAAAGTCATTTCAGGCGTGTATCTACGGTGTCGTGTTAAGGTCACTCGCTGGCTGCCTGAATTCCCCTCTTTGTGTTTACACATCCGGGTTTCCCTGTTTGCAGCCCATTCCCCATTTAGAAGCCATTTTGGACACAGATCAGTAACATGCATGTAAACCCCGACCGACCTCCCGATGCAGCGGTGCTACTATCCAACTGAATAACCTCAAAAAGAGCGCTGAGCTTTCGTCTGCGGCGGTTTCACGGCGTCCCACTCGGTTTCTGGATCCACTCGGGACGCGAAATGCCGCACCTTGTAATGGACTAAGAGTGTAGCAGTCAATTAATCGCTCCTATCTTTTCTTGCAACATTGTTGCAGCGACGCGGCTATTGACACGCGCTGTGGTGGTGGTGGTGGAGCTACTGCTGCTGCTGCTGCTGGTGGTGGTGGTGGTGGTGGTTAGGCTGCCGGGGGACCGGAGGCCTGTGGTCGTTTTGATCCTGGACTGATGTTTGGACAACCTGAGTTTTAATGTTCGCGACGGAAAGCGGGGGAAATCTCTGTCCTGTATTTCAAACGGAACATGTCTTTTTCATGGCTGACTTGTTCACTTCTTCTGGGAACTTTATGCGCAGGTAAGCGGAGCTATTGTTGAATTTTTGTGTTTTTTTTTCTTGCAACAGTTTTGAAGCTTCTCTCTCTCTCGTCCCGTGGATTTGTGTGTGTTTGAAATTTCGACCCGCGGAGGAGTTTTACGATTGTTGGCTGATGAAACTTTGTTGGCACCGTCGTCGTTTCAAGCTTTGAGGATTTTATTCTCCAAACACATAATCGCCTTTTCTCCTCCGACCGGACCGATTTCACCGACACCTGCCACTTTTCTGTCGATATATAAACCCCCCACTAAACCTTGTCTTTTGTGTGGAAATGTCACAGAAATATCCCCCCTTCGTTGAAGAAGAGTGTTGCCTTCACTGTCGCCTTTCTTTAACAGTGGCAGGAATAGAAGGCAGCAGCTGCATCAACATCCTGAAACCTTATATTGTCCATCTCAGGTCGTGTTTGTAGCCTCTGAAAAAAACACACATTCTATCCCCCTCTCTCTCTCTTTTTCTCTCTTTTTCTCTCTTTCTTGTCATGAATCAATTTGATATGAAGAGACAGCAGCCAGGTCTTTACCCTGAATTGAGGTTACTGTTACACATCTCCCGTTTCCACGCAAACTCTCACTCTTGTGAATTTGCAACCACGTGAAATTGAGCATGAGGCTTGTTTTCTCTTTTGTTTGCAACTCAAATGGGACGTTTTACTCTCACCAGATACCTCTTACGCCCACTTTTATGTGCGTTTTTTTTCCTCCAGCTTTTCCCTCGAAGTGTGACAACATTTCTCTCAATAAGGCACAGCATGTCTGTCTGTTGTGTGCCAAGCTAATGCCTCTATGGTTTATAGATTAGAGTGTATAGTAAGCTGCTTCTCCAGAATTCATGTTGTTGTGGTGTAAGCCTGGGTTAGTGACAGAGGGAGGGGGGTTGGGGAATGATCTTGTAGTAAAAGTCCTCTCAGATCATGTGACCACAGATATCAGAAATGCCATCTCGGCTCAATGGAGCATTGAGCATCCCTCTCTCTCTCTTTCTCTCTTTCTATGTGTGTGTGTGTTGTCCTGACTACCTCTCATCCCAAATTACAGAGCACAATGTTTGCTGCTCCTCGCATGCATCCCTATGTGCCACATAGTGAAACCCCATTGTATGCTCTCTGGACAACTAAATGCATGTATGTGTAAGTGGATGCGTGCCTGAGTGTGTGTAATGGGTCGGTGGGGGTAACGCTGGGGGATGGGCAGCTCTCCTATAGGCAGGGATTTAAAGAGACACGCACTATTTTTGCCTGTGAACAAAGATGAATGTCCAAGCTGTGCTGTGAATGACATGCACGGCACGTTATCTGCTCTTTTTTTCTCATCAAACACATCATATATGTGCGGCCGAAGAGTGTGTCAAACGCCGAATCCGTAGAGATAAAAACCTTTTCAGTAGGAGAGTGACAGCTATTGTTGCACATCAGCTTGGTTATAAGGGGACTAGTTCCTGCTAAATGACAGCAAAAGCCCTCAAAGAAGAAGGTCTTATCTGTCTTTCCAGATGTGTCACACTTTCAGCAGGATACAAGAGTCTTTATCTAAAGAAGTGGCATCCCGGTGTGTGGTGTGGGCATACTATTGTTTCTCTATAGTTAATTAAATTCTGTCATTTTTTCGCCCCTTCTTTTTACACTCTGAAAAGATCTCGTTGTGAATGGGATTATGCTGAACTACTATTCAGCAACAATTTCTTAGCCCAGAGGAGCTCCCTTTTTTTTTACTACAGAGGGCTCCCAAACTTGGCCGTGCGCCAGAGAGATGATAGAGGCTCTGCTCAGAGATGTCTCTTCTTCGTGGCACCGAGCGGATCCTGCGCCATATGTCTGCGCTTCCCTCCACCGTTGAGATTCGATTCATTATGATGTGAGCTGACTGAGGCCTTCTGTCCATGTTTAGGGTACAGCCTGGGCGAAGCGGAGACCCGGGAGTGTGTGTACTACAATGATAACTGGCGTACGGAGAGGACCAACCAGAGCGGCTTCGAGCGCTGCGAGGGGGAGAAGGACAAGCGACTGCACTGTTATGCCTCCTGGCTCAACTCCTCAGGGACCATCAAGCTGGTGAAGAAAGGCTGCTGGCTGGACGACTTCAACTGCTATGACAGGTCGGGGTCAGCGAGCGAGGTCACCGCCGCTGAGCTTTAACATTTATATTTCAGGTGTCTGGTTCAGTACCCAGAGTGAGTGGCAGCGAGTACAGCGGGAATGTCTGCATCAGTGCCCACATCTAGTACAGTACATCTTTATGTGTGTGACCTGAGGCAGTATCAGGAGCAGGAATAACAACCCAGAGAAAACCACTTTAAACTCATATATCAGTCGACAGGAAACCAGAAAAAAACAACATTATTGATCATCTGTCGCTTGAATTGACATGACAGTAATGTGCAGGAGTCAGCCCATCGAATATGAGCGATTTCTGAGACTTAAGAAGCAGTAAATTGATTAATTTGGCATAAATTAAACATCTGATGTTGTTGAAGAAAGCACCAGACTTATGAGCAATGTCAAGATGCTTTACACGGTCAAAACAAAACAATAACAATAACAGATTTAAACATCCATGAAACAGACTGAATTTCATATTAGAGCTGGGCAGTAAACCAAAAATTTCCAGATACCGAAATTTACGCCAATAACCGACGTCATTTTGCCCATAATGGTATATTTGGTGTCAAAGAAATGAATAAATGAAAGTTGGTTTTGGATGTGTGTAGGTAGGCTATGGTCTCATGTCCCTGTAAGACCCTGTCCCACAAAACGAAGCGGACCATCAAAACAAAACACTGAATTTGAAGACAACCTAAAGTTTCTATTCAGCTGTTTTTGAAGGTGGACTCAGAGCGTCTCACAATCTCAAATTAATACCTTCATAATAACCTGCTCGAACCTTTTATCACCAGATACCTGAGTCAAGACTTTAGAGAGTTCGTTGTCAAAGTTGTAAACATAAACAGCGTGGGTTAAAATGGACATCTGATCACTGAGTTTTGGCATCTTAGAGCTACAGTAAGGAGTTTTTGATAGGCCCTATTTCATATTGATGCCTTTCTATGATATCTAAATGTTGAAGACTTACTGCCTGACACTTGTGCAACAGGGTAGGTGTCAGTGTTCGGCTTTAGAAATACTCCTCTGTTTATAATTATCAGACTAAATGATGTGTTTTGTGGTCAAAAGTTGATAAAGGATGAGATTTTTTTGTCAAGAGACACTTAACCATGTTTAGAACAAGATAGGAGGAGACAGCTTTGTCTGCAAAGTTGCTCACAGGAGCTTTAAGATGACTTTATTTTTTCTAGATTGGTGCTTTAAATTATTAAGTTTCCACATTACCAGCTCGGTGACAGAGGTAGCTAGTTTAGTCATCTTGCGCCAAATTTACAAACTGGTGAGAAACTCTCTTTCGGTCGAGACTCTCACTTTCATGTGTCATCTCCTCTGACGTGAGCTGTGCTGCTGTAGTCGTGTAATGAGTTGTCTTTTTCTCCTGCTTCTTCTTCTTCTCCATCATCCCTTTGTGTTATGATACATGGCAGCCAGTATCATGAGCCACTACTGCTCCAAATGATCAATGATTTTAGATCACTACCGTTAGAGTAAAGCTAATCAGTACATCTAACAAGAAATCATAACATTCAAATATCCTGAATTTGAAGATGACTCGTGTCCTTTTTTCAGTGGACAAAGATTCATCCCGTTAATCAAAATAGGTTTCGTTTACCGGTCCACCTCAGATGGCAGATTTTAGTCTCACAATTTTAGTCTCACAACTTTGAACTTCTCTGCACACCTGCTGCTGTTAAAGTGCTCTGAAGAGTTTTACCAAATCAGATCAGAGATGAAATAAAACAAGATCCTGCTCTCTCATATTACCGCGCCGACTTTATAAAAACACTAGTCTCTCTTCTTCTTCTTCTTCATGGATGATTATCTGTAGAGTTACAGCAATTACGCCGCGGAAAACCTTCAACTTGCTTTGCATGATAACATTTGTCCCTCTTTTTCTCAGAGCGGTTGAACATCTTTGATAAAAATACTAATTAACAAAGGGAAGCAGAAAAAAAAAACTTGTTAGGGAAAGTAAATCTGAAGCTTATTCTTCTTGTAAAGTCACTCAGACGGCTAATGGATCATTCAAAAAAGTCTTTTGTGATCACTACAAAGACCCCGCACAGCTTCGCCTCTCTATCTTCAGGAGTATCAGGAAAGTTCTCGATTCATTATCTGTCTTTTGATTTATTGTTGCTCTCTGTAGATAACCTGTATATAAAACCTTATTGAGAGTGGAAGACAGTGTTGCGATGCCAGATTTCTGCATCTATACGACACAGTGTACAGGCTGTAAATTATTAAATATAATCTTCAATACAAACTGTATGGTCAGCAAAACAAATTAACTCAGCCCGGGCTAATAAAAGAATCCGGCTCACGCTGAGTGCAGAGCTCAGCTATGAGCCTCATGTCGGGGAAAATGAATCAGCGCCACCAGGAAGTTTTGATGTTTCAACAAAGACGAGTTTTTTTTTACACCAACCTTTATCCGCACAGGGGGCTGTGAAGCTTGATCCAAACTTTCCAGTGTTGCTAAATATCTGATACACGCCGCTGAGTGACTGGAACTTCCACTGACCCCCAGGTTTGGAGGGTTTAAAGATAAAGATTGCAATTACAGCTGACCTGGTGGCACGTTTAATTTAATCATCACGAACCGCATTAAAGCAAAAGCAGAATTTCACAAACGCAGTGGAAAGTGGATGTGCACAAATTGCAGGTTTGGACACAGGTGCAAATTTACTTGACAGTTTGAGGGAAAATAGCCTTCGCCTGAAGTGCTCTCTGCTCCTAAAAGAGGAGAGGAAAAAAAAGTCATTGTATTCTGGCTTGTTCAAGAGAGAAAAAGATGTAGAGCGGAGAAAAGAATGGCAGTTTTGAGCAATTTAGAAAGCAGCGGTACAAAGAGTAATAGCAGCAATAAAGTAGAAGAAATCCCACGATTCCTCTGGATTTGGAGCAGGGGTTAAATATATGTTAATGCTACAAAATGTAAGTGGACAATGTATTCTCAATAAGAGATTGAACTCACTTTGGCAGATGATAAAACATTAACTCTTCACGAGGGCTGTAATCAACGAAAGAAATTCTTGGTCGACTAAAACCCTGATTTTCAGACTCTGACAGAAAACCCTTCTGCGGTGGGGGACGCTGCGGCTCGGCGGAGTGCAGCTCGGCAGGGTGAAAATGTACTGATATCAGCAGAAGAAGGCAATTACTGTATTTTTCGCGCTATAAGGCGCTCCTAAAATTCTTTTGGCTTGTCGTAGCACCGCAGCTACCGAGTTAAATAAAATTTGACTTATCTGACTGTTTTGTTTGGCTTAATGCGCTTTATAATCTGGTGCGCCTTATAATCCAGTGCGCTTTCTGTATGAAAATAGACCAGAATAGACGCGTTGATTGATAATGCGCCTTATAATTAGGTGCGCCTTATTGTGCAAAAAATTTTTTTGATCCAATTTCAACCGTCTAGATTCTTTATATTTTTGGACGGAATTTAGACGTTGCTCTTTAACTCATTATTCGATAACTATTTATTTCAAAAAGCAACTGTGAGTTGGATAACTGATCTCCAAGTACTTAACCAAAACAATTATGATAGCTGTTGAGTAATATACAGTTAGACCTCAGTTAGCCGGCTAGTCTAAACTTGGTCTAAAATTAGACTTCTAAAAATCCTTCATTTTTTGACCTGTGGTAGCCTGAATTTATGGGTTTTTCTAAGGTAGATTTAGACGCCTATTAGACCTCTTTTAGACCAAAAAATGCTCAGTGGGTGATTAACGTGGACGCTCTTCAATCTTCCTCTCTCTAGCCAGTGGGTTGGACGAATCCAAAATGGTGAAAACAAGGGGGATGTTCGGAGACATGCGGTTACCTGTGAAACAAGGGTGCTCTGAAAACACCCCCATTAGCACTTGGTACATTCCTCCTGATGAAATTAACTATGGACTGTAAATTGAAAAAATCGAGTCCACCAATCATAATTTTGATCGACTCACCACATATCGACCAATAAGTCGACCAATCGACTTAGACTTTACAGCCCTACTCTTCACTTGAACAAATGCCAGAAAATTAGCGAGGACAAATCAAACCTTTCTGTGGAGGTCGTGTGTGCAGCGGAGGAGGAAGACAGAACAACCAAAACAAAAGGCAGACACTCACCTACTTAGTTCTTTGAGTTCAAGTCTAGCTCCTCAAAGCCTGCGCCGCCTTTACTGTACATCACTCTGAGAAGTGTCTGCTCGTGACATTTGTTTACCGAGGCAATAATGTAGGTGTGTCATCTTCCATTTTTAGGCAAGAGTGTGTCTCCATGGAGGAAAACCCTCAGGTGTTCTTCTGCTGCTGCGAGGGCAACTACTGCAATGAACGTTTCACCCACCTTCCTGACATGATTGGCAGTGGCAACCGAGGTGAGCCGCGATTGCATCCCACGTACAGTAAAGCACAAGCACAAAAATAGGTCTCTGCTTTTTCCCCCTCCGGCTTCTCCGGTTAGAGCGAGCTCAGCTTAGCCTGGCAGCTCCTCGTATAAAAACATCATGCATGTACGTTATGATTAAAAACTGATGCGATGGAGTAGAAGGAGATATAAAATACACAATCACTTTCCTGTTTAAAGCTCTTTATGGGCTCATTTAGCAGGGAGGAAGGCTGGGTAATGTAGTTAAGATGTTGCCCTTCTCTTTTAATGTCCAGTCTTACGGTCTGTTAGGGACGCTCTTTTCTCTGCCGGTACTTCACATGTCATGAAGCAGATGTTCTATAATTATTCCGGTTCTCCTCCTCAGTGAAAATCCGGCCTCCACCCAGAGTGCCGTCCCTGCTCAACGTGCTGGTGTACTCGCTGCTGCCTCTCTGCGTTCTGTCCCTGGCCCTGGTTCTGGCCTTGTGGATGTACCGCCACCGCAAACCTCCATACGGCCATGTGGATCTGAGCGAGGTGAGAGAGGACGATCTGTGGATTTTAAAGCAGTTTAAATGTTAGAGAAAGGAGGGTTTTTTTTTGTTGAGTTTCTGCACAGAGGCTGAAGTCCACTCAGTTTTTCTCAGTCTACTCTCACGTCCTTCAAAACATACTCAGCTGAAGATCAACCTCTTTAACCTGATGTCTTCTTTAGGATCCTGGACCAGCTCCTCCATCCCCCTTAGTGGGTCTGAAACCACTACAGCTGCTGGAAATCAAAGCCAGGGGGCGCTTTGGTTGCGTTTGGAAAGCCCAGCTGATGAGCGAATATGTTGCCGTAAAGGTTTTCCCTGTCCAGGTAGGTCAAAAAAAACATTTAAGGAATTTTGGGCTTTAACTTTTGTTCGCTAAATGCTCATTTTTAGCTCCACTTTGAGCTTCTATCGCATTAAACCCTTTAAGGGGGCGAGAAATGCCTTCATGATGTCGGTACATAAGCTTCTGATAAAAAGGACAAGTGTGGAGTAAAGAACCTCGTCCCATCAAGCCCGGATATTCTCCACTGATAAGTCACGCCGCCCGACATATGGCTCCTAACATCCCTCACAGCCCAAGATAGACGAGGACAGATGGGCAGAGGAGCCGGCACATTACCGGGGTTATCCAGTTGGCGCCTCCCTTTGTTGAGTTAGGCTCATGACACCTCGGGGAGGCTGAACAGTTTGCATCAGTGCCAGCTCTTATAACAGGCAGCAAAGGGTTGAGGTTAGGAGTTCGGCTCGCTGTCTCTGCATCAACGACTGTCAACTCTTAATTTGGGGCATGTGCTTAAACGACAAGGCCCCGTTTTTGCACAGCGGTACGACATTTCTCTTTCACCTGCAGTTACTATGGTTACGAAGTAGTCCGTCATTCATTTCCTTGCAACCACCCCAAGCTGTCCTCTTTGCATATTTTAAACTTTCTTTTTTTTCGCGCCCCGTGTGTTCGTGCAGGACAAGCAGTCATGGCAGAACGAGCGGGACATCTTCCTGACTCCGGGGATGCGGCACGAAAACCTCCTGCGTTACATCGCCGCCGAAAAACACGGTACCAACCTGGAGACGGAGCTGTGGCTGATCACAGAGTTTCATGAGAGGGTGAGTGACGCGCACACTTCTTCCCCGTATATAAACCCATATACAAGACAATCCACAGCGAGGTATAGGGTGTGTGTGTGTGTGTGTGTTTACCACAAGTGCTGCTCATTTTCCAATATTGGCAGAGGCTTTTTATTTACTTCAACAAAAAAAAGAGCACCGCAGCTTTTATTAAAGAGGATTTTATTACTTATGGCACATCTGCTGCACCCGGCACTATACCTTAAAGTGACAGGATTGTGCTGCTCGGATTAATCCACTTTTTAAAGCCTGTAAGTGTATAAATAATGCGAGCAATTACGTCAAAAAACAGCCGCATGTGTCCCTGAAATAATAGTTTGTGATTAAACACCTCCAGGCTCCCAGAACATTCTGTTCACTGGCCCTCTTAACAAAAGCTATTAATATATGGTAACAGGATTAAAGCGTAATTACCAGAACCACAAACGCAGCATCATATTATTGGTGTAATGACTTTCAAGCTTGTCCTTGCAGCACCTTGTATCCACGGCAGAGCACAAACATATTTAGTTCCACTTATTGTCTCAGTGCCATCGGTGCATGTGTCATCTGTTTGCTCGAGTGTTTTTCCATTTGTGTCTGTATATTTAATGATATTTTAAGCTGTGTCTCGTGAGTTTAGAGTTTTTTAATAATTCTTCCAGACCACATCATTAAGCCGGCAAACGGAGTGGAACCAAAAAACAATCTGTTCCGGGGTTACAGCCGTCTGACGCACAGTCGATGTTCACGTGTGGTTATTAATCCCGTCTCCTGAATCTCATCGCGTGTTTTTGTGTGTCTCTCTGCAGGGCTCGCTGACGGACCATCTAAAGGGTAACACTGTGACCTGGAGCGAGCTGTGTCACATAGCAGAGACCATGTCCCGCGGCCTGGCCTACCTCCATGAGGACATTCCCAGCTACAAGGGAGAGGGACCCAAACCGACCATTGCACACAGGTAGGACGCCGGCGGAAAACCTCCAAACACACTCAGTCTGTAACGCTGCGTTCCAGTTGTACTTAGAAGTCGGGATTTCCGAGCTCCGAGTCAGAAATTCATCTTCTGAAATTCATTCAGCAACGCCCAGAGCCGTCCCAAGCCTCAATGGGGCCCTAATAATATTGATCGTTAATCATTCACACACCTTCACAGATCTCTGTCATGCAAACATACCTTTATCTTGGCGTTTTTTTCTCTTCCTCCTCTTTCTTTTCTCTGCTCCTGAAGGACATGTCCTTTTTTGCAACATTTTTAATTACCTGCGCTTTGGATGCTCAGTGCACATTGCACAGCAGAAGGCACAAAACGGTAGGGGAGCTTTGACATATCGGCAGTAGGAATTATAGGCATACATCAGCAGCAGCACTAAAATGTTTTTACTTTATTTTATTTTTACGTTAATATATATTTGATCATACAGAAAGCATCGCTCATACATGCAAAGAAAAACATTTTAATTATTTTTTTTATTGCTCTTGGGGGCCCCCTATTGGCCGCGGGGCCCAAAGCAGACGCTTTGTTCGCTTATGCCTTGGGCCGGCTCTGGCAACGCCCTCCTGAATTTGGATTTTCCGACTCGGAAAGTTGGACGATCCTCACCAACCCTGACTTGACAACAACGTCATAATACAAGATGACATCAACAGTAAATAGTAACAGTGCAAGCTCTCGTAATTTATTATTTATTAGCACTTCTGTTTTGTCTTAGTGAAATTAAATTAGTGGGATATGTTGTACTGCCCAACGTCTAACTGTGAACACAGTGCTATGGTGTTCGAAAGAGTAAAATACTGCTATGCTTTGTTTACAACTGGTATAGCTAACGGCTAATGACAACTGACAATTGTTAACGGCTGACCCAGGGATTCCACTGGATCTGGAACGGCTCCGCTTCACTCCGGACCAGCAGGCGGATCAAATACGCAAGCATATAGCGCCCACTGGTTACCATCCGCCGCTGCCACCGGAGGAGAAATGCTTGCAATATTACTGATATTTCTCGAGACACTGGACAAGATCTCACGTGTTTCCCTGTGAGACATTGAATGAGATCCGCCAATCAGAGTATATAAACGGCGGTATATATAAACACCCACATTCCACAACCCTGGCCTCTCCTATTATTAAGTGAAGAACAGTTCAATGTATTGATTTTATTTTATTGATTTTATTTATTGATGAAGCCTTGAGTATCTGATCCACAGTGGAGCCAGACAGCGGACAGATTCTGTGGAATCATACACATTGATTATAATGTTTGCGTATTTTATCTGCTTGCCGTGCTGGATCGGAGTGCAGCCGTTCTGGATCCCGTGGGTTTTAGCCGTAACAGTAGGCGTCCATCTTGATTTTCCGACTTGTTTACTGGAATTCAGGTGTAACGTCATTCCCAGCTCCGAGTTCCGAGATAACTGGAACGCAACATTAGCTTACACCTCTTCTCTTTCCGCTTCATGTAACCATCCTGCCTGGTTTATTTATTTCCTCCTCAGGGACTTCAAGAGTAAGAATGTGATGCTACGAGACGATTTGACTGCAGTTATAGGAGACTTTGGACTCGCTGTACGATTTGAACCAGGAAAACCTCCAGGAGACACTCACGGACAGGTATGGACTCATCTCAAAACAGGCCTCTTTTTCTGCAGTGGCTCTCTGATGCAAGTCCTGGAAACTGTCTCCTTTTTTTAACTGAGATTTATGGTGTTGCATGAATAAGCACCTCTAGTAAATGTCGAGTTTGTGCTGAATATTAATGGAGTCAGTCATTGTGTCTTATATTTACTACACTTTGGAAAGATGAACAAAAAAAAGTGAATCAGGGAACGGTTTCAAGGCCACACCTAACAGCTACTATAAGGAGTTTTTTGACGTTAATGAAATACACTGAAGTTCATATTGATGTCTTTTCACAGTAAACGGTCCTGTTTTTACAATTTCCACAAAAAATACTCATAATTTAATTTAACCTTTGACTGTCACAGGTCATCAGGATGAGTTAGTTACACACAGAGCTTTTCTTCTTTTATACCCGGATTCTCACGAAAACACAGAAAAATAGAGTACACATGAAATCAAGGCTGGGTTAGACAGCTGTAGTCGAGTTTCTAAAGCAGACTACATAAATGAGATTGAAGGCTGATGCAGGTAGACATGTCTGTGTCGACTTTTGAAACTCTCTGTTATATGGAAAGCGGTTGCAAATGCTGATTTAGTGAGGGTTTGGCTGTCTCCAGGAGCCCCTCCCCCCTAAAGCCACAAATGGACTTTTTCAAAAGCTTAAAATCAGTAAAATGTGCAAAAAGAGACGTCTGTAATACTTGTAATAACTCTCACCTGTCTGACCATGATGTAGAAGGTTATTATCGATGGTTATGCAGAAGTTTAATTAAATCCGTTGTCCTTCCAGGTGGGTACGAGGCGCTACATGGCTCCAGAGGTGCTGGAAGGAGCCATCAACTTCCAGCGAGACTCCTTCCTGAGGATAGACATGTATGCCATGGGCTTAGTGCTGTGGGAGCTGGTGTCCCGCTGCTCAGAGACCGACGGTGAGTCAAACAGAGCAGGAATGCTGCTTCACCCACAGGTGAAAGGTCACTGAGCCGCAGGCTGATGTAATAAACAAAGGATTAGGTTCTGTTTTGATCTGAGAAAAAGCCACCTGATCCTGGTTTACGGTGTAATGGGGGCCCGTTAGTCTGTAGATAGAGAGAGGAGCCGCGGATTTTCCAAACACTGCACTATTTCCTCGCCCTGATCTCTGTGTAATGCTCTCCATCCTGTTGCCTCACCGCACCCCTCTGCAGGTACAGTTTGCGAGTACATGCTGCCGTTCGAGGATGAAATAGGCCAGCATCCCTCCCTGGAGGATCTGCAGGATGTGGTCGTGCACAAGAAGATGCGTCCAGTCATGAAGGACTGCTGGCTCAAACATCCTGTGAGTAACAGAGGAAGAACGGCTCCTGCTGCTGTTCCAACAGCAATATCAGGATGTCATGCATCCTTTTTTCCAGTGAATCACGGCTCGACCATCTGAGGTCATAGTTCCCTGAATCTGTTATGAATTAATTCAGAAACTTTCTCAGGAAGATTGTGGAGAGTTTTACAGACACAACCTATAAATTTGGTCAACTTTCTCTTTAACCCTTTGAACTCACTGCTATATTTTTCTGGTTTTGGTCCACCTGTTTCTTTTTTGTTTTTTTTAATAAGTCTATAAGCAAATATATACACATTTTTTTCAGGACAACCTCAGCTGTCAGTTTATGGGTGCAAAAATTATGACAAACGAATGTGACATGAGATTCAGAGGCATCAAAGTCAAACAAAAAACAAAAACGGAAATTGATACCAACAGTACTTTGCTCAAAAAACACATAAATCTACAGTGACCAAGCCTTTTCTCACCTGCACATCATTCTCTCATGTCTTGGCTTTCAGGAGAAGAAATATTGTGATTGGAACAAACACACAACAGAAACTATTTACATATTTAGACTAATTCTTCCAAGTGTTTTTTTACTATTTACAGTTGTTTTTCTGCCACTCCTTGAAGCAGTTCCTGTCTGGGATGAGACAGAGGACCACATCATACTGCTCATAATCTCTTCTTTGCTTGTTTCCAATCATTGAGGACCATTATTTCTTATTTTGCAGACAAGCAGGGAACTTTCTTGTCTCTTGTTGGAAAATGACGTCATCAAAACAGCTCGTGAAACCCAGAAAACATTAGTGGCATTTAGCAATAGCGATCTTTTTTATCACAACAATATGAGAAACTGTAAACAATATTAATAGTGTCACGTGGCATTGCTGAAGATCCAGTGGAGTTCAAAGTGTTAAACTGCCCTCGAGACAGTTGTGTCCACTTCAAGTTCAGAGTTTCTTCTTCATTCAAGTTAAAAATAAAGTTGAAGTTGAAAAAAAACTCCCTGACTGACTCTGCTTTGACTCTCTCTGGTTTCAGGGTCTGAGCCAGATGTGCGAGACCATCGAAGAATGCTGGGACCACGACGCAGAGGCGCGACTGTCGGCCGGCTGCGTCGAGGAGCGCATCGGCCAGATCGCCCGGACGATCAGCAGCACTACCTCAGACGGCCCCGTCTCCATAGTGACGTCTCTCACCAACGAGGACCTACCTCCCAAAGAGTCCAGCACCTGAACGGGTGACACCAACATCCCTCATATGAGCTCCTGACTTTTTTTTTTTCTTTTTTTTTTTTTCAAATCCAAACTCAGCGGATCGCCGTGAATTTTTAAAAAGCATAAAAACAACGATAACAACGAGCAACTTGAATGCAGCTGATATTTAATCCCAATGCCGGTATTGTTTTCTGCTTCTTCGTGTGCGTTTTCAGTCCGACTTTACTAACACATCCATCTGCTGTAGTTTTGAAAGTAGTAATAAGTTATTGGATGGGCACATCTGATAACACCCGTGTGTCAAATCCTAAATGTTCTCATTACCTCATGTATTTCTTTTTGTGCTAGTCTATTTTATTACCTCATACGTTTGTTGTTTTTCCCGTCTCGGTCATGATCGTCTGCGGCCAAATGAAATGAACCTTCTCGCTCCAAACCTCGGACGACGTGCTGCACACCTCGGAGGACCCGTTTTGAGACTGTTAGACAAAATATATTCATCTTCCTCAGGGGTCGAAGCTTCTCGATTTTTAAAAAAAAACAAAACTTCGAGTGTGCTCCCTTATTTTAAACCTGTGAATGCCTCAGAATGAAACGAAGAAAGGAAAAAGGTAAAAGGAAACGGGAGCGCAGCTGTTTAATCGCGTGGAAGGAGCTGAAATGGGAGCTGAGCAGTTGTTATCGGACGTTATGGACTTTTTTGAAGATATGGGACATGCCTCTTGTCCCCGGGGAACTACCTCTCAGGTATCCATTAGGCTTCTTTGGAACATTTTCTCTATGAGGAGAGCCAAGCTATCCAGCTAGCTACCATGGACATATTCCTGGATTTTTATTTGTTTTAATTGTAGAAAAGCAGAGTTACTCCTTTGCCAGTGCCAGGGGCATTGACAGATGCTGTCTGGAGTTGCAATGTTACACATTCTTGATTTTAACTGTGCGAATGAGAGAGAAAGAGAGTGAGTGAATGTTTGTGTGTGTGTGTGGGTAAATGTGTTTGTGCGTGTGTGTGAATTTGGAGACTAAATGATGTGAGCTTGATAAAAAGAGTGTTTTTAATAAGAATCACAGACAGATAATTGGGGGGGGGGAGGTGTTTATCCTTGGAGGGCCATACTTGAGTAAGCAACATGTCTGTTTTTTTAATTTTCATGGGTTTGTTTGTTCAATAGACTCAGTCGGACATCAGTCCCCAGATACCTCAGTCACCGTACATCATGCAAGGAGAGCTCAAATGGTTGCCTTTGTCTCAAATGCAATGCCATAGTTGTACCATAACATGAAAACCATACATTGAATGTCCGTTATGCTGCTGTGACTATTCCAGGATACTCAAGGATTTGTAGATGTACGTGTTCTTTGTTAATATAACGCTAATGATATTATGTGAGGCTAATATTCTGTTTGTTTTTATTTTTGACCGGGTGAGCCCTCAGCTGCTTACTCCTCCAGACTGACCTCAGATATTCTGACAAGTACCTCAGGCTTTTTTCTACATGTATATCAAGTTGTGTTTATGTATTTTATTGTGTTTTTAGTAGTTGAGATATTTTATTGCCGGTTTGGCCTCTTTTTGTCTGTGGAGATTTTTTTTTTTTTTTTTTTTTAATAGAGCCTGACCTGTTGTCACGGTGTTAATGCTGTACAAACCTTAAAAAGAAGAAGAAGAGGAAGATGAGAGGCAGATTCTTGTAAATAGACGTGTACACACAGTTGCCGATCACTGATCTGATTTTTAAAGATTCGATATCAGGGCATTACTCTTCTCATTTCACAGTTGCAGAAAGGGATCTCTCAGTTCCACCTCCTACATATTTAAAAGTCATTTTAACAACAAGCCCTGTGATGGTTCTTTTTATATTTGTATATATATATACATAAACATATATATACATTTTTTTTCTTCAGATTTTTCAAGAATGGTGGTCGTGTTACTGATTTCTATGAATACTGGTATCAGTTGCTCTGGATCAGAAGCTGTGTAGGTAGCACTTGCATTAGAGATCTTAGTGTGTATATCATCAAAAACAAACAAAAAAAAAACTCTGTTTTTTTGGTGCTGGCGGCTTCTGTGATTGGCCACTTGCTGGAAAATGCCAGTTTGAACAGTATTACCTCATTATTAACCCGCTGATGTGATGTTCAGACTCGTTCAGTGATAGTTTTTAGCCACGTTGGACAACACACAGGCTCATCTGTTGTGCTTTGACTAGTGCTGTGGAAAGATGGTGATTCTTTAAAAGTAACCTGTGACGCTTGCTGTGCAGTTTTTGGTGAAGAGCGTGTGGGGAGGACGAAAAAAAAAACATGAATACAGAGAAAAGTCTTTCTTCTTCGGGTATCATCACTCTGTCTCTTAACACCATGATTGATTGTTCAAGCAGCCCCATTCATGTAAACAGTGGCATGTGCGTGGTCCAAGGGTCCAGCAATATTTCTACTACAGCAATATTCACTTGAATATCATAGTTAAAAGTCATGAACTCAGCTGTGACTTAGCAGTTCTCTCTCTGCGGATCATCTCATCACACCTGGATCATGTTTAGATGTCCACACAACATTAAAGCCTCTTGATATAAAACAACACATAAAAGCTGTAGGTTGTGCGCGAGCTGAACGTGACCCAGGTGCTTTCACGATTTGTGCCAGAAAGACGCCGATCTCAGGGGGATGTAAACTCCACCGAGATTGGTTGTTGACCTCCAAATGCTGTCTTACACCCAGCTCTTCTGAACGGAAAAACCAGTTACCTCATGCAGTACCTCTCGTTAGTAACACTAACACAGAGTCAGTCTCATCTTCAAAAAGAAAAAAAAGGAAAAAAACATCAATTATCGTGTATATATTTACTTGACAAATGTAAAAGGTTTCTTCCTTTTCATGTGTGAATCCTGTGAAAGCAAAATCCTTTTTTTTTTCTTGATTTACAGTCAACATATTGTTCATTTCTCGTAGTGTGAATGTTTGACTGAATCGTGTGACCTTCCCTGTTCATGTGAAGTGTGCGTGAGAAAGCGTGTGTGGAGTGTATGCCGGTTGGATTTCACTAAAACAGAATGAATGGCGACTTTGTGAGTTGAAATGCTTAGAAATATAAACTAGATGAGAATACATCCATCTTTTTGTATATTAAAATAAAGACAAACACTGATTAACCATGAAAATTGACTTTTGTGGTGCTTTTTTGTGCAGTCTGTGTTTGTTTTACACAAGTTAAAACCTGTAATCCATAAAGGGAGTTTGTACTTTGAAACGCTCATGAAACCACCTTATTAGGAGCTCTGGTAAAACCATAATGATGAGAAGATTAATAGAGATTTTCTTTGTTGATGCTTAAAGAATAAAAGATTTGCTGTTATTTTATTATATCTGGCCCACAAGATCATATCATATTTGTATTATTATTGGCCCACCAGTATGAAGTCTGCAGATTAACTTTAGCGCTATTATTTAAAATGCCCTTAATAAACCATGAAAATCTAGGAAATTAAAGAGTAAGGAAGATTTGATAAATAGTCAAGAATGTGGGGTAAAGAATTTGGTGTTTTATTTCATGTTTTCACTTTTGCATCTTAAGATTAGGAATCAAACATGATTGGATTTTTTATTTCATGCTTTGATTTTGTTCAACTCAGTATTTAGACATGTGTCATTTTTATACTTTAGATTCCAATTTTAAATTGCAGGTCATATTTTGATATTATATCTGATTTCAACGTTCTCATGTATATGCTCTTCAAAAGCATTATTTTTCTATTTTTGATATTATGCTCTGATCTTTTGAACCAATAAATAAAAATAAAATAAAAAATAAAATAAATGTTTCTATCTCAGATTGCCTTTAAACTAATCTTTTTATTTTTTTTGAATTTCCAAATGATTTATAATCATTGCTGTTTTTGTTTTGTATGTTTTTTGAAAAGGAGGTTGACAGTTTTTGTGAAATGTTGACCCTGTTTGGCCCTCAGGTTAGACCTAAATCCAGATTAGGGCCCTTGCTGTGGTTGAGTTTGACACCCCTGGTTTAGACCCATAAAATCAACATCTTGAAACCGTATTCTTGTTTTTTGACATACTGTTAGTATACAGTTGTACACTAGGTGGCAGCAGCGATGCCATAAGTTTGTTTTATTTTGATATTCCTCTGAAACAAAAACCCACGCTTAAAACTGCAAATGGAAAAGGCACGGCATTTTAAAGTACATGTAATTTGTGAAAAAAAAAGTTTTTATTTTATTTATTTATTTATTTAGATCTTATCTAACATTTTTCCAACTTCCTTAGTGTGTTCCCACTTTCACAATCATTTTTTTACAAAGCTAAATAAGTTATGAAGGTATTTTCTCATCATTTTAAGGAGGTCAATCCAAACACTTCATGGTATTGACTGAGTGATAAGGGCCTACTGTTATTGTAGAAGTTAATAACATAGAAAACGATGGAGATCTACAGCACCTGAAGGCATCATTCATTTTTACCATTATTAGTACTCGTGGCTTGATTTTAATAAAACAGACATGAGAGATGGGGAAGACCATTATTCTTTCAAAGGGTCTTCTTGTTATTTGTGATGATAACCCGCCTATATAAGGAGTAACTAATGACCAAATGGTAGTTTTAGTAATGCTGTTTACTGTATTAAAATAAAAACAGGAGCTTTGGCAAACATGCCGGTTTTAACTAATATTTTCGTCGTATCGGTTTCTTAAGGACCACCACAAATCTGTTCTACTGTTTTTATTGTGTTCAAAAGTCACTATTTCATTTTTTCTGTTACTTTTTCCTGATCTATTCTTTCATTTGAGTTTGCTCCCTCTTTATAACCCCCCCATATCAATATTTTTCCCAGTGTTTTTATCCCACGGTTAACTAGTGTGTCTGACTGTAAATTTCTGTATTAAAATACCAAGACATGTAAATGTTAAACCTATTCACTGCAATTAGTTGCCAAATTTCCGTCAGTACTTGAAGGCATCATTGCTCCGTTCCGTTGAGGCGGGTCCAGCCAATCAAATCGCGCCTGGCCCGTCACGTGACAAACCGACTAGTAAATTACGATTGACTTGAGAGCAGCAGATTGTAGGTTACTTTTCGATGTACAGTGACTCAAAGCGGACAACTTTAGCCGCGGTGGTCGTTTGTTTTACCCAAATGGAAACGCTCCCAGGTTCTTACAAGCTAACTTGAGCGAAGTTTTGTCCGGATATCGCGGCCACTATGTCGGTAAACTGCCAAACAGGTGAGTTGAAAAGCGGTTTTTTTTGGCTGTGCCAGCAAAGCAGTTTATGACCCGGGTCGACTGTTTTAACCGGCGCAGCACCAGCATCACCTCTTATACTCTTAACTGCACCCCAAAACACACGAATTGTCAGCTTTGTTTCGATGTTTCAAAAGTTTTGCAATCTCCTGATGTTGTTTTACTTGTTTTTGTTTTTTAATTTCGTTGTCTACACTAATATTTACTGTTAAGTGGGAATACTTTTACGTTATTTCACTAACTTACAACGGTAGTTTACGTTAGAAGGTGAAGTAGCCGAACTGGACGTAAAGGGACAATTATTAAATATTGTTTTGACACGAAATTAAAACTATATAAGTCGTGAAAATGTTATTTTAAACAAAGTGAAATACAAGTGTTAAATACTTTGAGCAAACACCAACTTAAATGGTGTACAGATGTAGTATGCAAGAAAAAAAAACTCAAAAAGACACAAAAAATTAAGAAAGATTTGTTTGTTTAAAAAAAAGGTAAAAAAATAGCTGTATTCAGAGTGTTAAAGCTCTGTTATAAGTCCCAAACTACTCAGTTAGAAATAAAGTTAACATATACATCTCTTATGTATGGAAGCCCTGAGGGAACATGCAACCATACCTCTTTTTCACTTTTTATCGAAATGACAAGTTGATTTTATCGCTTTACCAAGATCTCAACAACATGATGAACTTCATTTTTGTCCCATAGTTACTCAAGCCCTCACAAAAAAGAGAGAAAAAAGAAACTGGCTGAATTTACCTCATTATTATTTTCTTTTCTAGATTATCCTATCACAAGAAAAAAAGTTATATATTTCATGGTTATTGATATTGCTAGTTTTGACAAATCAACAGGAGAAATATCTTGTTATCACAGTGTAAATAAAAAGTATGAATTAAGAGTATTCTGAAGCAACTGTCTTGCTCAGACATAACAAATGTCAAAGATATGAAACAACTTTGAATTTTGATGCCAACAACAGCGACACTAAATCATCTAGTTCAGTGGTTCTCAACTGGTGGGTCCCGACCGAAAAGTGGGTTGTGGACATGTTCTGGATGGGTACGAACAGCTGGTCAAAAAAAAAATATATATTTAATCTGATGTTTGACATGTCTTTTATTTTGAAAAACAGCTTATTTTGAAAGAAAGGTGTTATGTTGTGGTCCTCCTCGGTTTCTTACTAATGTGGCCTGAATGCAGTAAAAATAATATATATATTTTTTTGTCTTTATTTTGTTGATTGATAAAATCTGGAGAAAACACTATCTTCACCCCTCATTCTCTGTGTTCCAGCCATCCAGGGACCAGGGCAGTGTGGTGACTTCAGGGGCTAGCTTGCCTGCTGCTCTCCCTGTAAAGGGTGGCAGCTGCTGTGGCTGCTGGGATGCTGAGAAAGAGCAGCAGCCACAGTGGTGGAGGCGGCGGCATCGCCGGTGGGACGAGGCACACCCAGGGCCTGCCCCGGCACTTCTCCAAGCCCCACATAGGGTGTCTGCCGGCTGGAACTACCAGAACCTTGGATTTGGGTCGTGGCTCCAAGAACCCTGATTTCCTGAGCAGCATGGGGCTAGTATCCCACCCAGTGGGGGCCCCAGGAGTGGACCCGGAGTATGTGATGCAGCTGGTGAACGATGTCCGGTGGTTTGCTGAAGTGTTGCTTAACCTGAAGGAGGCGTTTCAGTGTAAAGGTGAGTTCTGGGGGTGCTGGAATGTAGAGTTCAGGGAAGGGAAGTGGAAACTCAAATAGTTACACAGCAGTTGTGAGAAAATGCACGAGTTTTGCTTAAAGTCATCCTTTCATTCTCTCACCAGTGCTCAGGTAAAGGTGGGGAATGTGTTGCATTCATGTGATGATTGAAAGACAGCCAAAGGGGAAGTATTAGACTTCTTTAATGTGGGTTAAGTTGTTTCATAGCAGCTATAGAAAACTCATACTTACTCTGTCTCTTCTGAAATGGATTTTACTTTGTGTGTATACTGACTTTGTTTTGAAAGTAACCTTTGCTCTTTGGACTGAGGCTCTGTCTTTAAAACTTGATACTCACCGCTGATGGTAGATATAGCTAAAATTCTCTGCCAGCAAATTCCACTGCAGATACTCAGGGAATGTATTGAAACTTGTCTTTACCGCCTGCTGTCCACAGGAATTTTTCTTTGACTCATGAGTGGAAGATCACACACATTATCTGCCTTGAACCTTTTGTACCAGCTCTCACAAGGCACAGTCGGGCTTATCAAATTGCTTTGGATTAAACCTCCAGGTATCCTAGTTGTGTTGTTGAGATATTACAGCCGAGGCCCCAGCCAGAAGAACCACCTGTGGAGTGTCAGCTTCAAGTGTGATAACAGCTTTAGTGCTGGAGTGCCTACACTGTTGTTAATGTCTCATCAACTACAAACACCCACTCAAGCTACCACACTCAGACATGTACGCACAGCAGACACCAGGGCAGCTGCAGGTTACTTACTTTTATAATTTCTCCACTTGGTTTAAATGGCTTTGCCTTTTGTTTGCAGACACAAACAAACAGTCCGCCCACACTAGCGCCTGTGTGCTGCTGAACAAGGCTGTGTAGAAACGCTGATTCTACTGTACTCTCTGCTATATATAATTTTTCATATAATCTGGTCTGTTTATTTTCTGATCCCTCAATCATTTTCTTTGTTCGTTGACAAAAGACTGAAGGAGTTTGGATTGAAAATTCCCAAAGTTGGACCATGAGATAGCTTGTTTAGTTTTACTCGAAGCTAAATATTTAAATTTATACTCGCAGAAATGAAGAGAAAAATAGTTTGGATGATTCTTTTGTCTCTAAACCCTGTCTTCTGATAATAAGCAGACCCTTGATTTTTCTTTATGGCCTCAGTGTTACTCGTACAGAGGGAATTCCCCCTTTGTAGGAATGAATAATGTGAGACTGCCACTTGTACAACCACTACTACTCCTACTGTTCTGCTAAAACACACGTACTTAAACACACACGCACATATATTCACACATGCTGGGGTCTAACTGCAGGTCTGGCAGTGGGAGTGAGTTGTTTAGCCATTCCTCTCTCTGGAGGAGTGAGGCCTCAGTGAGTGAGCCTCGGCCTGCACCGTGCTGAGTGTTACTCTGAACCATTACAAAAACATTAAGAAGGAGACCGTGTTAACACAGCTCTTATTCTGCACGTGCGGATGAACTCATACCATATGACCCTAAAGTGTCATTCAGCTATTTATCATTTGGATTAGTGCTTTATTTCTGTTATTCTTTCTCGCAGACTCGCTGACACAAGCGATTAAGCAAAACAAGTCATGCAAGATGCTTCTACTACAATGTGGCTTGCTGTCCATTCAAAAGTAAACACTGAGTCACATTAACTCGGCGCTGACAAAGACTGGCGGAAGATGGTTACAGTTTAAATCAGGTGTGCTCTGTCAACATTTTAAGCATTAAACACCAGCTGCAATCTCAGACTGTCAGTCATAGCAAACTAAAAACATCTCAACTTTTTATGGAGGCGCAATATCATGAGGTTTTTTTGTTTTTCATTAGCCTGCTTGGCGCCACTGGGGCACTCCTATTTGTTGTCTCCTGAAGCTAATCTGATTATCACCCTTTAAAAGTTTCTTTAAAACTAGGTTCACATGACGTCCATTTTTAGCACACTGTCTCTTATGACTTAATGCCAAAAAGAGGTGGCATTGTGATTCCTCATACTTTGCAAATTTGGTTAAAATGTTGGATGTCAATATTAAATGTTGACTGTGTTTCAGATTGTGAGGTAAACATCTATTACAGTGACCCAGAGATGGGAGCTTATGTGAGAGGGACACAAAATTTTTCAAAAATTATGATTTTTTCTTCATCTCTAGGGTCAAAAACATGTAGCTGTGTTCCATAATTTGTAATTTAACATGACTTTGTAGCATGGCAACAGTGGAGGAAGCTTCTGAGGGTTCCAGAGTCTTAGAGAGCAGCTGAGATAAAGACTTTTTTGAGCTGTAAACCATGCAAAGCTACGACAGGTATATAGGAAGGACAATATAAAGCCTGAAAATGTTGACAGTGTTTCAAATGGTGAGGTAAACATGTGTTGCAGTAACTCAAAGATGAGCGCTTATGCGAGAGGGACACAAAATTTGTCCAAAATTATGACTTTTTTTGCCTCTTGGGTCAAAAACATGTAGCTGTGCTCCATAATTTGTAATTTAACATGACTTTGCAGCATGGCAACAGCGGCGGAGGCCTCTGAGGGTTCCAGAGTCTTAGAGTGCAGCTGAGATAAAGACTTTTTTGAGCTACTACAGAGATATCAGAAAGACAGTATAAAGCCTGAAAATGAGCATAACTTGGATGATTAAGACTTGAAGCCGGACAACAGTGAGTCTCCATGTAGTTCAGAAAGGCTGCAGGACACAAGGTAGTGAGGAAAGCAGGGAGGAGGTCAGCAGGGACATTCCAGCTCTGTTTTTTTCTGTTAATATTTGGAAACTCTGTCACTGCAGTGCTGGGCAGAGCCGATATGAAGCTGTTTTAGCTGAAAGGCATGCGCCCTGTTGTTATCTGGCAGGTTTGCGTCGTTCCCATTGCAGAGACAGGGTTTTGTCTCAGTGTGGGTCTCGCAGCGCCGCCCTTACGCAGAGAAAACCCAGAGTGTTTTGCTAGGACCATGTTTATTTTTGTTCTCAGGTCACCCGCCTGCTTTTAGCAGGATACACATGCACACCGCATGTTTGATTGTCGAAAGCCCACAGTGACACTCCACCAGTGGCCGTAAGCTTGAGTTAACTAGACCCACCACGTTCACACCCACAACTTCACACTTGTAGATTCCCCAGGGTCAGATTGCGGTGTCGATTTACACTTTCACTCATAACTGGGCCTTCAGTCACACTGCTGTAAATGTTGTTTCCCAACAATGGTCAGGCTGTCAAAGAATGTAACCCAGGAGAAGAATGTGCAGCTTATGAGTTTTGACTGGCTAGGTGACCCCTGTCCCCATCCCCAACCCCAACCTCAACCTCTCAGCACTCAAAATTAAATTTGATTGTTTAACCATAATGTCCCAGAAAATGGCAAATTGTGAACATGTCATTATGTCAACAGGTTGTCCGACATAAATCATTATTATTGCCTCGAAAGGAAGCGGGAGGTCAGAGAGAAAAACAGCAGAACTTTGGCTTTGAATGCACCGCGAGCAGCAATAAATATGGAACTTAGTGATGTTTTCCAGCTCTCATAAATGTCTGCTGTTTAAAGAAAAGGTGCATCAAACGTCTCAATAAATACTTAAGGGATTTAACTCCACTTTAAACCTTTTTCTTGCTGCTTTACTTTGTCTTCCTCACTTAACTCGAGTCACACAGAGACCAGCTTCAATTCCCCCGATGGCAACATTACAAGCTTGTAGTACAAGACTGGTAATTGTACAACATTTCAGGGCCGATGTATTTGAAAGGAAAACGCAATAAAAATGTCAGGAGGCTTGCGTTTCATTTAGTCTTTTTCACGAGTGCATGTTTTGCTCTGAAAAAGACAGTTTTAGTTAATGGTTTAAATCGGGATGAAAAAGGAGTCGAGCCGAGCTGCTGTCCCCCTCCCATCCCCCCACTCTCCTGCATACTCTGCATTCCTTTAGAACAAATGTTCACTTGTAGCTATAGTGGCTTCACTAGACTAATGGTAGGTGTAAGGCAGATTGGCTATAAAAAGTCAGCTAAAAATAATCCATTTCAGGATTGGCATCATAAATATAACTTGAAAGAGGCTTCATTTAAAGACAGGGAGGTAAATTATTCAATATTTCATAATAGGAAAGGTGAAATTGATGCTTTTTAAAGAAATCTGAGGGAAATGTATCGTTTATTTTGACAGATTTTAGGGGGATTTAAGAAATGTTATTGCAGAGGTATTATTTCTCCACACTTTTCAGCATACCAAAACAGGCCGACTTTGCACGTCTCTCAGAAAATGTTAAAGTTTACCTTCATTATCAACCTTGAAAGTTCAGGAATGTGCGCTGACAACTGTGCTGCGGTGGAAGCTATGGAATCGGTGAACAGGATGAGGTTTTAGCTTAAAAATATCTTTAGTTACAACAACAAATAGCCACCGGGACACTGTCGGCAATTCTATTTCCTCTCAAGTTTCTGGGCTGAAGCGAGTGTGGGTTACTTATTTTAGCCTTTTAGCCTCAGGTGGAAAAGAACAACAAAAGCGTTTCTCACCAGCTCTTTTTATTGCCCCACTTTAGCCAAGAACAAACATCTCACATAGCAAACTTGAAGCGTTTTTGTCTTTTTCTTTACTATAGATAAACAATGGACACCCTCCATTATGCTCCATACAGTGCATAGCTTTGTGAGAGGAGGTATTAAATATCTTTGAAGAAGGAAGATGTCCAGCTGACTCATGGGTTCTCCTCTCACTCTGAAAACTGGCTTTTTTCAACTGTTTGGTGTCATCATGACACTCTGATAAGATCTGGCTGCAGTCCAGTCAAACAGCATTGTTCTGTTTTTCACAGTACCAGTCTGTATCTGTGCTGTATTGTTATCAGAAGGACAGACTCTTGTTTTTTTTTTGAAAGTGTTGATAAAACTGACAAAAATATGTGAAGTTATAACTCTAACTCACAGGGACTTGTTTACTTTTCTTCTCAGTGTCGCAGAGTTGTTTATTTATGGGCCTGTTTAGCTTTTGTTAAAAATCATTAGAATTGCCGTCTCATGTCAGGGGGGAACATTTACTTTTGTGGTGTCACTTTGAATTATTATAGACTATTCTGCCTTTTCTTGCAGAAACAGCTTTTCCCCTCTGAATTTACCTGATATAAAAGCAGTTTACAGGCCGTAAAAGCCACCATCACTCTCTAAAAGACACATCTAGCAACAGCTACCGCAGACATCTCCTTTTCTCACTCAAGTACCCCCTGTGCCAGCTGAAGTGGCCACTTGCGGGTGGTGCCTTCAATTGAGGAAAAAAAAGCTGAATTCTAGCACATAATGGTTTAATGGCCTGCTGCTCTTAGCAGAAAGAAAGGAGAGATTTGCTGGGCAGTAACTTTCCCCTGTGATGCTGAAGGATGTTTTTGTGCAAGCTTGTGGTCGGGTGTGTTTCCTGGGGTGGGATTTATGGTTATGGGCCCTGGATGTTTGTGTTGGAGATTGGTCATGGCGAGGGGGGGATTGGCCGGCGGAGCTCCTGCTGGCAGGAGAGGGGGCGTCACCTCAGGCGATTGGGGGAGACCTGCTGAAATTTACAGCTGTGGACCAGGCCTGTGCACAGAGAGGGGCTGAGTCCAGGTGATGCTGCTTTGTGAGTCTAGTTCATGTTGCGTCAACTTTCTAGACACAACAAAAATGAAATTTACCCGTCCAGACAAATTCTGAGATCCCTTGTCTCACACGTCGAATGCAATTAGTCATTCCTGTTACCCAATACAGCATACCTCAACTCACATTCCCATACTGTAGTAGGTGATTCACTGGCATTCAGGTTGTTGGGGATTGAGTCACCACGTTTTACTAACTTATGTGTTGAAGTCATTCCCAGACGCAGTGGGAGATCAGGGTATTAGTGGAATTAAACTTGTTAACAACCTGTCTTTGTTTTCAACATGGCACACAAATGTTGATTTGATTTGTCAAGTTTGCTGACAAAAGCTCAAACACTGCTTGGTTGATGCTTTTCATGATTGAAATATGCTGTTTTTTCTTTGTAGATTTTATTCAACTTTAATTCCCCAAAATAGAAACTCAGTCTAAATGTTCAAATGTAGTTTTTTTTTCTTCTTCTTTTCAGGGTTTAGTTCTGATCTGCTTTTGGATGCAGTGATGAACTTTTCACAGATTATAACTGTTGAAAGAGATTTGAGACCATACAGTGATTTCCACTACAGAGTCATGTCTGTTTTAATACTGTCATGTAGGGCTGGGTGATAAACCAAAAATTTAGTGATACCAAAATTTACGACATAACCAACGTCATTTTCAATATCAATATATTCAATGTCAAAAAAATCAATAAATAAAAGTTTGTTTTGGATGTGTGTAGGTAGGCTATGGTCTCATGTCCCTTTGAGACGTTGTAACGCGTTGGAGACGTGACTCCACCCCATCCAGTCCGTAACAAAGAGGTAAAGACAGGTGAGGAGATGGAGGACGGTTCAAAAGTTGAAAAGTTGGCTGAAGTAGACGAAGTTAATGTGGGAGGCGGTGAGCAGCTTGTGGAGTAGTTATCATCCATTTATCGTTATTATATATTTTCGTGATATTGATTTGAGGCCATATTGCCCAGCCCTACTGTCACGGGCCTCTCAGAGCGTTTCCATCCAGTATTTTATATTCTTACTGGGAATTCTCCTGGTTTTCTCAATCTTTTATCGACGCTTTATACCAAAGATGGTGAAATCCCCAAATTCTTTGCTCACACAGTCTCTCACTCAGTGGTCAACCTCTCGCCATCTTCACTTTTGAGAAACTTAGCCTCCCTGGGAACCTCATTGTATACCCTGTCTTGTCACAAACCTGTGGCAAATCAACCCGAATAGTTCAAAGATGTTCTCCCAGTTGTTGATTTTGTACAAATACACAACTTTTTTTTTAGTGTTTTGTTCTTGGACAAACTTTAAAAAAGGATTGCTGGCAGCAGATTTAGGTACTTTCAAGAAACAATGAGCAGTATTCAGTTTCAACATTTGATATGTTGTCTTGAGCCATATTTAAATAAATACCAGGTTTGAATGATTTTTAAAAACATCAAAATGTGTTGTTTTTCTGTTTTTTTGTGTGTGTGTGCAGCATCTCAACTTTCTTTAGAGCTGGGGTTTTATTTGTGTCTCTCTTTTTTCGCTGCTTTCACAAAAGTATTCACAACAAAGCTGAACAAATACAGTCAGAGAATAGACGACAAAGACCAGACAGTGTACACAAGCATGTGAAAAAAAGATGCAAATATAAAGACAGTACAAACACAGAAAATACTTATTTACACAAATTAAAATATTATCATTTCACAAGTATGAACCAGCTTTAAAAAATACAAATACTGCCGAGTATGTGGACGTTAAACGCATATAAATTAGACAGGATATATTTAAAGTTGATAGTGTAATGCATGTTTTAAATGAACCTGTTAGTGCCAATAACCCCAAAAGGAAGCAAAAACAGCCAATAAGGTTCTAGTTTAGACAGGAATGTTGAAGTTAGTTGTTAATGCGTCCGAGCCTTTATGTCCTGTTTTCCTCTTCCGCCTTATTTCATCTCCCTCACACACACTGCCACACACACACACGCACACACTGATTGTTGATTCAGGAATGCGCTCTTGTTGTTCACCTGCTCCATAGTCCCCTCCAACATGTAATGAAGTGTCAAAGAATTAGCCCGACTGTGAAGTCCGGACCTCACAGAGTGCTCTTCACTAATAGGCTGAGAGCAGGTAGCTGTTTATGGAGTGCCTGCTGTTTACTGTCTGTGTGATGTCTGGGGCCCACTCTGTCTCCAAACAAGGCATGGGATAGACGGAGAGGCACCCTGCAATGCCGCGTTTGTTTGGACAGGGGGGGAAATTAGTGTTTTGAGATGGAATCCTGACCAAACAATTCCACCTGTCGCAGATCAGGTTGCAGGCAGCTCAGCAATGCAAGCAGAGTCTGTCGCACTGAGTGTTTTTGTGATCGGAGAGGCTTGTGGATAATCCATGTGTAGCCTATTAGTGCAAAAAAGTAGCATTGTCTATTTGGTAGGGGGGCATTTGGGATGATGATGAGTGTGCCACATCAGTCACCGTCCTGGAATGAGCCAGGCTGATGCACATCTACAAAAATCTTGAAGATAACCTGCCGCTGAGAGTGTAAATCCGCCACCCTCCCTCCATGCGGGGAGGAGGAGGGACACTGAAAGAGAAACATCGCCTCCTTGGCCTCCCGGTAAAAGCCAGCGGCTGTTTCCCAAGCAGCACTGTGTCACCAGAGCTGCCGGGGCTTGTTTCATGTGGAGCAGATCGCGTGTCCAGACAGGCCAGTTGATTGCCTGTTGTTATCTAAAGGGGGGAGTAGGGGGCTGTAACCTCTGTCAGGCCACCTGAAGATTTGGATTAGATTGGTCATTCTCTGCACCAGGCACACAAAGAGCTTTGTTAGACACAATGGGACACCCCCACACACGGCAATATGAGGGGAGACATTAATTTAAAAGGCAAATGTTTGAGCTACAGTATTGTGTTGAATCTGAGTCATCACTTAACACAGTATGTGTTTTAAGGATAAAGGAATTTCAGACCAGCTGTTGGTAGGAGTTTCTGTTAATGTTACATCCTTTTGCCATGACCTCAAAGGTTTGTCGCAATCATTGAAATATATTCCAAAAAATTAAAGGTACAGTGCGCAGAATTTAGAGACTCTGTAAGAATGGATTCTCAGGGCTTGACAGTGCGACTGTTTCACTTACATTTGCGAATAAAAATAGATGTGTGCGAATTGTAAAATGTATTAAAGGGCTCATGTGCGCACAAAAAAATCAACCGAGGCAACAAATGTTTTTTCATGTAAATACCGCGGCAAAGTTAGTTTAAGGTTGGATATTCAACAAACATTCACTAAGGATCTACCGATGTCTTCTCACCCTACAACCGGGAATAACAACAGCAGTGCGGTTAAATCTACTCGGCACACCTTGCTGGTGTTGAATAAGGGACCATCAATAAATTACCTGTGGATGTTCTCAGAAAAGGCTGTTTTCCTTCAATAGCTTTTATTTCACGTGACCAATTGACCTAAAATTGATTTCAAATAATAGTACTAATGCTGACAAATAAGACAAACCTCTTTATTTCCCTAATTTGTCCTCTAAAAATTTTTGTGTTAAATTTAAAGGCAAATTTTGAACATTTTCTTCAATAGCTTCCATTACATGTGACCAAAAGACCTAAAATTGATTTCAAATAATAGTACTTAAGTCAACCAATAAGACACACATTATTTGATCAATTTTCATTGTGCCCCTAAAGGTCTTTGTGTGCACCTTACTTTTTCAACTTAGAAGCACATGTGCTCCCCCTGAAAAAAGCTAGTGTCAAGCCCTGACTCTGATATTCATAAGTATGTTTTAAATTGCGGTATAACTACCATAACTATTACTATACTACAGCATCTGTTGTCAAATAAACCACCCAAGAAGTAGAGGTGTTCACCATACTGATTCCTTTGGTCGTGTCTTGCTTATTGCTTCGCTCACTAGGAGGTAAATGGTAAATACCAGACATGTTTTTGTGCGAGGTTATGAAGTCTCGTGGTGTTTTTTTCTGAGAACTCATTTACCTTTGACTGAAAGACAGCAAATGAAGAATTTAGTAAAACTGCCAGAAAGGCGACTTTTTTTACGCCCAAACTGAGTTACAGTTTGCGCTAAATCCACTTAGCATAATTGCATTTTTAACACTTAGCTGCTGTCAGGAGTTGTGCATCAAGAAAGGAGCAGAAGCATGACCAGAATGATTATCAGATTCATGTGAATGTTCTCCTGAAACCCTAGTTAGATAGGTAGACAGTACATCAGCAACTATTTTTGTGATAGTTATTTGTTTAACGCTTTTCTCAACCAGATATCAGACATTGATGGTTGGGTATCAGTGGTGATTTAAAGAAAAACGAATGAGTGGCTGTTTTTTGTTCACAAAGCATCCTCCAGCCTTCACAGTACAGCAGCTAGTCCTCATTGTGAACCTCTCTCTCCTTTAAAGGGAGGTTGGTCTTGATCTTGTAAAAACTAAATGAAGCAGACTGAGCGTGAAGCGTGGCTGGGACTCCAGCTCATCCCACCGCCGTAAAGAAAGACAGGCCGGCCTTGAGCTGCGTTGGCGTTTGCAGGGGGTCCCTCCTTTTGAAACAATACGACCCAGCTCTGTGCTGCGGCGCTGTTATCTCTACCAAAACAATGGTACAACCCCCCTCCTGCAATTGGCTGCAAATTTCCAGTGCCCTTTTTGATGCCATTGTTGTGACAAAACCACTCTGGGCTGATTTTCAGCAGCTTTCACTCAGCTGTCTCACGCTGGACTGAGCACGGATCCTGTCACACAATTCAAAGGGCAAACAATGGCGGTGATCAGTATGAGCTGTCACTGAAAATCTGACCTTGTTTTGATAACTTTATCCTCATCTCTGATTGTTAAGCACGGCTCTTTTGTTTGTATTTTTTAATCCGGGTGAAAATTAACACTGATCTAAGTAGCCTAATTTCACCGACTATGCTGTTTCATTTGATACACAATGTGGGGTTCATGATAAGACCTTCATGAAATCTGAATTTTTCTAACTTGAAGTATGAGCAGAACTTTTCTAAGTAGGCCTGCAGCAGAGATCTAGATCAGCGCCGTGTAACCGTTGCTAAATGTTGCCACAGTTTGTTCTTGATAGGTTGTGTCAGCTCTGCTCTCGTTAGGAAGGACATGTTCTTTGTACGCTGAAGGTCGCTGTCACACTGTGTATCATTAATTGAACCTACCGGCTGCTATTTATTTATTTTTGCCACTCCATTACTGTGTTCTAACTCTGCACAGTGGAGCGTCTTTGACAGCTGGCAGCCGCTTACAGTAAACAGAGGGTACGGCCAATACCAATCCATTCAAAACTGCCCTCGGCTTCGGTTCCACTCCAACGGATCAGCTCAGGACACCTCTCTGTCCTTGTTGCCACGACATCACAGCCATTAATAGTGACTGACAATTTGTGCCCCTTTGGTTTCGCAGCAGAACACAGCAGCCCAATTAAAAGCCTTTCTTTTCAGGAGGGGGATGAGAAATAGATCCAACAAACAGCTCTGTTTTGATCCCACAGCCATTTTGAGTAAAAATACTCAGGTGTGCGCCACATTTGGACCATCTCTCATGTGTTTTAAACGAAAACCACACATGTCTTTGATAAGAAAATCTTCAAACGCCAAAGAGCTTACCACAAGCGCCCCCAAGACCACAACAGAGGGGATGTTTGAAGGAGGAGAAGGAGCCTAATGAAGGCTTTTGTCAGTGTCAGTAAGGAGGGGGACCTTCAAAGTGGGGTCAGGGACTTCTCGCCTCAGGGCAGGTAAGCAGACCCCTCCTTTGCTAGACAGGTTTCCTTTAATTTTTGGGTTGTAGAAGCTGGGAGCAGGCTTTGGTTAGCATCTGAAAAGCAGGGTTAGGACCTCATGTTGCTGCGCTTTTGTCTCTGAAATTTGTTTTCAAGCTTTTTTCCCATCCAGGAGTAAGAGTTGAATCATTTCACCGCTGAGTGTCATCATTTTTATCTGTTGTTTTTTGTAACTACAGCTGCAGATTGCCAAGCTCATGTCTCACTGGTAGATTATATGGGTCTTCTGCTGAATTTCACCGGCAGCCAATTGAGTTAGCGAGAGTGTTTGAATATAAGAGGAGTGAAACAGGTTACACACACTCAGTCTCTCAGTTTCACACCCTCTGTAATTCCCTTTAACATGCCAATAAATTCAGCCTCTCATCTCACTCTGCTGCCTGTTGGAGTGGCTTGATGAAATCCAGATGACTTTTCAGTTTCCAGTGGGCGTCCCAGCTTCTTTTATAACAGCGAGTTAGACATGAACTCACCTTTTATCTGCTGAAGACAAAAAAATATCATTTTTGTACAATCTTGTTCTTATTTGGGTTTATTTTTCCACTCGAGGAGCTTGTTTTCACGTCTGCAGTCTGCAGTATATTTCACCGGACCGTACAGGTAGGGCTGGGCGATATGGCCTCAAATCAATATCACGATATAACGATAAATGGAGGATAACTACTCAACAAGCTGCTCACCTCCTCCCACATTAACTTTGTCTACTTCAGCTTCCGCTCCAGCTGCTACAACTTTTGAACCGTCCTCCATCTCCTCACCTGTCTGTCCCTCTTTGTTACGGACTGGATGGGGTGGAGTCACGTCTCTGACGTAGGACAGCATCTTAAAGGGACATAAGACCATAGCCTACCGACATGCATCCAAAACCAACTTTGATTTCTTTATTTTTTTTGATAATGAATTTGCCGGTATGGGCAAAATGGCGTCGGTAATTGTCGTAGAATTTCAGTATTGTTACATTTTCAGTTTATCGCCCAGCCCTATGTACAGGGGCGGCAAATCTGCAGGGGTATAACAGTCAGAGCTTTCGAAAATGAAAGTAACATGAAAAACTGTAATTGCCCTGGTAGTTGGTGCAGCATATGATTAATTCTAAATACCAAAGTTATATCAGGAGATGAAGTAGTGATTTAATGTCTCCACAAAGTTTCATCCAAAGACTTTAAAGGGCTTTGGTGCTCAGGAAAAGCTTTGGTTAATTCATCAGTAAAGATAAAGTTAAAGCATTACCCCTTCACCCCCTCACTGCTCTGCTCGGCCTCATAACAGAGACATGCCGTTCACAGAGCAGAGACTGCCAGAATGTGATATGGTTTGTAAAATGAGGGGAGGGATGTAATCTGGATGCATTTTGTACATTCTTTTCCTCCCAAAACCCCGGTAGTAACCGAGAGAAACGCGAGTTCTTGCTCCATTTTTTAAAATTTTATTTCTCCTCTGCAGAAAATTATTTCAGCATAACCGGTACAATGTGTGCCACTTCACTGACCTTTGAATAGTCGGTTTATCCTTACTCATTTCGAGCATCCTTGTTTTGGTATACGTTCTTTCTTTAAGATACCAGGTCTCGACTATGTTGACGCACACGATGGATGTCTCACTGATAAAATCTGTGGCGTCTACATTGAGTTTTTTTTCATCTGAAGTGCACTCATCCTCACTTGTTAACACAGAAGAGTCAAAAGCACGCCAGCTTTTATCTATTTATCATCATCACCTGTCTGGAAAAGTAATTACTGAGACAGTACAACTTGTTTACAAAGATACATGCTTCTTCCGGTGTACGTTGTGTCACTTTTTACCCGAGGGCAGCAGAGCGGAAGTTTCATCGCAGGAGTTTTATTCTCCAACAAAGAAGTTAGTCACTGTTTCTCAGCAGCGAGGATCTTCCACGAAGCAGAGCGGAGCGTGTGCTTATTAATCGCCCGGCGGGGACTGGATCAGACAAAAGATGACATCAAAGAGTCATAGCCTGAAAATGACAAGTATTTTTTAAGTAACGTGTGTTGCAAAGTCAGGAAGAATGACAAGAATGTAATTTGACACTGGCTTACCTGACTCAAAGTGTCGTGGGGATGGCTGCGACTCTGACTAACAGATGAGAACTGCGATTGCATGGTAGTAGGATTTCTGCTCTAATGAATCTCTTGTTTGTTTGGCTGATCCTGACGTGACTGAGAACCTGACCTGTACGTGACTTTTCTCTCTCTTTTTTTTTTCCTTTCAGAGAATCTGGAAGTTCTTCAGACAGTCGTGCAGGAACGTTTGACGGAGTTACTCCGCATCCTCAAGACCGTCATCGGCAAACACCCGACGCTGAACTCTGTGGACATTCTGGGAGCAGCCGGAACGGTCATTGCCAAGGTTAAAGGTCAGTTACCGCACACGAACATGCATGGCTGCTCGCAGACATGCAGGTAGACACACACTCAGGCGCCCGAGTGATGCTCACATATCTTGGCGTGAAATCTTATTGTTGTGTTACTGTGTCGGGCTAAGGGTCTACGTCAGTCTTTCAAATGAGTGTGGGAAATGCCCTGCAGGAGGATTTCATAGCGCTCTACTTGGTTAGCATTGGCGGAGAGATTTGTTTCCAAAAGGTCACGATATGAAAAGTTATTATTTCTCCGGCAACTGATCCATTTCCTGTCTTCTTGTGAATACAAACACAAGAATCCCAACTCAGGAGTCCCATCTGTTAGAAATGTGATCCACTGCAATGGTATTTCTTCACTCGACTTGCACACAAGAATCCGCACCGTGGAGACTACATGGCTGTAATTTGCATTCCATATTCCAGCGACCGCGGAGGCCCCTTTGGCAGGCTGCCTGTCAATCAGCCACATCCACGTTTCTCCTCCTGCATCGCGAGGCGTTTCTTCATCTGACAGCTCACCTGTCCTATCTCACCATCTGAACGGTGACCCACTCCTTAAGAATGCACGTCTGCTGCGTCTGTAGGCAGTGTAGTGATGCTCTGAAAATGCCGAGAATGCATAAAGGAAACAAAAAAGATGCAGCGTGGATCCGGAGGAAGAATCTTCCGCAGTGTTGAGACCAAAATGAGCGAACATAAAGCAAGATAGGTGGTCGGGTGGAAAAATACGCCAAGTTTCTACAGATTTAGAAAGATATGTTGAAGAAAACTGTTTCCATGACAACCTGTAAAACTCTTCAACAACTTAAAGTACAGTACACAGGATAAGTACCTACACTCTTACTGGAGGGATAAATTGGATTGGGTATCTGCCATTAAGAGTAGACCAATAAACAGTGCAATCGACCGTCGCCAATGGCTGCCAGTCACCTATCACGCAGCCCTCCTCTGCCATTGTAATGTTGTGCTTTAACCGGCCTCCCCACCTATCAATTCTTCCTCTTCTGTTCAGTTCAGATTCACTCTGTTCTATCAGCCAAAACTAATGAGGGGTTTCAGTCAGGCTGTGAGAGGAATGAATGTACGCGGAGGATATGAAGAGGGGTATATGAACAGGCAAAGGTTAATCCCCTTTAGCTCAGTGTCTGCCTGTTGTTATTTCTTGTAAGATGCCTTAGTTTGCTTCTTCAAATCTTAACCAAGTCCAAAAAGGCTCTTCATATGATGAAACTGACATCTGAGAGGGGTGATGGTTGATATCTGACTTTCTAACTGAACTGCAGAAACATGGCCGTTATGTGTGAGTGCTCAAATCTTTGTATTCTGAGTGAAAAAGCATTATTTCTTTTTTTGACCAAAGGCCAATATTTATTTATTGATTCTTTTTATCACCCTCCTCCGCCCCCATCAGTGTTGAGTTTTTAGATTATGGTCATCTTGAAACTGAAGTTTAAAGCTTGTCACGCTCTTACTCTGACTTTGACCTGGACAGAGATGTGTTAAAAAAAACAAAAGAAACCAGTTGTATTCGTCTATCATGATCTCTTACATACCTGAATGTGCCTTTTACAAAGACTATGTCCAACCTCAGCTGCCTGTCTGTTCATGTGTTTTGTTAGTTATGGCCGGCTCTTTAGTGTTTTTCAGTGTACAGTAACACATTATTTTGAATGTGCTGTAAAATTATTTGGATTGGACTGGATTATCACTAAGTAACTTTGAGTTAAAAGTAGTCAAGTACCAGATTTGCAAGATGAAATATACAAAGAATCAGAGCAGGGTTCTCCTAACATTGTACTGTAAGTAAACACTGCCCTGCAATAACATGAACACACAGTTTCACTGGGATGACAGTGCAGTGCTGCATGTATCGATTCGATTTCAGCCCTGTCATTTATTCCTGCTGCCAATACGGTCGTATCAAGTGTTGTTGACAAGTGGAAACTTGGAAATGTGCCTGTCCACAAGGGGGTGCCTTACATCAGTGCACAGCACGGCTGATCTGTCCCTAATGACCCATAGGAAACACAATTCAGACACAGTGAGGGAGCCAGCAGAGGTGTGCGGAGCAGAGGCTGAAAGAGGAATGAATCAGGGAGAAGTCAGAGATGAAGACTCAAAGGTTGGCCTGATAACAGGTCTTGTGTGCCTCCATGTCTTCAGAGTGTGTCGTCTCTTCACTCATGCTGCTCTTTGATGCTTGGTCATGACACCTGGGGCATTTGGACAGCTGCCAGAGTTTATTGGGAGGAAAAAAAAATCCCCCTTTCTCTCTCTCTCTCCAAACACATGGTTGTCTAACCAGTTTCAGATGCCTTTTACATGTAGAATGTTATCCACTCTCTCTCTTCCCTTCTTCATATTTGACACTTTAGGCAGTTTTTAATAAACCTGAAGATGTTGCAAACATCCTCAGCACCACCCGTCTGTGCGCTGTGACAGGTTTCAAGCTCAGCTACAGCCATTGTTACACTTTGAAAACATTATCTCTGCTTTTTGTCATCAAAGATACGATCTTTTCACAAACTCTCTTTGACTCAGAGCTGACCCAGACAAGGTTTCTTTTTCCTGGTTACTTTTTCGCTCATGCTCCCCTCCTCCTTCTAGTGAAAAACTGCAGACCCGACAGTAGAAGTGTCGACTTACTGAGATTCTCAAGAAGATTGTAGAGTGAATTTGCTTATTGAAATCAATCCAACATGTCAGATTTCTTTTTCTGAAGAACCTCTTTGAATGCATTTCCAGCATTTCAGTTCAGTAGCTTTCCGGTTAATCTCCTATAATTTAGTCAGCTATCAAAAATGCTGCTCATGAGGAGTTATTAGAAAAATATCAGACATGCTTAGCTCACTATAAAGACATTTTTCAGAAGCTTATTGTCATGGCGCAACCGTGAGAAAACAATGGCCCCTGTACTTGAATGATGCAGTTTCCATATTTCAATCGTGACAAGGAGGGGGGGGCAGAGCTCTGGAATCATTGTTATGAGACCCACAGGATGTCCTGAGGAAGAAGTCAGCGCTGAGTTGTACGCTAGCATTCAGGGCCAGGGAGGTGCACTGCAGGGAGGCTCGCTCCGCCGCCTCTCCTCTCTCTTTTTGGTGTCCTCAAGAGTTTCCCTGGAACGCAGGGGGGTTGCCTCTGCTGCAACACAGGATGCCATGACCAGGGATCTCTGCTTCACCTGTGCTCGGGGATTTACACCTAATCTAGCACCTCTGACGTGGATCGAATTTGCTCTAATGAAGAGAAAATGGAAACACAAGGGATAGAAAGCAGCCTGGAAATTGTGTCCGTTTAGAGCTGCTTCATGCACAGCGGAACATGTCCACATTGTTGAAGTTTTCGGGTGTTACTAGACAACGATGCTAGGTTACTGAAACAAAAGGTAAGCATTGTCATGGTTGTCAGAAGTGTAAGTTCGCAGAAGTCAAGCTGTGTGAGTGTTTCCTGTGGCGGGTAGACAGGAAGTACTCAGCTTAGTCGGATTTCACTGCCCGTGTCTTCGATTCTTCTGCTTTCTGCAAACGTCTTCTCGCCGAGTAAAGCCATTCCTCACCGTCTTGGTTTTGAAGAGATTATCGGTATGATTGATAGCGTTTTTTGTGCAAGATCAACATAGGAGACATCACACAGGATTATACCTCTGAAGAGTGGAGAGAGAACTTGAGGTTGTTTCTTGAATATCCACCCTCAAGTAACCTGAAAGCTCCTCAGAAGAAGATGTTTCTGACTTGGTAGCAAGATATGAGCTGTTCATGTTATGTCTGCCTTAAAGTAGCGGTTTAAGCAGTTTTTTTAAGCAGACCTCTTGAACTTTTTGTGACAGCTCAGAGGGTTTACCTTCTGTCTGTCATCAAGGAGAGTGTCAACACTTACCTGAGACAACTTTAGCACTTGTAGAGGAGATGAACCGCCTTCTGAAAGGACATAAGAATTAACTGAAGCCTTTTTTAACATCTAATTACAGGCAGGAAACAAAGAACAGCTTTATGGTGAAGTGCATTTAATCTGAACTATTTGGTGTCGGCTTTAAAATCCGATTTCATTCACTTAGATCAATTTGAAGTAAGGTACATGTCGTATCGTTCTGGTAGGTTCTCAATGTCCAGCTGCTTACAGTCTGTGCTATTTCTGTATATACATTTGAGTCCACTAAAGTTGGCTTGTAATGCAACATAATTCTTTACACTAAAGTTCTCGTGTTCTTTATCTCCCTCCGCAGGCGTTAACTTCAAGGAAGTGGAGCCAGAAAACGCCAAAGCTATATTCGGCGACATACACACATCCATCGACACTTTGGCATTCACATTCGGCAATGTGTGAGTACAACATTTGTGCGACTTTTCATCGCGACTCTTATCAATCTCCCCTTCTTGTGTATATCAGAGTTATGAGTGCCAGACATCTCTTTGTTTCAGAGTTGCATTTCTCAAAGCCCTTTTACTGCTGATGAGATAATTCGAACTTTATCAAAGCGTACTTCTAACATTTCATCTTCACATCCACCCTCCAGAGTTTCTGACTTCCTTATGGGAGATGTGGACAGCGGCTCAGGGTTGGGGGTCCCCCAGAACAGGAGAAGCAGGGTGAGAGGATTTCTTTTCTCTTTATCTCTCAGGCTAGTTTCTCTTCTTCTTCTTTTCCCAGAGGTTTGTTTTCAAATGTGACAACTTTCAAAAGGGCTTCACTCAAAGCCGTAATCTCACCACGCCTCCTTTTTAAAAGAACCTCAAAGACTTGCTTTCTGTGCTTAATTGGGGTGTTGAAACCCCAGCTGCGTCTGATGTGTAACTTTGATTGTATGTCTGCGTCTCCCTCTGTATAATCTTAAATGTCTTTTTCGCAGTCTTTTGACAACCTCTCCGTGGGTCCTGAGGGATACGGCTCAGAGAAAAGTGACCTTGTGGGTAAGTGCTATTTGCATTCCCTCTCTCGTACCCCTGAGCAATGCGTGTGTCAAATAAATGAATCCTGAAATGTAATAGCTGTTAATGGCTGCTTTACAAAGCATTTCATGATTGCTTCGTAGCCAAGGGCAGCCAGGCGTCGTGTCAGCTCGTAAGTTAGCGGAGTGATTTAGGCTCTGGACTCTCGAATGCCTGAGGTAGACCCGCCTTAAACCTCTGCTTCCACCCCTGTTATTTCTCGCTGCTTTTTTTTCATACGAGCCGCTCGTTTTCCTCCTCTCCGTCCACATATCTGACATTCCTTGCCTGTTTAGGAGTAGTTCCGTATGTGATGGGAAACACATGCGGTTTTAGTTAAATCAGATGGATGGCTGGGAGAGGTGCACCACAGTGTAACCAGCGAAAAGCAAATATCACTGTTGGGCTATTTTAGATGCCCGACACTTTCATATCCTCCCACACTGTCCACTTTAACCTCCAGTGTTTTTTTATTTTATTTTTTTTCATTTACCTCCCACACGCGTCTGCTGGGATAGTAGCACCGAGACACATCAATGCAGCACCTGGCGGTTTTGTTGAAACCATATGTTGTGATTCACTCAGTTTGATATGCCTGCTCCTCTGCTGACTCTCCAGGCCCTGAGGTGCAGCTGTCACGGGAGGAAGAAGTCGACCTGACCCTGCTGAAGAATGACGGCGGGGTGGAGTCTGCTCTGCTCTACGCTAAGGCTTGGTCCAAGTACATTAAAGACCTTCTGGTGTGGATGGAGAAACGACTGGCTATGGGTGAGACGATCAAAGCGCATATTCTCACTAGATATTGTGTGATGAAGAACTTCTTCCCCCTTCTCCCGGTTGATACAAGACAAATAGTTATGAAGTTACGAGTGACATCAGTTTGATGCGAGCTCAAGCGGGATTTTGCAAATAGACCTCTGAGTCATTTTAAGCCTATTGACTGTTAATTGATTTCAGAGTTCAGAAGTAGCAGAGCAGTTTATTGGCACTTAACAGCCATTAAGTCGGGGCGAAATGGTCCTCGAGAAGCCAGCTGAGCTCCGTCGCCAGGAATAAATAAATGACTTCCTTTTCTTTTATACTCAAAGGCGGGCCGTTTCCGCCTCCACATTATTTGACTGATATTTTCAGGAGTATGAAAACTAACATATTTAGTCATGACATTAAAAATTCATGTGTCGTAGCTGACTGTATAAAAGCAAAGTTTTGGGAGTGTGGAGGCAGACCATGCATACATCTTCTGGAATTGTATAAAAATGAGGATATACTGGCAAAATGTTAACTTGGTTGTAAAAAAATGTTTTGGGATATGAAATCTCAAATACTTGTCCAGTGATGTATCTTGGGAATATTAAGAAGGTTGTAATAAAAGAGGATCTGTATTTGACTGAAGTCTTACTGGCAGCAAGCAAGACAGCGGTCACAAGAGACTGGCTCAATGCGAACACGCCAAACCAGGAGCAGCTGTTGGAAATTGTCCAGGAAATCTTTGTTATGGAAAAATCGACATACCTGTTAAGACTCAAAGAGAACGTATTTGAAAAAAAGTGGGAAAAATTGAATATTTTTATGAGACATGACACCAGCTGAACAAATGCTGAATGGAACAGTGGACTGACCACAGTTTGTTCATGTTATTATTGTTACTTGTACCTTGTTTGCTGTGTTGTTTTTGCCTATACATGTGAAAACTCGGTAAATAAAAGCAAAGTTTTGGGATGTCAAAGGACTTACTGGTTTATATTAACAAAGAATCTTAATTCAGAGGTTTAGCAGGGCTGCGATATCTACACAGTGCTTTTCTTATTGTTCATATATGTGTATAATATTGTAATCAGACTGAAAAACCTGAAATCTCCCCTCACAGATATCGAGTATGCCAAAAGTTATGCCAAAATGGCTGAGACTGCAAGGGCACTGGCCAGTCAGCAGGTAACAGAGAAGCCTTTCCATCTACAAATGAATCAGAATAGAAGAACCTGTTACTGTAGGACTTCAGAGGAGTTCATACTTGTGCGACATTGTTATTCATATTCTGTTTCTTTCTTTTCATTTTTCCAAGGACTACATGCCCTTCAGCGAGATCTACATCTCCTCGTTCAAGAGCGACATCGAATACACACAGCTGCTGATTCAAACGGCAGTGGCTCTTCAGACAAACAAATTCATACAGGTGAGAGTGAAAACAGGACAAAGACTGCAGATTACAGAGTGTGTAACAGCTTTTCTGTTTTAAACCCCTCAGGGAAAATCATAAACTTTTTGTCGCAGGAATCATTTAAATAAGAAACCAACAACGAATGTAGCAGAGGGATTTAGTCTGACAAAGATGCGCTGAAAAGAAGGTTCCAGAGAGGGTTTTGTGTTTGTTTTTAGAATAATTTTGCACAGTTTTAAACACAATAAACGATCCTGTTAGGACTTATTTGTGTCTTCTCAGTACAAACTCAGTAAAATTAAAGTCATCGTGCATCCCAGTAAGAGTCTGATCAAGTGTAACATTATCTGTGCTTGTTTTTGTTGTGAAAAGTAAACCACGTCTGATCTGATTAAACTCTAAATGTAATTTCACCCTGAAGACAGACTTTTGTGATCACTGACCTCAGTGTTGTTGACTCCCCTCAGCCTCTCCTGGCCCGTAAGAATGAGCTAGACAAGATGAGGAAAGACCTGAAGGAGCAGTGGCAGAGAGAGCAGAAGAAAATGGTATGTGACCAGTCTCTCTTTGCTTCATAGCAACGCAGCTAATCTCCATTTTTACATTCCAGACAAGGCCGTTTTTCATAAAACATGTGGCAATACGAGCCACCCAGGAGGTTGTCAGATGTGACTGTACTAAGATTTATTGCGTACAAGACCACAAGAGCCGCGGCAGACTGTGAATCTCTGTCCTCATTGTTCATCTGAGTTTTTTAATCTTTACTTTCCTGGCAGTTTTTTGTTTCTCAGCACGACGTGGTGCAACATTTCTCAATGCCCTGCCTGTACATATATTTCACCCTGTTGCCCACAAGCACTTAGTTATTTTTGGTGGATTTGTGTGGATTTGGCAGCAAGAGGCAGATGTAACCTTGCGTAAGGCGAGGACGCTGAAGGCCCAGAGGCGGGAAGAGTACCAGAGAGCCCACTCGTATATGAGCCGCTCCCAGGACGAGCAGTCCAACGCTGCTAACAAACAGCTGGAGAAGAAGAGGAGGCTGGAGGAGGAGGCTCTGCAGAAGGTGACTGATAGATGACATAAATGGATGTTTTTTTTTGTTTATTTGATGGTAATAATAACGCAAGGTTAACGCTATATTTGCATGATTGTGTGTCAACAGGCAGAGGAGGCCCAGGACCAGTACCAGAGCTGTATGGCTGACGCAGGCGTCAGAAGGATGGATCTCGCCAACGCCAAAAGCACCATCCTCACACAGATCCGAGAGATGGTCTTCCAGTGTGACCTCACGCTCAAAGCTGTGAGTTGATTGGACACAATGACATAAACAGTAGGGATGGGCGATAAATTATCGTTCACGATATATCGTCAGAAAAGTCCTCCATGATAAATATTTGCCATTTTATGATAAATGCAAGTTGATGATGTAAGCACGAGTGATGTACTCGCAGCCATAGTCCACACAGAGCAGAGTAACAAACAAACATGGCCGAAAGTAATGAAGAAAATGTTTCTGAGCAGCTCGTTACTGAACGATCAGGGCTTAGATGAGTGCAATCAGGTACGCCTGACATCTGACAGTGGATCTGCTGCTGTTCACTCTGTGCAATAAGAGTTTTTAACAAATGTTGAAAATGTTTTCACATCTGAGACTTGTTTGATGTCATTAGTTTTCTCCATAACCTACCACTCAAACTTGTGGTTGGGTATCTTATTTGACTACGCCAACTGGTGTTCTCAAGACAAGATGAGTCAAAAGTAAAGATTGGAATGATAATACTTTTTATATTGTGACTTTTATCGTTACCGTCAGAATGGCAAATCTTACAGTGATAAATTTTTTAGCCCATATCGCCTATCCCTAATAAACAGCCAGATTACAAACGAATAAGGTGAGAGAGTAAATCAGAGCATTCGATAATAAACGGCGTCTCCGGTTTACTGGTAGTGTGTTTGATCTTTTGGAAACGAGTTATGATTCAACCAACTTTCACACCAACAGTAGCTTCCTACTAACTTACTCACTCAGTAGATTTACATAATGAGGTATTTTTCTGTCTTCCTCATCAGGTGACGGTGAACTGGTTTCAGATGCAGCAGGCACAGACCGTGTCACTTCCTGCCCACTACCAGGCCCTGAGTGAGAGCGCCAAGTTGTACGGGCCGGGAGAATGCTACGCCGAGTTTGTCCGAAACCTCGCCAAAAATCTGCCCAAAGAGCGCGTGCACTCTGACTCCATCTCCTCTGACAATGCCAGGTACAGCGGACTGTGGATTCTCACCAAGACCCTGTCTAGACATGCAGTCAATACACATGGACATGTCAGGTTTTCATTTAGCCTGATTTAGGGTTTCTTTTTCGAAGTCATAACAGGCAAATCAATGAGTATGACGCGCAGGAAGATATAGGAAAAATCGCTCCTCGTATTGATTCAGCGAGGGAAAGTATCGGGGCGAGTGATTACATGAAGCAGCTCCTGGATCGGGGCCAGAGATGTAACCTATGATAGGCTCAATATAGATGATAGCAGCGTAGAACGGTGAGGATACAGCTGTTCAATACTTTAATCTATCTAATCATCTCTTTGGCACGCAGATCTACTCTTTCTGTCTGTCTGTACGTAGAGACTTCAGACAGCAGCTTCAATCAAACGCTAAACCTGCAGGGTAACACCAGGCTTCAGGATCAAAAAGAGCTTTCATATGAGGTCAACACTCGAGTCTGTATTGACACACCCCCTGTTGTTTCCTCTCTACTGTGCGGCTGCAACATGTTTGCTTTCTACTATTGATGTTCTTGAGATGAAGAAGAAGAAGTACGTGTTTGTTTGAGTGCAGGGCGAGGAAGTGAGGTAGGATTATAGAGGGTCCCTGGAGATGTGAACAGAGCTGTTTACATGTGATAGATCACCCAGGAATCACGTTAACACCAAGTGAGAACAAACCGAAAAAAATCTGGCAGTGATCTTGATTTTTTTTACTTAAAAATCGACTTAGCAGAAAACTCATCGGTTGTAGTTCACGTCTCAAAATGTCTCCAATTGACTCCTGCCTGTCTGGAAGTTGTTCGTCGTCTCGTTCTTCTTTCAGCAAAGGTAACAGTGAGTCAGAGTGGGAGGAAGCCAGAGAGAGAGAGCGAGGGAGAATCGAGGAGAGACAGAATGCGTGCTGAATTTGTTGCCCTTCCTCAGGAAATATCTGCTGTGCAGGCTGAGTGCGGCGGGGGAGATTGCGAGCGTGAGAGTTTTGCTCTGATTTAGAGCTTTCCCCGCGACTCTTCGTAGCTTGTCAAAGCAGCGTCAGACTCAGCCTCCCACGCATACACATTCATTACCACTGAGATAACAAGCAATGCCTTTAAATCATTAGTCAAATGGAGCGTAGATTTATTACACTGCTCCGTTTGGTACAGTAAGGCACTGCTCTCAGCTGATCACACTGATTGTTAAATGTTTTTATAGATTTAGAGCCTGAGGCAAGTCTGCACTTCCTCCGCTAAGCCACAGTCACCTTAAACGTGACGTTATTCGCGTTGTGGTGGTCTGCTTGCTGGGCTTATTTCAGTTTCTGCTCCTAATCCTCTCTTTTAGTCTAAGTAAAGCCTGTAACACTTCCCCTTCTGAAAATTCCTGGAGGTTAGGCAAAGGTGTGTCCTTAAACAACAGCTACTGTACTCCAGCAGAGATCCTAATATGCTGACGATGTCTAAATCATGTAGCTGTCAGTCACACATTCGGGCCAAACAGATTGAAGCGTCTCATGCTTGCTTATTCATTACAGTCTGCTCCAAGTTGTTACAAATGCCGGGAGTCTCAGTGGTGGGTGTTAACAAAACAGATGACACGCCAGAAAACGAAAGCCAGAAATCTCATTTCCTGGTGAAGCAATCTTTGAGTCACTGCTGTTGATCAACAATCTTGTCAAACCCAGCAGACAAACACACACACACACACTCTGTGGACAAAGAAATAATACCGAGCTTTGTGACAGTACCAACGCTGACTTTATTTCCCCAGGTTTCTTTTCAACAAAAGGTCAGTGGGAAGCACTCATTCCTCCCACGGCAACCTGTCGCAGGCATCCATCACCTCCTGCGACGTGTTGAGCGGAGATGAAGTGGACAGTCCCCTGCAACGAGCCGCGAAGATCAGTGAGAGGAGGTCCGACGGCAGCGCAGACATACAAGGTGCTTACTCAGTTATTAAGTGGACTAAAATGAACTCAGGGGATTATAATAAGCCGGACAGGGATGGACTCTATATTTACAGGTTCTTGGAATCCCAGCAGACTTAAAACCTGCCCCTCTCTAAACTCAGTGAAAATGTGAAATGTTTGACATACAATATCTATCAGAACATGTCTGTCAAATTAGGTACTGTTTCAACTGTACTGATTACAGTTCTGGTTCTGGTTCCTCTTGTCCAACCCAGTTCTTATCCATTCTTGATTTCTATTCTGTTATTTTTAGAGTAGAACAACTAAACTTTTAAACTTTTATATAACAAAACAATGTTTGAAACATTTCTAGACATGGTTTGTTTACCTTGATATAAATGTAAACATAAGCTTAGATGTGTTTTTGTACCTGAATGTGACAATATGCAGCATATTGAACTCAGTGAAGTTCCTCAGATTCATGCCGTGCTGATAAGCATTATCGCTTTAAATGAAGCTCGGTTAAACTTGTGATCGCTTGATTTGGTTCTCACGCATTTATTCACGTACTACATTTCAAATTGTGCAACATCACGTCGTCAGAGCCCATCCCGGCAGAAGTGAAACGTAAATGAACTACAGAATTTTCACTGAGGTTTGATCCTGAAGATTTATGTCGCTGTTGGGAACCAAAAAGAGGAACTGAAATCAACAGATCTAAGAAATGTAGACCTGATTTCAATTTCAGATCTTGAATGAGAATTGTTTTGCTCTTTGTTGCATCTCCTATGCTTAAAGACTGCAGACAGATACTTTGCTGTCTTTGAATTACTCCTCTAAAGCTGAAGCCACATCAGCAGCAAATATAGGCAGAAATCTTCATGTGTTGTGTTCATATTGTGCAACCCTCTTTACTCTAAATCACGTTGGGGCCCATAAAGCTGAAACTAGCAGATGAATCAGCCCACCAGCCTGCATCCATACTCGGGACTTACCCTAAATCCTGAGACATGACCAGTTTGAGTTATGTGTGACTTATTTTTCACAAGTCTGAGATATCTGTGACTACTCGTCTCTGAAAATAACTGAAACTGACACTAAGAATATCACTAAAGAGGAAGCTGTCCTTCAACCCTTTTTTTGGTTGCTCTCTTTCTTTCTCTCTGTGAATGACTGTCTGTGTGTACTTTTGCAGCTCTGAGAAGTCAGGCCACGCTGAGAGCCTGGGCTTCCAGTAGTCAGGGCAGTCAGGGCGGGATGTGCAGTGACTCGGAGAGCGCGGGAGGCAGCAGCGAGTCCAGGTCTATGGATTCCCCCACTGCCAGTCCAGGTAGGACTCTTTCCCTGGTTTTTAAAGGGTCTTAGAGCTTTTCTCACATGAAATGACGTGTAAATTCGTATGAGTAATGATCTAGTACATGGGTCATAGAATTATCTCATCTGAAAATGAGAACCTATGTCACAAACAAAATGAGAAGATCGAAGCAAAACGAGAAACTGACATCAGAACAAATCACAACAGAGTTTTGGGATGATACAAGCGCTCATGATGCGTTTCTTTTAAATAGAATTATTTCCTCGCCGCTTCCTCATTGTGCACCAGACCCACACACTACTCATCTCTGAGTGCACTTCCCCTCTGAAGCTGAAACTACTTAGCACATTGCACAAAGCCTCGAAAAATCATCACTTTCTGTTTATCGGTTCATAACCTAACACCGGGAAGACCGTTCTTTCAACAGACCTGGATTTAAATAATCTAGAATTATTACGATCAGGCGCAGAGCAACATGTTTGTACTCATGACTAACATACACACACATGTGCAGGTGACTTTAAACGACGTCTGCCAAGGACTCCCTCCACCGGGACCATGTCCTCTGCCGATGACCTGGACGAGAGAGAGCCTCCATCACCCTCAGACAATGGTAATTCATCTGAGTGTAGAACTATGTGTGTGTGTGTGTGTGTGTGTGTGTCAGCTCTTTATATATGTGTTACTCAATTCTGAGAAGTCTTCATAACATTAGCAGCGAGTGTGTGTCTGTGAACGTGACAGGAAAGAAATACTCAAGGTCTGCTGCTCACCTCATGTAATGTTTTTGTTCGAGCGTGATTCTGTCGGTGGTTTTCCCTTACATCAAATGTTTTTACAGTTGAGGGAGCTTCACAGATTGGGGTCATGTTAGTGTTGGCGTTCAGCCTCAGCATACACTTCCTGTGTCTCAACTGAACCCGTTTCTACCCTAGTCATGGGAAATGTGTTCGGTCTCCCACTGTGAGCAGATCTTCTCCGAGTTTGACCCATTTATTGTAAAAAATGACACAACCAGAGAGTACATTTCCTAGTTGTGTGTATTTGCAGCAAGATGTGGACCAGTATGACTAACTTTACACTTTTTAGGGCAACAACATCTCAGTTATCATCGCCTTAACTGTGTCTTTCCTGACATTTAAAATGAAGTCCTGAGGGGAAGAAAATCCCACACATTACTTTCGCTCAGCCTACGAGAAAAACCACTGCATTGTGATCTCTCTGGACTTTTCTCAAATGTACTCTCATGTAAAAAAGTTCCAAAAACCAAAATGTGGTTCTTCTAATAAACAGTGGTGCTGAGTAAGAGTAGAGTGAGGGACTTTTTCTTCTCAAAACAGCAGTTACACATCCCACCCACCTATTTCATGAGAGTTTTACACAGGGGAACACTTCCTGTAAAAGGTTCTTGTAAAAAAAACTGCACATGAATTTGTAAACAACCATCAAAGAGGGGAAATCTTTCTAAGCTCACATTAGATTTTTTTCTGCTTTAAACTAACATCCAACCCTTTTCTCGAATACGAACTCAGCAGGAAGTCACCTATCCAGTAAGTTCCCTTATCCATGGCTGCGATTCATTTTCATTTTCAGGTCTAGCAGAGATGGTGACAGAAACGGCGAGCTCTCCCGGTCCCTTCAGAAATGCTCAGATGTCCAAAGCCGCTCAAACCCACAAGCTGAGAAAACTACGAGCTCCGTCAAAGTGCAGAGAGTGCGACAGTCTGGTGGTTTTCCATGGAGCTGAATGTGAGGAGGTAAAGTACAGAGAGTTATGGACAGTTACAAACAGAAGCCAGTATGTTTCTTTCAAGTAGAGATGATAAGATGTTTATAAACCAGAATACTGAATACTCTCGTGAATCAGATATTGACTTGTAAGTATTATAAAGTCACATGTTGTATTTCTGACTTTAAATGCCCTGTCTCCTTCCTTTGCCAGTGCTCACTTGCCTGCCATAAGAAGTGTCTGGAAACACTTGCTATCCAGTGCGGTCATAAAAAACTGCAAGGCAGGCTACACCTGTTTGGCATCGACTTTGCTCAAGCATCGAGAAACAGTCCAGATGGTATCCCTTTTATCATCAAGAAGTGCACGTCTGAGATTGAGACTCGGGCCCTCAACATCAAGGTACTGTTTTCCTCTCCGCTCATTGTGGGTTGTGTTTTTTATTTTACGAGCACACAGAGCTGGGAGACGGTTTCCTTTGATACAGCTTGGTTGTTGTTGTCGCAGAAATGTACCAATCTGTGCGCCTGTTTGTCCTCACAGGGGATTTATCGTGTAAACGGTGCTAAATCTCGCGTGGAGAAGCTCTGTCAGGCGTTTGAAAACGGGAAGGACTTGGTTGAACTCTCTGAACTTTCACCTCATGACATCAGCAACGTCCTCAAACTCTACCTGAGACAAGTGAGTGGAAAGTCTTCCTGCAAACCTGATGTTATAGAGTGGAGATACTTTTTGCTTTGACTTTGCTGGTGATTCACCTCTTCAGTGTTAATAACATCCAAACATACCACTGTTTTCCTCGTACTTACAGTTACCAGAGCCGCTGATCCTCTATCGATACTACAACGACTTCATCGGCTTGGCCAAAGAGTGCCAGAGAGTGATCGTGGAGGAGGCTGATAAATCCCAGAGCCCCCAGACCGGAGAGAAAAAGGGGCCGAGTGTCCAGCTCAACAGAGTCATTTTCAAGATCAGAGACCTCCTCCGCCAGCTGCCTCCAGCCAACTACAGGACTCTGCGTTACCTTGTAGCACACCTGAACAGGTGAGGGCTGTAAACAGACACCCAGAGCTTTCTGTGTCGATGATTTCTGCCTGTACTCTTTAGCTCAGAGACACAAAGTTCCCTTAAAATACACAAGAGGAAACAGAGACTTCCCTATAGTGCAGAGGAAGTAGAATTACTTACATAAGGTTCATCATTTATAAATAGTCTGGTTGCCTTAATCATACACCACAGAATTCAATCTTGAAGTTGTGATCATCTCATGAAAGAGAAGTGATTAGGATGATGAGTTTTTCTTACTGATCCATTCAACAAAACAACTTAAATCAAAACCTAAGTATCTTAAAGACACTCATCTCTATTCTCCAGAGTGACCGAGCAGGCCGAGGAGAACAAGATGACCGCGAGTAACCTTGGAATCATCTTCGGCCCCACTCTGGTCAAGCCCCGACAGACAGACGCAGAAGTGTCCCTCTCCTCCCTGGTGGACTACCCCTACCAAGCCTTGATGGTGGAGCTGCTGGTCCGGCACTTTAAAACTGTTTTCGACGGGTCACATCTGTCGGGCCCGGCATCGCCTAGACTCACCCCTCAAGAGAAGCTACACCGGCTGAGCAGACACTCTGCCTCCCTGATGGACATCAAAGAGGTGAGGAGGGATTTAAAGGCGGAATAAAGTCACTGTCAGGTGCTGAAGGATCTATGAGAGGTCCTGTTGGCTGCTGTCACTTATGATTGATGTAGAGAATTGAAAAGAAGAGCCTCAAACTTTGGTAAAAAAAAAAAAAGCTGCAACAGTAACCCAAAGTTTTCTGGTAATAAACACTAATTTATTCAACCGTTTTTTTATAATAAGTAGCTGCAATTGCAAAGTTGAAGATGATCGATGTCATGTAAGTAGCCAGTTCAAAGAGGTAGAAGAATCCACAGAGAAGTCGATATACCTTATTTTCTCACTATAAGGCACACCTGATTATAAGGCGCATCATCTATGAACGCGTCTATTTTCATTCATAAGGCGCATTAAGCCAAACAAAACAGTCAGATAAGTCAAACTTTTATTTAATTCAATCAATAACTCAGCGAGGCTATGGTCGCTGCAGTGCTCCGACAAGCCAAAAGGATTTTAAGTGCGCCTTATAGTGCGAAAAATATGGTATCTCTAATGATATTTGACTTCACATGTACAGATGTTTTTTTTTATTAGGGGTGGGAGACAAAATCAATTCTCATAAGTATCGCAATTTTTTGTTTTACAATTTCTAGAATTGATTTTTATGTTCAAAAATCTTTTTTTTTTTTAAATTTGAGAATAAATTTTAAAAATTGACTTACATTTGATCTGTATTTTTGGGGAAACATGGTTCCTTGAATAGTCAGTAGACAATCATAATCGTTTAACCATCATACTGGTGTTAAAAATTCAGCATAAAAATCGAGAAATATTGTAGAATCGCAATTTAACTCAAATCAGCGTCCAGAAAGAAGGGGAGGAAAGCATATCGTGCCAGTCCTATTTTTTATACTTATGTTTCTTTATTTTGATCCCTCAGAATTCAAAGGTCTTCAAAAGGTTCTCGTCGGTGATCCCATCTTCACACATCCTGGATGAAGTGGATGAGGTCCAGCCGGGAGCAGACAGAACAGACAGCACAGACAACACCGCTCCAGACAGACTCAACGGGATCCAGACATCTAGTGCTGCAGAAGTCCAGAGGTCCTCCTTAGTGTTCGGATGTCCTGGCACCACCGGCTTTACCTCCACCTCAACCACCACCACCACCACTACCACTACCACTACCAGCGTGGCACCGAGGGTTCAGCTACGCACCCAGCGCTCCAGGCTCGCGTCACGACCCATCAGCATGCCCCTGGAGCGCCTGCCCACCCCCGCACAGATCAGCGAGCGGAATAATCGCAACACTGCCGTGAACGCCGAGACGGGCTCCGCTGAGCAGAACCCGGTCTCTGAGACGATACAGGAAATGCCAGAGAATGAGCGGGCTCGCCAAAGCGGCTCATCGAGGGTGAGCACGTACTACATCACTCCTTTCATCGACACGCAGACGATGCAGAGGAGGACATGGGACAGGAAGTACAAGCACTATGACGTCACACCCAGGACTGCTATGATCGTGGCCAACCTGCCTCCTGCCAGCACCGGAGTGCAACCCGTACGGGCGACGATGCCCGTCACTGTGAATTTAGCAGCATCCACGGTTCCTGTGGTCCCTACGACGAGCAGCGTGAGCACCATCTTCTCCAACAGCCCGTACACAGTGACAGTGAAGCCCATGTGGACCTCTAAAAGGGAAAATGACACCAATAAATCAGGCAGTGAGTCCAGCAGCTCACAGAACCACCCACTAACACTCAGGGCTCCCAGGACTCTGCAGCCCCCTCCTGGAACTTTCTACAAACCTCCTCTAACCATAAACAGCAGAGCGAGGACACTCCCAAACTGGACTACAACTGTAACCACCATCACCACCACCGCCACCGCCTCCTCTCTCACTCCCACTAACCCCTCAGAGGCGATCACACCGCCCCCTACAGTCACAAGCCCCCACCAGCCACGGCTCCAGAGACAAGACTCAACTGACAGCTCCACCGACCCCAAGGTCTCGACCTCCGCTACCCTCTCGCCCCCTCAGTCCCCTCCCCCAAGCAGCCCCGACGACCTCAGCCCCGGCGAGGCTAAACCCGTGTACCAAAGACTGCGACCGCGGCGGCTGCAGGAGCTGGAGCACAGAGAGGCTCACTTTGTTTGATGCCAAAAAAAGACGTTTTATAAAAACCTGTAAATATAAATGTGTTCTTCTGTGCCATCGTGTAAACTTGGGAAAACCTTTTTTTATCATATAAGCTGAGAGCGGGAGGAGATGTGGGCCTGTGAAAACCAACCATGAAAGTGTTATAAGTACTAATATATTATATTTTACATGTTTTTAAGTCCAAGTGTCAACGTGGTGAGGTAGGCCTTCAAAACGAGTCGAAACTACAAGAATGAAGCCAACGTTTTGTGTGTAGTGTCATGTGTTAGAATAACAAATACAGTCTCTGTTTTTATGTCACAGAAAATGCCAAACACAACTTGACATTCGTTGGTTTAAGAATATAAAAACCTATCCTTTCTTTTGTTTGACTTGAACAGCAGAGTTCATGTAAAGTATGCGTCGTTTTGAAATTGTATTTTATTGTAATCACACAATGCACTTAATGCAGGTTTAAAAATTCTGTTTTTACCTTTCAATGTTGAATTAGTGTTGAGTTTATTCCAAAAGAAACAGGCCCGAGTGTTTGAAAAGAGGAAGTTCTCTTTAACTCCAGAGTTTGACCGTTCTCTCTGCTGTAGCCTGTGATTGGTACCTCTTCTCTCAGTATGTAAACCCTCATGTATCTGTTTACGTTTTTATATAAAGTCATACATACTGCATGTTTGTCCACAGTAAGTTTGTCTCCTTGTGGTGATCGTCATGATTATAAAGATGAAAATGACATGCCACAGCTCTTGCTGCGAATTAAAAATGTAGTTCAAACTGTTACTTTTGTTTATTTTCTGTTATTTAATTTGATCTAACCCTTTCCTCTTTTTTGGACTTTGTGTTTCAAGTTAATTATACAAGAATTTGATGGTTGCAAATTGGCTAAACTCTGTGTTTAATAGTGCAGCATATCAAAAGTTGAAACTGAAAAAACATGTCAACTCGTTTTGAATTTGATGCCAGCAACAGGTTTTCGGTTTGTTTACCATTATGTTGCATCACCTCCTCTTCAAAAACACCCTGTGAACCTTTGGGAACAGAGGAGACCGGTTTGAGGAGTTTTAAAAGTGAAATATGATTTAAGCCACTCAACAGTTCAGGGTTTTTCTGTTTTTTTCGTCTCATGTTTCAAATGTTTTTGACGGCTGACAAATCAGGATAGCAGGAAGTCATTATGAGCCCATGCAGAGATTTCCATTAACAGAGTCATGTTTGTTTTTAATGCAGTGCTGTCTTGGAGGTTGAATATTACTTGTAGACTCAGTATCTGTTTTTTCAGCGTTGTCTTTTTCGTGCAGAGATTTCTTAAATGTACAAAAGAGGATTAGGGCCACATGAAGAGAAAAAAAATGATTACAGGATGGAGATTAAAGTCGAAATTTTGAGATTTAAGTCAAAATTTTGAGAGTAAAAAAATCAAAATAATGTCAGTGAAGTCGAGATTTTGAAATTAAAAATGGAAATTTCGAGATTAAAGTTGAAATTTTGATATTACAAAATGTCAGTATGAATAATGTCGAAATTTCGAGATTAAAAAATGTTAAATTTTGAGATTACAGTTGAAATTTCAAGATTTAAAAAATTTAAATTTGAGATTAAAGTCAAAATTTCGAGATTGAAGTCACATGAATAACGTTGAAATTTCAACTTTTTAAAATTTCGACTTTAATCTCAAAATTTCATCTTTAATCCGAAATGGAAATATAAAAAAATCTCCCTTCTCGTGGCCCTAATCCTCTTTCGTATAATTGGATTTGTCATCACAGGGGATTGTCAAAGTTTGAAACTTTTTGACTCTCTGCAGCACTCTAGACAAAAGTTAACTTTATCATTTATCCCACACGCTGCGTGTCACTTTTTTGTGAATTTCTGCCATAATTACCGTGTTGTTTTTATGCCATGATACCTTTTTATTTTAGGAGACATTTTGGTTCTGTCACTCAGGCCGCCTGAGCCGCAGGGATCCTCTGATTTGTGCAGCATTAAGCCGTGAAGTTCTCTCCGTTTTTGAGTAAGCTCTGTCACAAACACACATAGTTCACAGCAGGTTCGTGTGTTTTTAATGGACTGCTGTCAGGGCGCCACACTCTGAACCTAATTACCCATGTCACCTGCTCCACCTCGCCAAACTACTCAGAGGAGTGAGTCATTCCAGACCTGTGCGACACAAAAGCAGCGGCGAACGTCTCCTCTCCGAGTCTGCTGTGCTTTCTTATAACTCTGTTAAACCTCTGATTTAATCGTAGGTGTTCAGCTGGGAGACTTTCTCACAAAATGACAATCACAGAGCAGGTAAATGTTGCTCATTGACACTTTGACAAACATTTAAGCTCCCGCTGTGTTAGTCCATCCCTCCACCTCTTTTTTATTTCTTTTCTCTTCCCAGCAGATACCCCCCTAATTCTGCCACAAAATGGATGACTGTTGTCTTTTTCTGCCTCCCCATGTTGAGCTGGGAGATTAGAGCAATCAGATTAGGAGTGCTGCTGACCTGCAGGCAGAGCGAGGAGAGAGAGTGGGCAGCTCGGAGTCATACGGAGCTCCTCTACCTACCTACCTCGCTTAATGTTTTCTGTTACTTCAGCCTGTTTGTGCACCTGTTCCTCTCGATGTCGTACGACTTCTATATCATTCCATAAGAGGTAAGGATCTGAATTACCTGCTTCCTTCTTCAGCTTTAGGAGAATTCACAGTGCGGTAGGATTACATAAGGGCTAACAGGTGTTTGAATGCCAATTACTGTATTCATTTATTGGAGGCTAAGATTGTAACACAGTGGAAAAACTCTTTTAATGCTTCTATTCTGTTTTTTAATAATGAGACACGCTTGTTTAAGACATTTCTACTCTTTTCTGTCAATCTGGCAGGATAAGGGTTCGAGTACTAAGGTTATTTTAAGCAAAGTCAGACACAATAACAGCTTTAACACTGCATTCTCAGGCTTTACACTCGTCTTTGTCCTTAAGGGTTTTCTCGACAAGACTTTCCGTCCCTGCATCCCCACTCTGCCGGTGTGTGGTAATCTATTGGACATGCCACTCTGAACAAATTACACTTTATGTCTGACATCTCTCAGGTCATCTAGACATAACCTGTACTTGATCTGATTGAGTCGTCTTTGTTGGAATAAGCTCTGATTTGCTGCTTTTCATGCAGATGCGTATACTTGATGTTTAGGGGATGAAAATCTTTGCAAAATCAAAAGTGCAGTAACTTTAAAGCTGGGGGTGTTTATAGCCTCTGAGATGGTGTGAGGTTGCTTTAAAGAGCATCTTATACAAATCTAAGTTAATGCTAAGGCCATGTACATGTGTGAGAGTCAAGTTCAGGTCAAATCCAAACCCAGAGTGACTTGTGTATATATTTCATGTTACAGAAATAGTGGTTTTATAATGGGTTTCATCCAGAAGAGGACAAAAGGAACATAATCCAATAGGATGTTGTTGTTTCTTTATTTTTTTTCAGATTAGCCCAATCATCATGTCCAGATTCAGCTAAGTGTTATCGCTGACTGAGTCGTGTATCTGCAGGTTTGTCACAGTCTGATGACCCCCTCCAGGGGTAAAGCTGCGGCGCAATGAACACAGGCTCTCAAATCCGCCTGTTACTGTGGAAGAACTGGACCCTCCGCAAGAGACAGAAGGTATTATTATCAACACGACTCCGAAGAACAACATCACAGACGCAGTATCTCCCGGTCTCCCACCTTGAGCTTAGTTTGATAAGCTGCCGGCTGTTTGTATTGGATTAAGGTTGTACAGGTGTTCCAGTTTTTCTTTGTTAAACTCCCGCCTGTTTGTGTCCAGGTCCGCTTCCTGGTCGAGATCCTCTGGCCGGTGTTGTTATTTGTTGGTTTGGTGTGGCTGAGGAAGGCTAATCCTCTGTACCAACAACATGAGTGTAAGAAAAAGCTCTTTCTCTGTCATTTCTTGGTCGAATTCGAGGAGAAGTTTCCACAGAGGAATGATTCTCAGAATGGACAACACGTGTTAATCTTCTTGTGTACCTCAAGCGCCCTCAGAATGTGTCATGTGTTTGTTCAGGTCATTTTCCCAACAAGGCCCTGCCGTCAGCGGGGATTCTCCCGTGGATTCAGGGCATCTTCTGCAACGCCAACAACCCCTGTTTCAGACACGCCACCAGAGGAGAGTCACCGGGTGTTGTCTCCAACTATAACAACTCCATGTAAGGAAAACCACAGCTCTGCCAAAACAGATAAATCGTTTTCTCCACATGATCACTCCTTTTGAGATATAGATTTTTTTAATTTGAGTTTTATTTAAAATTATGAGACGATAAAGGAGCATTTTAAAAGTCCCCAAACCTTTCAAACTGACTTTCTATCCTGCAGCCCCTCTCCTGAGGTTTTAAAATCAGATCACAGGGTCAAACATTTTTCATAATTGAGGTCTAACTAATGTGTATCCTGCTCCAGATTGGCCCGCTTCTACGTTGATGCCCAGGAGCTCCTTCTCAATGAGACCGAGGTCCGGCAGCTCGGCCGTCTTTGGGAGGAAATGTCATCCTTCTCCTACTTCATGGACACGTTGCGCAACAACCCATCACTGTTGTCAGGTAAAGGTCAAATGTGGAGAAATGGCTCAGACAGTAGTTCTTCCTCGGAGAGTAAAAGGGTCTGTTCTGGGCTTTTTTTTCCCATCAGCTCTTTAATTAGCAGAGCGGGAGACTAGATTCTTGACTCCAGTTAGATGTCTCTGATTGTAGCTTTCTGACCGTAATCTAAAAACCCTCCTTCTGTCACTCTGTTTCCTTTATCCTATGTTTCTATATTTTGCTTTAAAGGGCAGAAAAATGCCACTCACTGTGCTTTTTTTCAGCACCTTTTTATTTAAAATGTAAATCAACGAGCACAAAAGATCTGAGTGTTTATCTGATGTAAATAAATCCAAAAGAAAAGAGAGAAAACTGACAAATTCAACATTGTCACAAAAGCTCATGTGTGCATCCGTAGCAGAGAACCAGGAGAGTTTGACCTGTTTGATTTTATTCATGGCCTCACAAACTTAATCCATCCTTCCCTCCTGAGTCTCAAAGTCAGCTGTAAATTTTCCAATACGAGGATTTAATGCATCACACTGAGCCTCACCGCTAATGCCCCTGATACTTGACATAACCACTTTAGATGTAATGTCCCTTTTTTTACCGACAGACAGCATTATTCTAAACATGTATGCTTTTGAAAAGCCAGGAGTGTTACTCAATATTACTGCAAAGAGATTAGTGTAACCTGTTGGCTGGGAAGTTCGTATAAACATCCCCTCTATCTATCTGAATGGACTTACCGTCGACATGCCGAATCCCTGCCAGTCCGTCTCGCTGCGAATCATTTCCTTCGTGTATTACAGAGCCTGTCAGGCTAAAATGTTCAGATCTTCACAGTCTCTCTGATTTTTTTTCCCATCTCCAGGCCGCGGGCTGAAGATAGATGACATCCTGAAGGATGATGAAGTTTTAACAGCCTATCTTTTGAGGGATGTGCCCCTCTCAGAATCTGTAGTCTACCAGCTTGTCAATGCCAGATTACGACTGGAACAGGTGGGATGAGTGAGAAGTTTTAGGCTGGATTATCTTGGTTTAATTCATACTCCTATGAAGAAACACACATTTTTACATGGTTAATAAACAGTTCAGATATAACTCTTTTTTGTTTCTCCAGTTTGCCTTCGGTATCCCAGACCTGCAGCTGAAAGACATCGCCTGCAGTCAGGCCCTGCTGGATCGCTTCATCATCTTCCCCAGTCGCATGGGGCTCCACGGGGTCCGCAACGCCATGTGTGCCCTGAGCCAGCAAAGCTTGCAGAAGATAGAGGATGTCCTGTATGCTAACATGGACTTCTTCAAAATCTTCAAACTGGTGAGTGCTTTTAACAAATATTTTAAATCTTAGTATCCCAAAGCTGTGAAAAGGTCTTATCCTTCATCTGAATGCCAATCCCTCAGGCCTTCATGTGCTCCCTATGAGCTGACACCCTCTTATTCTTGGATTTCAATCTGAGATTCCTCTCTGGTGTCGGGATGGTGTTATTTTCCCAGTGTTGAGGGTCCTGCTTTATTTCCATCAAACCCAGTAAACCGTTTCACTGATTGAAAAAGGCTGCTCAACACTAAGGCTGTTTGGAGCGTCAGCCAACAGATGAGGCTGCTGATCTGAGCCTCATCTGTTGTATCATAGTGTTTTAAAGGTAATCCGCCATACTCACACGGCAGCCATTTTTAGGGATGTGAGGGCAACAAACCAAGTTCTGCGCTGAGTCAAGTAGGGTTTATCTTGGGTCTCACTGCATTTTGTAAACATACATTTCAATGGTTATAACTGAATTGGAGCTGTTGCATGTTTTTTTCTGGAAGCAGGTTTAAGTATTTGGGATCGGTTCAGCATTGTTCTCTCCCAAATAAGCATGTGATCTGGTGTGACGGAGTGGCTCATTAATGCGTCTTTAGCCGTTCTTGTGTAAAATTGGAGCTCATTGCCACAAAGGACTTGTTACCAGGATCAATTATGAGATGTTTTGGTCTCTTTAACTGGATTTTTTTGGCAGTAAGACAAACATGAAACATCTGCGAATTTCATATCATTTTTAAGACACCGTCTCATGAAATTTACTGTGATTTATCAAGTATCTGCTCTGTGTGTGTGTTGGGCGATTATGTGTTGTGAGTTGTTGCCCAGTGTCAAGTGACTCGTGTTCATGTGGTGATGTCAGGACTGCATGTAAGGCCCAGCGGTTGGCTCCAGGTTGGGCTATGATCGTTACCTGAATTACTGGCTCTATTTGGGGATTGGAATAAACCCGTGGCTCTGTTTCAAACCATTTATTTACAGATTGAAACATGGGGGGAGGTAGAACAACAGCGCTTTGTTTTTTTTCTGATTGGCACCCTGAGTCGTCGATTGTCATAAATACTTGATGTTGAGGTCGTCTGTGTGAATTATGTGCTTGTTTTTTGGATGATGAAGTTTCTCAGACTTAAATTAAAGAAAACTTTTTAAAAAATGAAGGTACACCAACACACTGACCTACATTCAGTCTTCTGTTACCCTCAACAGCCCCTACGTCTTGGATGTGTGCGTCCAGGTTCAGCTGGGTTACTGGCTCAGGGTGTTGGCAGGGCATTATCCCTCTTGGCCTTTTTCTCTAATGGGCTTAAGTAGACCCCGCCCACAGTCTGTGAGGTACTCTTTAAGACATGATGCTGCATACTGTGTAAATAAATTGCCAACAAGTGCCAGCAGTAAGGGTCAGGTCAACTACACAGCTGCCAGCACACCTGGTTGTTTAAAAAACAGAAGAAGCGTGGAAAGGTTGCATCACCTTTTCACCTTTAGACCTCAGACCTTATTATCGATCTGAAACTTGGAGAAGAAGTAAACTAAAAGTAATGTAGACTAACATATCAGTTGCAGGTGGCTGGAGACAGTGTCTTGAGATTTATTGTAAATGTGAGAATGCCTGTTGCAGTAAATGATCTTTAAGTGTAGCTTCTGTTTGTGAAATATTTTTCTGTATCATTAAATATTTAAGACGCAACAAGCAACAGCAGAGAAAAAGAAAGTATTCCCGATTTCTTCTCCATATAACCACCTTTTTTCTGTTCTAGTATTCACTATACTTTAGTAACCAGTGCACAGAAGTCTTCCCTAAAAGTGGGCGGGGATTTATGTGTTAATACTTAAAAGTTAGCACACAGCTGTAGTCTCTGGAACTGTATTATGTATTTGTCAAATGTCTCATGACTGAGTGGGATCTCCAGTTTAAAAAAAAGGAGCCAGTGCAGAAGTGCAGTTCCTAAAATGTCCACTAGAGGCTACGCCAAAAGCCCAGATAACCCCATTAACACTCATGTTAAAATACCAATTTTATAGCAGAAATAAACTGAAAGATCTGAAAAGCACATTTTAATGTCTTATTTATTTTAAAGGTTGTAAATGTAAAAGTTTTGTATAATCAGGTATAATTTAAGGCGTGGCTGAACTGAAAGATGGGCAAAACTCTGTGGTATCACTAAGACTTCATCCATTATAACACTGTTTTTTGTTTTCAACATGAACTTTTTCAGTTAAAGCTGTACCCACTTCATAAATCATCATTCTTTTCAGCGGCTCACAACCAAGCAGCAACCTCAGCTGTTCAAAATACAGTAGAGAAATGTCAGAAACTGCAGTTCCTCAGGTGTCCACTAGAGGCTGGCTCCAAAAGCACAGTAGACTCCATTAACACCAATGTTAAAATATTCATCTTATAGCAGAAATCAAACATGTTGACAATAAAAAATAAAAAAACTGTTTAGGCCAGAATAGCACATTTTTCTACTCAAACACACTCCTCACGGGGAACTTATTAATAACTTTTTTGTTTTGAAGAAATTAAGACTAAACGTTGGCATATTTATCTTAGAAACAGGTTGAATCTTAAATTTTATGTTCATTTTAATTCACTTACAGTAGAATTAATACAGAATAGGTTATCAATACAGAATCAGAACCATTCTCCATACTCTGCATGAAGCGGACAGTGGAGACCATTTTCTCCTTTGTCTTGGATTACAGAGATGTTATCTACAGAAACGCCTCTGCCTCCACTACCTTAAAATCACCCTGTTCTTCACTCTACCTGAGTTTAATTACAGGTGGCAGTTTTTCCACTTCTTGTTGCGTTTTGTTTTTAGTTTCTAATATAAAGCAAAATAATTTTAATTATTGAAGATTTCTCTTTGCAAGTTGTTTTTCTCGGCTGATGTTTGTAGTTTTGTTTTATGTTCTCATGTTTGATTAGCGGTGTTTTCTGTGAATATCAGATATTAATATGACAGACAGCGTATTGAGCTGCTTAGTTTGCATTAGCGCTGTAGTACAGAGTATTAGTGGTGATCAGTGTGTTTAACCCATTAGGTCTGTTAAGTTCAAAGCCCATTACTACACTGACCTCTCCCTCTGCAACAACTTTCCCCTCCTCGTTTTACACTCCTGACTCCCTTTCTCTCCCATCTCATTCAGTTGTGCCCCCCCGAATTACACCTCCTTCCTCCTTCCTCAGTTCATTGAAATGCAAGCATGAGGAATGTGAGAGGAAGGATATCGCATGTGCGCATTTGTCTTTTTGCATTCGGGGTTTCCGCGGCTTTTTGCCCTCTACCCTGACCAGGCGTTTTCTGACACCTCCTGATAATAGTTTCTCAAGAAGACAAAGCCATTAACAGAGGTTTTACTGGAATAATGGTTTTCAGTTTCTATATTAGTCAGGTGATGGACTTAATATTTTACCCAGGCTTAGATCCTTCCTTGAAACTCAAATCATCATGTAAGGTCACGAGTTTCCAGGTTTTAAAGTCAGAGACAGCGCTTCAGTTTCAGGACTGTAAAGTTGATGTTAAAACGTTTTTTACATGTTTGCTGACGGATTAATCCTCTGACTTTTATCCACCCAGATGCCCCAAGTTGTGAGCAGCAACTCAGAAGGGATCGACCTGCACTTCTGGGGCCAGGTTCTTAAGGCGCTGTCGGAGAGGATCCAAGTTGTAAGTGCTCCAAAGTCCGTGTATCCCTTCTATTTCTCCTCCTCAGTCCTGCAGGATCAGAGGCTCCGGTATTTTTAGCCCTCCAGGAAACTCGCCTCTTCCTCTGCTCCCTGTTTGAGACCCGCTCACAGAGGAGGCTGAGTGATGGGCTCAACAATGCGGGGTGCACATTAGTGTGTTAACAACCTGCACGTGTACTGTACATGCACTGATATGTTTCTGTAAACTCATGATATGTGTGTTAGGGTGTGTGCATGCACATACTGTCTGACTCTCACATGTTGTAAGCATGTAGAGCTTCACATCAGTATAACATAAGCATAATGGAAACTGAATATTAATCTAGAGATATTGTTGGATCTATTTTAAGTAGCATGTCCTTCAAAACAAACTTCCTACTCTATTTAAAATATCCAACATGTAGCAGTGACTCTTCAGTGTTCGGAAAAAGGCTTTTTTAGCACTTTGTCACTCTTTGTTTGACACTCACCCCTCTGCAGGAGTGACAGACCGAAGTATAACTGTATGAAAATTATAATTGTCTGCCCACCGATGGTCTTTTTTGCTTTTGTGAACAATGCATGGAAATGAAATGTAATCTGGATCTGTTTTCTAACCTGCTAATAACCCCAAACAGGTACTAAAAATATACACAGAAAAAAAGGGACTGTGGGATTCGACTAAATACAATATAGTTTAACAACATTTAGACAATAGGATGATTAAACCGTGGTATCTTGACTTATTGGCACCAGAATTACAAGTTAGAGAAACAAATTGTCAGTACTTCCATAATAGATATTGTAGGAGCAAAGTCGATACTTTAAGCTACTGAGATGTTTGACCTGGAGTAACCTGGTTGACGCGCCGTGCTACTGAGTTTTACTGTGAGTTGTGATGATCAGTGAAAGTCCGTACGCTCTTCCTGAACATAACCAAATTCATTTTGCAACTGATTTCCAACACTGAACAAACAAGGAAAACGTCGGCAGTTAGCGCCAAGACGGTCAAAAACCTTTTGCCCTTCTGGGTCAAACACCTGCTCACAACAGTGACAAGGCTACCTTTATACCTAAGCCCCCAGATAACAAGACAGCAACACCCAAGGCACACAAAGTGAACTGCAACTCATATTATGTATCACAGCAACATATTTGGCTCCTACAGATATTAACATCTCTGTAATTATAGGCCTGAATTTCTGGTCATATGTCATAGGGCTGGGCGATAAACCGAAAATGTACTAATACCGAAATTTACGACAATAACAGACGTTCATTTTGCCCATATTGGTCTATAAGGTGTCAAAAAAATAAATAAAAGGGGAGCAGTTATCGTCCATTTATTGTTATCCAGGTGAACTGCTCAATATATCTTGATATTGATTTGAGGCTATATCGCCCAGCCCTAATATGTCAGACCTCATTTGTAGCACTGGAATGGACTGTCGCTCTATTAATGGCCTCTGTCATAATAATGCTCTACCCCCTTGATGTAAACAAACACAGACAACGAACAGCATTTGAGACGATCTACGAATTGATAAAGTCGTGCCCATGTGTATATATAAAGTGTACACACCCACACAGACAGACTTACATGGACCACAACACAAAGATAGTCCGGGATTGTGTTGTGTCTTTCAGCACGTTCACTGTGTGTCCCAAGGGGGGTGTGTATCCAATCATCACCTTAACCAGGGTGTGGGGGAGAGAGAGGGAGAGAGGGGTGGTGGTGGGCGTTCGAGGCAGACATTCCTTGGAGGTGACACATCCTGTAGGTGGGACCGTCATATCGCCGTGGTGACAGAAAGGCGAGCCAAATGCTCTCATAGCCCACATCTCCTTCCTTTCACTTTAGTCGATTCGTGTGTGTGTGAGTGTGTGGTTGTGTGTGTGTGATTGTGTGAATTGCTAAATGAGAAAAGGGAGGAAAAGGATGTGAGAGTGACATAAATTAGTGGCGTGTTTAAGCGTGTGTGGGAGCATATTTATACGCTGACATGAAGAGTTTGCTCTGAATGAAGGGCATAGAGAAGTAACGAGTCATTTTCAGGCTGACCTTTGACTCCAGTTTGATCACCGGTGTCATCAGTAAAATATCCTCCGCTGTTAAACCAGTAAGAGTATTATAGACCTATGCTAAGACTGATGCTAATGTGCCAATACTCCATGACTTGAAGCTTTTTTTGCCTCAATAGGAGGAAATTTAGAGTTTGATTCTCTTGGTAATATACGCAGACGTGTCCACTCCTCTTTGCTCGTCTATTGTGTTCATGTTATTGTTTATTTCAGATCACTCACACTGGATTAAACAACATCTGTCTTGTAAATTGGCTCGGTTTGGTCAGGAGTTTTAAGTATAAATCTTTTTATAGTTCCATCATCCTCACAGTGTTTACCTGCAGAGCTCAGCGGGAGCATGTTGGCATGACAACCTGATTATCTAGGTGAACCTGACACTGTGAGCTGACTAAACAAGCCTTTTAACCACTGAGGCGATCTTCATCTTTGTGTTTCCAGCTGATGGAGCGAGAGAGCTCTCTGGAGCTCCTGAAGACGGTTTCCTCTCTGTTTCAAGACGGGGGTCGACCCTCCTTCGCCAAGTTGTTGTCTAGTGTGTCAAACCTTATCTGTGGATACCCAGAGGGGGGCGGGTCCAGGGTCCTGTCCTTTAACTGGTACGAAGACAACAACTACAAGGTGTTTCTGGGGGTCAACGGAAGCAGGAGCCAGAGCTACGTCTATGACGACTCTGCAAGTAAGTGAAGCTTCGGCATGTTGGAGCTTTGACTGACCTTTTCCTCCAAGCCTGAGCTGCTCTCTTCTTTCTATGATGGACTTTAAATAAAAAAAAAAACAAGGATCTTAGCCCTCGCTGTGTTATTTGTACTTATCTACCTCTGTTTTCGTTTTCTAACCCCACTGTTTTTTTAACACCTCCACCCTCAGCTCCTTTCTGCAACGCCCTCATGCAGACGCTGGAGTCCAACCCCATCACAAAAATCGTGTGGAATTCAGTCAAGCCCCTGCTGATGGGAAAGATCCTGTACACCCCTGACTCCCCTGCCGTCTACAAGATATTAAAGAGTGTAAGAGAGACCACCTCAAACCGACCCCTCACCTCTCTCTCACTCCGTCTTTTTTTTCCTGTTCTCTTTTTCTCAAGTATCTGTTTATATTTGTCCAAACCTCCACCCTTCTTAAGAATGAGCTGACTACTGAAGCAAAGGAGGGCGGAGGGATTATTTAAGAGGCTTGGTGCTGTACGAAGGAAGGAAAGAAGTAGCGATGAATTTAGTAAAAGGGTGCAGCAGTGAAAGAAGTGACATGTATTTCAATTTATTAACACTGTGTTACAGAAAAACAAGCTGCACATAGAAGAAAGAAGCAATAATAAAATATGTAAAAAAGCTCATTTTCAAACATGTATTAACTTCACAAGATTTATCCAAAAAAAAACATGCATCCATTCATCTGTAATCTGTCCATCCATCCATCCATCCCATCCTTTTATCCATCAAGCCTTCTGTCCATCTATTAAAACATCAATTCAACCCTTTCATCCCTCCATCCATCTTAGGTCTGTCTATTGATCCGTTCATCTGTTCATTCATTCATCCATATCCTTTTTATGGATCCATCAATTCCATTCATTCATGCGTCTATCCATCCATTCATAGCTCATATCCATTTTTGGATCCATCCATCTATCCATCTATCCATCTATCCATCTATTCATTCATGCGTCCATTCATTTATTCATCCATGTATTCATCCATCCATATCCATTTTCGGGTCCATCAATGCATCCATCCATCCATCCATTCATCCCATTCATCCATCCGTCCATCCATCCATCCATACATCCATTTAAGGTTCATCCATCCATCTATCCATCCATCCATCCATCCATCCGTCCGCCCATCCATGCATGCATCCATCTATCCATACATACATACATACATACATACATCCATCCATATCCATTTTTGGGTCCACCAATTCATCCATCCATCCTTTCCATTGTTTGCCTTTTCACACATTAATTCTTTATTCAATTTCCCATTCACCCCTCCATTTATCCACCCATCCCTCCATTTTTTATCATTACATTTATAAATTGATCCATCCATCTGTACATCCTAACAACAATCTTCTGTCTATTTATGAATGTATCGATCAATCTATTAAATCAACCATCCACCTTAAATCCTCTCATACTTCTCAGTCTTTAATGTAATGTATTCACTGTATTTCCTCTATTACATACATACAGTGACAATCTATCCATCCATCCATTAATCCTTTTATGATTGATGTGACCACAAGGGATCCCTTAGTTAATACCTATCTCCTTTCTAGACCACCAGAACCTTTCATGTATTTAATTGGAAAGTCATCATGTATGTTGTTCATATGTTGTACTGATGATTCACCCTGTCAACTTTACACCCCTGAAGTGTTTATGTTTGTTGTGTTTGTGTGTTTCAGGCCAACACAACATTTGAAGAGTTAGAGAGACTGCAGCACATGGCCAAGGCCTGGGAGGAGTTGGGGCCTCAGATCTGGGCTTTTTTCCAGAACAGTGTCCAGATGAACATGATCAGGGTACGAATGCTGCACATAAACACTGATGCTGTCAGCGGTGATCATTTGTGAGGCACTTAGAAAAAAACTCAAGTCAAGTTGCTAACAGACAGTTGGAGGCCACTTTGAGCTTTCATAACTCCTCTGAAACCGTGGGTGTCAAAATCAAAATTATATTTAATTTGCAGAAAATATCTCAAGTCGGTGACTCAAACCCCAAAGTTGGCGGTTATTCTTCAATACACCACGCTGTTAATTAAATAGAACTTACTTTTCCACTCATAACACATCTGGTTTGTTTGTTTGTTTTAATCACCGCAGGACACCCTAAGAAACCCAACAGTGATGAGCTTCGTGGACAACAGTCTCCAGGACACTCAGTTTACCACTAAAGACATCCTCAACCTCCTGTACAATGGTCCAGAGGACTGGAGGGAGCCGGGCATGCCCAATTTTGACTGGAGAACCATTTTTAACACCACAGACCAGATCATACGCATGTTTAACAAGTATGGAGAGGTAAGAAATGCGGCTAAGAAAGTCCATTTGCTGTTCCTCCTGCATACTCCTTACTCTCTGGATGATAGTTCCCTGTAATTGATGGAGAGTTTACCCAGCTTTTGGACTGCTTTCTCTCGCCCCTGTCACTTTCTGCCAAATGTTGCACATTCCCAGGACCGGCTATAAGACTGACTCTGAGCCGTGCAGACAGGTGCATCAGTCTTCCTGCTCTGCTCCCTGGAGATTGCTGCCAGGCCCCTTTGAAACAGATCACACCACTTAGCACAGCTTTAGAGCCGCTCTCCCGTCCTGCAGGCTGAAAGCTGGGGAGAACAAGCCTCCTGTCACCCCCCCTCCTTTGCCTCTTTTGTGGAGCCGGTGACTAAGTGGAGAGTAGGTGGGAGCGAATCGCTCCCCCTATGAGCTCAATGCTGTTTTGGTGTATGGCCCCACATTGAAACAGACCCTTGCGCCTGCAGAATAAAAAGGGGGCAAATCACTCTATCCATCCTTCATGCCGTCTTTCTCTCCTCTCATCTGATTTAAAAGGGGCAGGGGGAGCTCTATCAGTGCAGGCATCTCAATCTGTTCTTTGTCTCCAAGTTCAGGGACGAGACCCTCAAGAGCCCCACAAACAAACCCCAGCAGTTTAGCCAATTAGATATAGCTGTCAGTGAGGACTGGGCCATAGGATAAGTGCTACAGTTAGCATTAGGTCCCCTCCTCTGTCTGTCAGGGGGGATGTTTCTCACACTGATGTCCCTTTTGAACATGTGTATCAGAGAGGCGCTTTCTTCTCAGCCCATCTCCGAGCGAACATTATTGTGCCGTGGATGTATGGCCCCGTAAAGATGAATGGGGAGTGCTCTCTCGTCTCCCTTTGAGCGCTCTCTCGGTATTGTACAGTAAAGTGAATGGAGACATTAGCCACGGTGTGCAGAGGGGGATGTGTGTGTGGAGGGGAAATGTAGAGAGCAGTGTGTGCTTGTGAGTCTTGGATGGGAGGTTCACATGGCAATTACATGTGTTTCCTAGAAAGAGAAAGCATGTGATGATGTGAGCTCCTGAGCGTCATTGTAAAAGGTTTGAGTTAAGATTCTTAGGTGTGTATATATCTCCATGCAAATAGGTCTAGTCTGTGACAGCTGTCATGTTGTTTTTTTGTGCGGTTTCAAAATCAGAACGTGTGGATGTCCTGATGATTTAATACAAAAAGTGAAACTTCCACATTTACCACACACAGAGTGAAACATTTCTAGACTTTTTTGTTTGAATCTTGTAGATTATAGTTTACGGCTCACAATCCACAAATCCACAATCTTAAACATTAGGTGATTGTGGAAAAGTCCAGTTTCTTGTCGGTTCCAATCAGCTGATTAACTCTGAACACCCTCACTCTGGTTCAGTAGACCATCCAGAAGACCATCATTGACAAAGAGGGTCATAGGAACCATATTCATGGAAAGTTGATTGGAAGGGAAAGTGTGAGAGGCAACAGGGATGACCACAGCCTCCTCAGATTGAAGATGTTTAGAAGTGAACTGGGGCTGGAGTCAGAACATCACTTCACACAGACGAGTCCAGGGAATAGACTACAACAAGTGTCATGTTCCTGCTGTCAAGACCCTCCTGAACCAGAGACAATGTCATGGGTGTCCAAAGTAGAATAAGCATTTTACTTGGAAGTCAAAGTCCCAGAGTCTGGTGGAAGTTCAGCGTGAAGTTTCCACAGTCTGTGATGATTCATGGTGCCATGCCATCTGATGCTGTTGCTGGTCTACTGTGTTTTATCAAGTCTAGAGTCAACACAGTCAACTGGGAGATTTTAGAGACCTTCATGCTTTTATCTGCACCCGGCACCTGCCCACAGCGCCAAAACTACCTCAAACTGGTTTGCTGAATGCGGTAATACTGTTCTTTATTGGCCTGACCTGAACCTAATGGAGGATCTGGAGTATCATCAAGAAAAAGATGAGAGACACTAGAGGAGTTATTGAAGCAAACTGGGCTCCATTGGACCCCAGAAGAACCACAGACTGAATGCCTCCATGCCACATCACATTGACACAGTCATTTGTGCAAAAGGAGAACAAGTACTGAGCGCTTAAATGGACGTAGTTACATGATAGAGGATTTTGGATTTTTGTGAGCTGTAAACTGTCTCTGCACATGATCAGTGGGTGTAATTTAAAAAAATTACTGGTACTTTTACACCACCTTCCTTTTGCAACAGCTCCAAAAGGGTTCTGCTTTTTGCTAGCTTAAGTAACATTACCATAGTGTCTGCAAAGTCTGTTTAAATGAGCCTAATATGTACTGATTATGGATCAACTGCACAGGGCATTTGCAGAATTTAAAAGACTAGCAATAAAATAGTTTTGTTAAGATTCCATGCTTTATCGGTCTCCAGTGTTACAGTAGCAGAACGTTGCGTTTTGCACTCTTTGCAGATTTATTTTACATGCACAAAGAGTAATGAGATCAATCTAAAACCACAGAGTCAGAGCCTGCAGGTAGATGCTGAGGCGGCAGTGCTGGAAGTGTTAGTTCAGCGCTGGTGCAAGGCAAAGGTGACAATGACAGAGCGGGGGATAAGACTGAAAATCCTGCAGCTTAAATAGACTGCCAAACAGGGAGGATATGTTTATCATGTGATCATGAGGATGATGCATGTCAAGAGTTAAATCAGTGCAGCTTGGGTTGGTTGCCAGAACTAGCTCAAAGGTGTCACTTAATTTGATGGAGCTCTTTATCTGGCGTGCTTAGGTGTTGGCCAAAGAAATAGCCTGCTGTAAATAATCTTGATTAAGAGTAATTATATTTTGGCAGTATGATGGCTGTAAATGTCACCACACATGTGTTTTGGTCCGGACAGTATTTAGTGTTAAATCCAGGGGATGTATTCGGCCATTTAATGCCAGATTACACCTAATCTGATCCACACAGGATTATGGTTAACAAAACAATGGAGTCCACAAATATCAAGTAGAAAGTGTCCTATATTGTTTACTCAAATAAAAAAAAGATATAGATACATTTTATACTGACAGTTTGTTTTTAAATGTACTTAAAGTACTAACCTTCGAAGCGAGGTATGACCCCAAAGTTACGTAAACGCATCTTTTCCCGAGCTAAACTATGAAGTGTAACAAACAGAAAACCACTTATGCGTGATGTGATTTTTTTGACATGAAACCCATCCAGAGGGAAGTTATTGAACATTTGATTGCACGTTTTTCAGTCCTGCACTTAGCGGACCGTCCCTCTGCACTTGAGTTTTGGCCTGATGCGTACAGAGAGGCCAGTGTCAATTGTCCAGTTTGCAGGACGGCTTGTACTGATAAATATTAGGCTGTAGCTCATAACCTACTTTACTGTGGTTGGAAAAAGTGTTTGTTTTGTACCCAACCAAGGTCACCGCTCTGCTGACGAGCTATTGACTTGGGGAGGACAAATTTGTAAATACATACGACCTACAAAAATCTGTCGTATTGTGATTTTAGCGCAAACATGTGTGTTTTTCCTCATCTGCTTGGCTATTAAGTGTTATACGGTAGCCAATCAGCTCTCAGCCTCAGTGCTGATGAAAGTTCTTTAGGTTAAAATATTCAAATAAACTAGGAAGCGTTTTTTCTATTGTGTAATTTTGTACAGAACGCAACAAGCCAAGTATATAGGGGTTAAATTTGTCCAGAGGGGGCGCCAAAGTCAACACAATTTGAAAGTTCCTCACAGGATCTTTAAGCAAATGGGAAAGCACTGATTTTAGGAATTACAAGTACACAAAAACCTACTAAATTACAGTAACATAAGTAAATATAATTAGTTTATGTCAATCCCTGAGCAGTACCTGGTTTTAGATCGGCAGGTTTTGTCCAGACCGCATCAGTCTGGCTTTCGTAACATGAAGCCAACAGCTCTCCTCTTCTCCTCTGCTTTCAGTGCATCACTCTGGATAAGTTTGTGGCTTTCACCGATGAGTCCCAGATGATCCATCAATCTTTGCACCTGCTGGAGCAGAACAAGTTCTGGGCTGGTGTGGTTTTTATGGACATGTACCCCTGGACCTCAAGTGTCCCCCCACATGTCAAGTACAAGATCCGCATGGACATCGACGCGGTGGAGCGAACCAATAAGATCAGAGACAGGTAAGCAGATACACATGTGGAGCGGTGTTTGGATCTGAAAGTGAAGCTCTCCTCCCTATTTAATGTGATTTTATCATAAAGTACCACACTTTAAAGGAAAAAGAACAAAAGCCGTCCACTTAAAACCACATCTTTATCAGCACAGACCTTTTTTAGTTCTTGGAAGCTGCATAAAAACATGTTACTTTCCAATAAATGTTATTGCACACTGTTTAAATTTCCACCCCTTTTGCTTTCCATCCTGAGAACCTAGTGCTCCTTCATTTTTGTCTTATAAATAGGTCCATTAAGAAGGCAATTTACATGGATGACTCACGTTCCTCTCAGAAAGAAAAAGTAAAACCTCTTGATATGACCTCTGTGTGTTTTCTAAAGTCTCTCTGTGGTTTCGTTTAAACTCGATACCCTCTCTTTCATCGTCCTGTGTGAGGCTCACACGTGCATTTTCCCTCCGCTTTGATCTCCCATTCATAAACGGACAGTATGTCAATAGCCCTGGAGTGAACAAGCACTTTTAGCAGTTAACACAGCACTGTCAGGCTGTAATGGACCCAGTGGGAGTCCGGCTTCTGTGCAACAGAGTAATCAGATTGTAAGAGGGCTTTGCCTCGGACTTATGTGCTTAAGTAAAAGCAGTGTGCATGTGGAGTGTGGGTGTGTGTGTGCTCTCTATGGGTGTTGGCTCTTATTGTGAATGGAGACACACACAGAAAGATCAATCGATACATAAATATGACTCTTTAGGATTTGTCTTGGGATTACATTTCCTTACATCCTGCTCTTTCATTCATTCGCTGCTCCTCTTTCTCTCTCTCTCTCAGATACTGGGACCCCGGCCCAAGAGCGGACCCCATGGAGGACCAGAGGTACATATGGGGGGGATTTGCCTACCTTCAGGACATGATCGAACACGGCATCATCAAGCTTCACACAGGCAACGACTGGCCGCTCGGGGTCTACGTCCAGCAGATGCCGTACCCGTGTTATGTAGATGACCTGTGAGTAAAGCGGTCACTTTTATGGCGACAGGACACTCTGTCCCGTACATATTGTATCTTCTGTCCTCTATAAACCCTTATATGGAAGAGAGTTACAGTTACAGATTATTGAAGAAAGGGGGCGTTAAAGGACAGAAAACAGTTCAGTTGATCAACATTTCAATGTAAACAAAATGATCAGAAAAAAGCCAAATACTAATATACAAACTTAGTTTTTATTCTCTCCAGCACAGTTAGGTCTAAAGAAGCCTGTTTATGTTCAACATTTTATAGAAGTAGGACTGACAAACGATTGACTTTATCACAATTAATTACAGAATTTCAAAAGTTCACTGTGATTATTTACATTTTTAAATGAATGTTTAAAGTTCCTTATTTTGTGGTTTTAAAAACAGTTTAAGACAAGATAAAATAAGAAGAAAATTAATTCATCCTGGAGGGAAAATTCGAGTTTAAAGCCCATATTAACAAAATAAAGCTTTTCTTACCAGTGTCTTGATTTGGGAATCAAATAAATAAAATAAGATGTACTCTGGATGTACTCTTGGTTATCAGATATATAAACAAGGTTCCTGCACAGTTAGAATTTCCATACTTTTCCATACCCTAATTTTTAGAATTACTTTCGGAAAAACCTACTTTTTTATTTTTGGAAAACAGTGTTTTTAAAACTGTGGTAATTGTAATTTCCCATGCTTTTTAAGACCTGGAAATTGATCAAATTTTCTTCATACTTTCCATACTTGCGTAGGAACCCCATTAGATGTGTAAATAAATGATCTACTTCTTCACTAGTGTGATTGAAAACACGTTATAGAGGTTGGAGACTGCTGCAAAGCGCTCATTCAGAGAAAATAGGCTGTAGTTTAATTTATAGTTTAAGTTCTGTACAGTATGAAGTCATTCTGAAATCGTTTTTGTTGCACATCGATGTCCACTGGTTTCTGGTTTTCGCATTAGCGTTCACACTTTTTGAGAGTTCCTGTTTTGCTGCTCTATTTCTTCAGTTTAGTTTCATTTACTCGCTATGACGTGGTTCTCTGTCTGCTTTTTCTGATGTGGTTGCACACAGACTTCAGTCTCATGAGCTGCACTTGCTTGCTTAGCTCTGAAGCAGAATCTCAAACCGAAGCTTAAACGCTGTGATATTTAAACGCTTGACACGGAGTGCGTATAGTTTTGGCTCGTCAACTGAGTCGTCAGGAAGACCTTCAGTGTTTCCCAGCAGTAGTAGAACATCTCAGCAGCTTAACTACAAATACAAAATAGCACAGGTTTTAAAAAATGGGTTAATTTCAGACTTTAATCTTTAATGATAACCTGATTGACGCATTATTGCTGATAACTAAAGCTGCAGAAAGATTTGAACTAATTGTTCCATAAACAACATAATAAAGGCATTTTTACACTTCATAAATTTTAGTTACTACTGAGCTAATATTGCTGATTTGTTCATTGAATCACTCAGAAACTTTTACTGCTTCGGGGTGACGCAGCTCAAGGAAGAACAATTATGATAGTTTCTTTACGGAAATGCAATCAGAGATGCTAAGAACTATCGCGTCTGCAGTGCAAAATGATTAATATGATGATTATTACTTAAAGGAAATGATAAAGAAATGATCATAAATGTTCTTCCTTGAGCTGCGTCACCCCGCTGTAGTCCATAATGGACTGGCCTGAGGTCTCGCTACAAACAAGCGGCTGCTGGAAGAGAGTAGGTGAGTTGTGTTTAGTCTCTTTGCTAAAGAAATCAGGCAAAGTTTAAAAGATGTTTGATGACTAGTGCTGGGGCTTGGACCCTATATGTACTGTTGATGAAGTTAGGTGCTGTTCTGAGCATTATGAGTGGTGTTTTGCTATCGTGCGGTTGTTACTAAAGTTGGTATAACTAGAGTATCAAGTGGTCTGCAACATTCATTTCTCGAGGGGGTGTCTAACTCGGTGTGACGATGTGTTTGTCCCTAAATTAATTTCACGCCGGAGTATCCCTTTAAATCCACTTTTTATCCACTTTCTCTCTTTGTTTTGTTTTCCTGTCCTCCTCCAGCTTCATGATCACCCTGAACCGCTGCTTCCCCCTCTTCATGGTGCTGGCCTGGATCTACTCCGTGTCCATGACCGTGAAGAGCATCGTACTGGAGAAGGAGATGCGCCTTAAGGAGACCCTCAAAGTCATGGGGGTCCACAACGGAGTCATTTGGTACACGTACTTCATCGACAGCCTCATCATGATGACTGCGAGCACGGCACTGCTCACCGCCATCATCATGGTGAGAAAACATAGAGAGGTGAAAGGAGGTGGAGAGACTGAGATCAGGTTTTATTTGTTGTGTTAAAGGAGTGTCAACATGTTCCATAATGTAACGGTGCCCTCTTGTGGATGCCTTCAAACGCTGTATTTACTCTGAGGAAGGTTTAATCACAGCTTGTGTTTCCTTTATTTTCCTCTTTCTCAGGGTGGAAAGGTGCTGAATTACAGCAACCCCCTGCTTGTCTTCTTCTTCCTGCTGACGTTCACCGTCACCACCATCATGCAGTGTTTCCTGATGAGCGTTTTCTTCAACAAGGCAAACCTGGCAGCTGCCTGCAGCGGCATCATTTACTTCACGCTCTACCTGCCGCACGTCCTCTGCTTTGCCTGGCAGGATCGCATCACCAAGAACATGAAACTAGCAGCTGTATGTCTCTTTTTGTCTGTTATATTCTTTCAGATAGTGTGCAGTAATTAAAGAAAAAGTTTGTAAGTCGTCATCTTGTGGTACTTTTGAACTCTTCTCCAGAGCCTGCTGTCTCCAGTCGCCTTTGGCTTCGGCACAGAGTACCTGTCACGCTATGAGGAGCAGGGTTTGGGTCTGCAGTGGGACAACATCCAGACCAGTCCGTTAGAGAAAGACAAATACTCCTTCCTCACCTCCATCTTCATGATGGTGTTTGACGCTGTCCTCTACGCCTTCCTGGCCTGGTATCTGGATAATGTCTTCCCAGGTGGGCTGATTATACACTTCACGACTGTAATTCAATTGTTTCACCAGGTTTTACATAAATATTTTATGAAGGATCCTGTAAACTTCTGCTCCACAGGACAGTACGGTATCGGGCGGCCTTTTTACTTCCCGTTCCAGCCTTCTTACTGGCAAACTTCTTCATCCTCACACACAGAAACACCTTATAAAAGTAAGCATTATTGACTCTAATCTTGAAATGGAAAGATAAGTATGTAAGGGTCAAGTTAGGACTCCAGGAGATAAAAAGATGTGCTCCTTTGGCTCCTCCTGCAGAGTCTAAATCATCATCTTTGTAATCAAAGTGTACTCTTTAAACTCGAAACCAGGTTGTCTCTTTGAAGATTGGTCCTCCTTACCACCCATTAGAAGATGTTTCACTCTTAAGGCAAATAGATATGAACATGTAGAGTTTAATCTACTGTAAAACTTCCAGGAAAAGGACTTTTATCTCTAAGTTGTGGCTTCAGATCCTAACCAGAAAACACAATCTGCAATTTTCCTCCTCCAGATCCAGACAGCCCTGAAGCGAACAACGTGGAGAGGGATGTGGAGAGAAGAGGAACCGCAGAGATGAACCACTGCAATGGCTCGTCCAGCAAGAAAACCTGTAAGCACCAGAGTAAGAGGGAGCGGCTGGAGAGAGAGAAGGAGATACTGAGGAGACAAGAGGATAGTCCAAACCAGGAGGAGGAGGAGGGTCAGGAAGAGAGGACTGAAGGTGAGGACACAAAAGAGGGACTGACTGGAGATTGAGTTTGGGGACACACTGAGGGCATCTAGTGGACAGGCAGGGTAACACACCATAACTTGACCAAAACAGACAAGAGATAGAGAATGGGGCCCTAAATCCTAAAATTAGATAAAATCTGTTAATCTAATTCTGTGAAATATTCATAAACTACAAACTTTTCATTTTGTTTGTGCTTGTTATACTTTTGTAGGTCAGGTGTTCTTCGAGGCTGACCCGATGGGCCTGGTGATGGGGGTGCAGATTCAGAACCTAGTGAAGGTGTTTGACGGAGGATGTCGTCCAGCTGTTAACAGTCTCAACATCAACTTCTACGAGAGCCAGATTACATCCTTTCTGGGGCACAATGGAGCTGGAAAAACCACCACCATGTAAGCAGGAATCAACTTACACTGTGTCCACAAGTACTGAGCAGAGTAAAGGCTCAGTTCAACAAGACTAAAGCTCAGATGGTTGTTCAAGATTTAAGTTTGTTAGACTGTTCAAATAGGTTCAAAGTTTTGTGCAGCTTAGTAAGTGTTTGTAATGCTGGAGATTACAGCTACTTATGAGTCAAAGCTTTTACTGTTTATTAAGAAACGATATTTAACTCTGATTTTAAGAAGGTTCAGAATATTTCACGTTAATCCACAATCAGAAACTCAAGAAAGTAAAAAACAAAAAGGTTTAAATTTCATTAAAGTAGTGTCTCCAGGGATGAGAAATCTGAGAAATTTCATGAGAATGAAGATCATTTCCTAAACAAGCCAGCGAGCAAGGGTTGAAGGGGAGAAAGAAAGAAAGAAAGAAAGAAAGAAAAAAGAAAGAAAGAAAGAAAGAAAGAAAGAAAGAAAGAAAGAAAGAAAGAAGAAAAAAGTAGAAAAGCCAAAGAAATAAAACTATGAAAGAAAAAGGTAGGAAAGAAAGAGACCAAGGAAAGAAAAAAAGGTAGAAAGAAACATAAAGATAGAAAAAGGTATAAAAGAAAACAAAGAAATAAAAAAGTAGGAATGAAATATATCAAAGAAAGAAAGAAAGAAAGAAAGAAGGTAAAAAGGAAGAAAAAAGTAGAAAAGCCAAAGAAAGAAAACTATGAAAGAAAAAAGTAGGAAAGAAAGAGATCCAAAAAAGAAAAAAATTACAAAGAAGAAAAAAAGGAAGCTATAAAGAAAAGAAAGACAAAAAGAAAGAAAGCAAAAAGGACTAGAGAAAGAAAAAGAGCAGGACGAAGAAGGAAAAAAGGGAGGATGACAGAGGACACAAGGAAACAGGGAAAATAAAAGCAAAAGAAAAATAGAAGGATAGGTTGAAGCTTGGAAAGGAAGAAAGAAAGAGGAAAGAAGACAAAACAAAAGAAAGAAGAAAGGAAAGATATGAAGATAGCAAAAATAAATAAATAAAGAAAGAAAGAAAGAATGAAAGAAAGAAAGAAAGAAAGAAAGAAAGAAAAGGGAAAGAAAGAAAAAGAAAGAAAGTGATCTTAATGTAAAGTTTTTTTTTCACCCTCCCTGTTTCCTGTTTTTTTCTCTGTCCAGGTCCATCCTGACCGGCCTGTATCCTCCCACATCAGGCACCGCTTACATCAACGGCAGAGACATCAGGAGTGACATGGACTCTATCCGCTCGTCTCTGGGGATGTGTCCTCAGTACAACATCCTCTTCAAACAGTGAGTTACTGATGCCGCTCTGTCTCAGGGGGACGGGAGTCAGTCCTCTGAGAAAGGACACTGAAAGTCCATGTCTGGTTTTTAGTTCATACAGCAAACAGAGTAAAATAAGTTTGATTTACATTTAAAAACAAAAAGTTGTTGAGACTTTCGATGAGTTGAGGGAACAGAAACAAAACAGTTCTCGTGCCTCCCTGTCTTGAATCTCAGCCTCACGGTGGAGGAGCACATCCTCTTCTACTCGCTGCTAAAAGGTCGGACTCAGGAGGAGGCAGCCAAGGAGGTGGAGGACATGCTGGTGGACCTCGGGCTGCCCCACAAGAGAGACGATGAGGCTCAGAACCTCTCAGGTGGACTGCTCTTTTCTTCACGCCAGATCTGTCTTCCTTTGTTACTGTCCCTGCTCTGAAACATCCCCTTTACCTCGCTCTCCGCAGGTGGTATGCAGAGGAAGCTGTCAGTAGCCATGGCGTTTGTAGGAGGGTCAAAGGTCGTGATCTTGGATGAACCCACCTCAGGAGTGGATCCCTATTCAAGGAGATCCATCTGGGACCTCCTGCTGAAATATAGAGCTGGTAAAAATGACCATTTGAGGGACACATTTAGCCTTACAGGTCAACATGTTTGCCCGTTTAGATCCACAGTGACCTGCTTCAGTTTGACCCACTCATGAGATCGGCTTTTACGGCCGCACTGAAGACACTGGAGAGTGAAATGAAGCTTTACAGCCTCCTGAGGCATTTTGAATAAGTGAGGAAAGATCAAAAAGAAAAATTCAGCTTCACAACGACAACAAAGAAAAACTCACTGTAACAAAATCCACAACCTTTTGGCAAAGTTATGATCTCTGAAATATCTCTGTATTTCATGTAAATGTCAGGAAAGTGGTTATTCAAAGTGGGTCTTTTTTCTAGGTCGGACCGTGATTCTGTCCACCCATCACATGGACGAAGCCGACCTGCTGAGCGACCGCATCGCCATCATCTCTAAAGGACAACTCCACTGCTGCGGATCCCCCCTCTTCCTCAAAAACTGCTTCGGGGTCGGTTTTTATTTGACTCTTGTGCGCCGGATGAGGGATGTCAAAAAGAAGGAGGTATGTGTTTGTTTGTTTTTTTTTAACCTCATCATTTCTACCTCCTGTGTTTATTCCACACAGACACAAAAAAGAGAATATAAGATTTTTCCTCCTTTAAAGTTTCCAGTTCTGAGTTTTGAAGTTGTTGAAGGTGTGTTTTTTCTCTTCTTTGGTGTTTTCCTCAGAACGACTGTGACTGTGCCTCAGACTGCTCCTGCTCCTGCTCCATCTGCACCAGATACAAAGATCAGTCTCAGAACCCGTCCCAGAATCTAGACAGAGTCATGGATGGTAAGAGGAAACTTTATGTTTTATTCTACTGTTATAGCATGAGCGGCTCCTCCTCCTCTCATTTGCTGTGATTTCTTTGTCTATTTTATAAATTGAATATTGAAACTAGACTCAGACTTGAGGTTAGCCCTATTAATCCATTTAATAAAGCTGCTGAGAAAAAAATTTGGGTTGTGTTGACACTGGCGCTCCCCTGTGGACAAAGTAATTCCTCTTATCTATTGTCCCATTCATGTGAAAGTAGTTTTTATCAGACAAAAACCTCATTCTGTTGTCTGTAAACCATGACGCTCATAACTCAATATGGGTATTTGTTGAGTAAAATGTTTTTTCAGCTTACTGTCAATCATCTGGTCGGCCACCTACACCCCCCTCAGCATTTTAAAGCTTTAAAAACGACCACAATGAAATCATCAGACCTGTTCCTGGTGGTCTCATTTGCTTTCCAAAGTCATAAAGAGGCTTCAGTGTCAGTTTTTTTCTGTTTCTCAACTGGCTAAAAACTCCCCACAGTGCCTTTAAAGTTAAAACTAACGTCAAGGGGAAAAAGGATTTTTTTCTTTTTTATCTTGAAATATTAAAATATAAAAACCTGTAAATCATTAAAGCTACAGAAAGGAGTTTTTAGACATGGCTTGAATCAGGCTGGATTTAATACTGATGCTTTTTCATTAGCTGCAAAGCAAACAAAGCAACAAGGCTGACTTTTCACATCATTATATCCTTATTTCTAATGCCTTAAACTGTTGCTGAGGGGCAGGTGCAATGACAGCTTTTTTTATTTTTTAAGCTTTATTTACCATATTTTTCGCATTTTTGCACTTTCGTGTCTTATTCGCGTCTATTTTCATACATAAAGCGCACCGGATTATAAGGAGCACTGGATTATAAAGGGCATTAAGCCAAACAAAACAGTCAGATAGGTCAAACTTTATTTAACTGACTCAATAACTCTGCGAGGCTTTGGAAGCTGCAGTGCTCCGACAAGCCCACAGGATTTTAAATGCGCTTTATAGTGCGAAAAATACGGTAAATTTCAGCCAAGGCTTTACAAAATCTTGTGCATCTCTTTGTCTGTGATTTTTGTTTTAACTGTTTTTAATTATTGAGCACTTTATAATTTATTTTTGAAATATATTGATACAATTATTATCATTATTATTATTATGATAAGGGAAAGAAAATAGTATATCCAGTTTATTCGTGGCAGTTTTGACTGAAAAAGAAAATTTTTCAGAGAGCAGCATCCCAAACTATTTATTTCCTGATGGTTCAAAACTCAATATCTTTATCTTATCTAGTAAATTGGGACTTCAGGGGTGATTTTATTTTATTTTCAATCAAACTTAAATTCAAAAAAGAATTTTTTTATCCCTCTGAGGGTAATTAGTTTAGAGCACAGCCGGTTTCAAACCAGTGGGATACAGAGCCACAGAACATCAGCCATGTGAAGCCTGGACTTTTCACGCTCCCCCTGGCGATTTTCTGCTGTCCTGCTCATAAACCTGCCTCCTTCATTGGAACAGTGATCAATCCACAAAATTAAAATCCTGCCAAATTCTGCTGCCATTGTTGATTCTTGGAAGAAATCTCAAAATGGGCAGATATAAAAGTGCCTTTTCTTTTCACTGTTTTAATGCTTTGTTTTTCCTTTTACCAGTGACATAAATGAACCAAAGGAAATGCAGACAATGCTTATATTAAACAGACTGATAAACAAGTTAAAGAGTAAAAAAATGATTTTATAGACAGAAGAGTCCACACAAACAAACAACAGATTTTGTTTCATATTCTCACTGGTGCTTTCAGACTTCCTCAACTTTATTCAAAAGAGCTTCTCCCTCTCAGAAGCAGAGAGAAAAAAAAACAAATACAGAACTCTCTCTTGTGAATTTACCCGGCCAACTTTGTCCCACTTATTCGAGATGTAAAGCAGGCACAGAAACAAAACTCACTGTTGTTCCACATGTATAATTTATCTGTGAAATTGACCCATGTGGCTTTCCCTCCTAAATCTGCCTGAGGACGCTCGGGTTGCAATGAGCCAAGCACAAATTAACAGCATTTTAGAGCTCGAGTAAGAGTGTTTGTTTTGTGTTTTTGGCATAATTAGCACTTCTTCCTCTCTTTGTTTACTTATGCTGTCTGCTATTTTGGGATTACTGCTTTTTTTTAATGATGATTTTCTGTTGTCGTCTCAGGGGACATAGACAGCATCACTAACCTCATACACCACCACGTCCCCGAGGCTAAACTGATCGAGACCATCGGCCAGGAGCTGACCTACCTGCTCCCCAATAAGGGCTTCAAACACCGAGCGTACGCCAGCCTGTTCCGGGAGCTGGAGGAGACGCTCACGGACATGGGCCTCAGCAGCTTCGGCATCTCTGACACTTCACTGGAGGAGGTAGAGACACGTCTAGACTAGATCTGCTGATATCGCTGGAAAAATACAGACAGTGTTGCTCGTACAATGAGTAAAGTGGATGCTGGATGAAAACTTTGAGGCATCTCAAACTTTGGAATATAGGATCATGTGATAAATAACATTTTCAGCCTCCAACCACAATAAAATCAATAAGTGTAGCATAAAAAGGCTGGAGGGACCTTATGTATACTTCATATAAGTAGAACAGCTAGTAGATGTTAACGTATGACTCTATGACCTTCCTAACACAACAAAGACACTCATTTGTTTCTAAACCACGCCTGTTTTTAATTTAGTAGAAAAAGGTACATGTCCAAGAAAATATAATTAGCAAAAAAGCTACAAAAGTAGAGAAAGTGAGAAGAGACAGGTGAAACTAATGATTAAGTAAAGAAAGAGGGACAACAAACCAAACTATGAGAAAGAAGTGTAACCTGAAATGTAGCTTATTTTTGAAGCAAAAGATACAATTTCGGTTTACCTGTCCAGCAGAAAGGTTACAGGGTCCGTAAGATCCTGAAGCGTCCCCTATCGTTTATGCTGATGTTGACCCGGCTTCTCAGCTCTTGTGTTGTCTACCTCCTTTTAAAGCGCCCGTTATTCCACCAGAGTCTCCGGTATTTACTTTGTTTTCTCGCTTGTGTGGGCAGTTATGGCCGAAGGAGGATTCAGACAATTTTCCGTACTTTGTAGTTGGTTTCTGCTGTCCAATATTGTAGCACGCTAGCTTATTTTGGTGAACGACATGGGAAGCAGTGTCCACCTCACAATCAATCAGATCGGGGAGGCGGAGAATGACTTTGTTTACAGTCAGAAAGAGCGGGCCGCTCAAAAAATGTTAAATGTTGACTACACAGACATAAAAGAACACAGCGATATTGTGATATTACCAATTGTAACTAACAGCTATTGACTGATATTAAAAGCTTTTTTGTATTTACACCACAAAAAAAAGATGCTTCTTTAACAGAGTCCTGCCTACCCCACCTTTAAGACCTCTGCATATCATAACATCTCTACATTCAGTATCTTATTACATTATTGGATTTTTATCAAAAGAAACTTTAAAAAGGAAAATGAAGAGCCCGGTGTTGCGTAACCTCTGAGTATATATAAAGATGAGTTTTGTAAGTCGCAGGAACTTCCTTTTTCTTTTTTCACAGATCTTCATAAAGGTCACTGCAGATGGAGAAGCAGCGAGTCACGCCACCACTCCTGGTAAATACCACCACTGATATTCAACATGGCCTTTTCCTGGAATTGAATTTTTGACCCTCCGACCTGTCTCTCTAACGTGCTGTTAATCCATTTGCCTCACACCTGTTTTTATTATGTTGTCGTAGTGGTAAATTTCCTTTTCTCTCCTCCTGAGCTCCAGCAGCTAACAGTGTTGTGGTGTTTTATATGTCAGCTTTAACCCTTTAGTTTGTGTTTTGTATCTCTCCTGTGTGCGCCCATCTGTAGAGCAGTGGATGTTGAAGTGGAGGAAAAAAAACAGCATGGTTGGTGATGAAGGTCAGAGACTGAGTTTCAGGCTTTTGTGTTGCGTCTTCTGGACTTGGGTCATTCATAGGTGCAAGAATGTGTGTTTTTAAATCTTAAAGTCAACTATTTTCAATTTTCAGCTGGGGTTTGTCACATGAAGTCTGATTTAAATTTTGATTTACATGCCTATAAAGTATTTTCACTGGTTTCTAAGATTAAAATATTTTTCTAGGTCTAGTTTTAGTTAGAAGAATGCCACACATCCTCTATTGAAAGCAGATGCTGTACCGTTAAAAACAATGCAAGGATTATGTGAATAATCATAGTCTTTATTTAGAAAGTATTTTCTGCTTGCCTGCTCTTCTCTTGCCAAGCACATGTCATTTATTAGAAAAGGATGTAGAAACAAACAAGAAACCTCCAAAAGCCAGATATCATGCCCGGTAGAGTCCCCGCAGCTTCTCCAAATCCTACTCCTTCAATCTGCTACAACTTGCTCTGCAGCGAGTTCATTTTTCTGATAGTTTAAGGTACTAACTGTGTGCTTTTCTTGTCAATCACAGAGCATAATGGTATAACAGATGCCAACGGCACGACCCGCGGAGCCTCAGACAGCAGTGAAGGACGGGGCTCCCATCAAGTGAAAGGGTTCAGTCTGACCCTGAAGCAGTTCCACGCGCTGCTAGTGAAGAGGTTTCATCACGCTACGAGGAGCAAGAAAGACTTCATGGCACAGGTACAGAAACGCAGAGATGGGTGGGTTGTTGGCGCGGTGTCGATGTGACATGTTGACAGTTGGATTACAGGATGTATGGGCTGACTTGGGAGGGTGCCAGAGTATGTGTGATACATAATGGATCAATCAGCAAATGGAGTGTTTCCAGATGCAGAGGCCAAATAGAGTGCTACGAGAATTTTCCATGCAAAATGATACATTATGGCTGCAGGTGCAAGGGTAGAAGACCACATCTTTGCAAATAATCATGCAACAGAGAAACTGCTTTGACACAGTAGACTGGAATATACTTTTTGAGTGACTGGAGAAGTGGGTGAGACTTCCTGGCACAGTAAACAAATAGATTAAATCTTACTTTAAGGACAGAGACTAGTTTGTGTCTATAGGTAACTTCAAATGCACATGGGGTTCCCCAAGGCTCCAACCTGGGGCGTCTTCTGTTGAACATCTACATGCTCCTACAGGCTTAGATTAAAAATTAGAGATGGAGAAGCGTTCAATTTTAATGCTCCAAATATCTGGAAGAATCTACTACAACTATATAAAAACTATACAGCAAAAACCATAGTGTTGAAACTTGCTGTATTTTGGGCAATTTCAGATCGTCCTTCCTGCCAGTTTTGTCCTCATAGCTCTGATCTTCACCATGATTGTCCCTCCATTTGGAGAGTATCCAAGTCTGACGCTGACACCCTGGATGTACGGACAGCAGTTCACCTTCTTCAGGTCAGAGTCCTCACAGATTATGTGAAAATCAGCAGACCTGGAGCTTGAACCTGGAGCGTCAGTTATGTTTTACATATGGTTTGCATTTCCTCATCTTTGTTTAGTAACGAGCAACCCTTCGACCCGAAAATGAAACGCTTCGTAGAGCGTTTACTGAACAGACCCGGTCTGGGGACACGCTGCATGGAAGGGGAACCTCTGGGGTGAGTATCAGGACGAATGATGTAACACTTCAGGACATGAGCATGCTCGATTTTCCTGTTTGTCCTGCACATTATGGCACTCTCACCCCTTCAGTTGCCTCTGGTCAACTGTTGTATTTTATAAAAAGTCCTCCTCTTCAACTATCCCCTCACTCTTGACCCTCTTTTTTCTGTCAGAGATATTAATCACAGCTTATGAATACCTCAGTATGCTCTTCAGAACCAAAGTGCTCACACGGCAGGCTGCAATTCAGTTCTGTTATCCTCATGTAATTTTGCAACTTTAAGTCCCTCACCTCTTATTCTGTTTTCTGTTTTGCATGTAAAAGGATCCCTCCATTGCTGGGAAGACCCTACAAAAACGGCAGAGTTTATCATGATCTAATTGCCAGAATTCAAATCCTAGAAATTTTGCAAAATACAGTCAAATATTTAGAGTTCATAGAGACTTTTTAGAATGCAGAATTCTTACCTGGGGACATATTGCGCTTAAAGGAATATTCCAGCGAGATGAATGTTGCCGACCGCTTGCTACTCTAGTTACACCAACTTTAGTAACGACTGCACGATAGCAATACACAGCAGTCTGAGGAGCCATAAACAAACCTCAACCAAAACGCCACTCTATAGCCACAAATAATGCTCAGAACAGCACCTAACTTCATCAACAGTACATATAGGGTCCCAGTCATAGCACTAGCCACCAAACATCTTTTTAACTTTGCCTGATTTCTTTAGCAAAGAGACTAAACACAACTCACCCACTCTCTTCCAGCAGCCGCTTGTTTGTAGCGAGACCTCAGGCCAGTCCATTATGGACTACAGCGGGGTGACGCAGCTCAAGGAAGAACATTTATGATCATTTCTTTATGAATTCCTTGAAGTAGTAATCATCACATTAATCATTTTGCACTGCAGACACGGTAGTTCTTCTGCCTTAGCGTCTCGATCTGATTGACTTTCCATGAAGTAATGATCATAAATGTTCTTCCTTGAGCTGCTTCACCCTCCTCAGACCGCTGTGTATTGCTATCTGCGGTCGTTACTAAAGTTGGTATAACTAGAGAAGCAAGCAGACGGCAACATTCATCTCTCGAGGGGGTGTCTAACTCTGTGTTATGGTGTGTTTGTCCCTAAATTAATTTTACGCCGGAATATCCCTTTAAGTTTGAGTGTACAGGAGTTTATTTGCAGTTTTTAAAAAAAGCCTTTCTC